CCGGGGTGTCTTCCTGTGCTAGTCACCTTCGGGTACGCTTCTAGAGACATAGAGACAGATTCGAGATGGGAGAGAATCACGCAACACGGCGCATCGCCCAAAGGAAGGGGCCGAAAGGGTGGTGTAAGCCGGCAACGTTCCCCATGAGGAAACGCTTCCCAGTGTGTGGTAGACACTATCAGAAGCGGCAGGTAGGCGAGTAGAATCCTGACGGTTATCTGAGGTTATCTGATATCATCGCGGTTGGAGTGACATTCGGATCAAAGAGGCGAGCAGAATATCCCCAACCTGCAGCTGAAATTTAAGCCTAAACAGTAGCTTACTTGCGCACATGCAGGGCCACTGGCGTTTAGGGGAAAAAAGAGCGCGCATCACTTCGACTACCGTGACTAATCCCGCAGACGTGGAGCCGGGGTTAGTATTACTGGTGAACCGTGACCACTGACACTGACAACTGGGGCAGGCATTTGTCTCGGTAGATCATAGAACGTACTCCGGTACTGCAGTATGAATCCGGGGCTTTTCTCCGTCAAGTGTCACAAGATTGAACAAAGGTGCGGCCAGAACATTGAGAAGAGGGGCATTTGCGATGGAAAAAATAATAATGGAAATTGGACGGACGATGCCAAGAGCTTCGAGTCAAGCAAAGCGCGTCGACACTAAGGCCATTTGAGGCTCTTGGCACTGCAACCCCTTGCCAAGTCTCACCGCGCCGTTGAGAGTCTCTGAGAGCAGATTGGCTCAACTTGCCCACGAAGAAACAACATTCAACATATCCCGTGTCTTGGCATCGCGCCAAGCCCCCTTCTGGATGCGATGGATGCTGTGGAGCCTGCAACTCATTGATGGAAATCTCCTTTTTCCATTGATCGGCAGCCTTCAAACCAGACGTATTTCGTCCGGTCGTGTTGGTCACTTGGTCTAAAGGAAAGTAAGAAGGTGGAAGGGGGAGACACTTCGGATGGGTGATAAGCAAGATCGGGAATGCAACGATACAAAATCTCTACAATCTTTTCATACAGAAAACACGTGCACGGCTAAGACCCTTTCAGAGTGTTTGAATAAGCCATATAATTACTACAATATGCGCACCCATGCTCCTTGGCCACCCGACCCTCAGAAAGTGAAGAGATACTTTGACCCTGATGCGGCGGAAACTGACGATTCGGAAACAAATCTCTCACCGTTCTAGATTGAAGAACCCCATCTCACTTAGTCCATGTCTCTTGCAATACGAGTTCATCTACAGGAGTCAAGACAAGATGTCGCGGGATGTGGGATCCGGCTTTAGAAACCACAACTTGCCTAGCGTCAAGATCTAGTCTGAAGAGATTGCGTACTCCCATGAGCCTTGAATTACCTTTGCTCAGCAAGCAGCCCTACGAGTCTAGGTTCCCAGCTCCGCGTTCCGCAGACATGGGCGTCCTTTCATCAACCCAGGTCCCCTGTGTCGAGCAGACAAACGGTCTCAAAGTCTACTTTAACTATAGGCAGACGCTTGAGTCAGAGTTTCGGGCAGTTGTGGGCTGTGATGCGCTTATTTCGATATACGCAATGTGCCAAGCTTTGTAAATTGAAACTCTGATTCCAGACCATAACACGGGAACATTTGCTTGGCGAGGATCAGTGAGCTGATCAAAGCTCGCGATAGTTACGGGCCGAGATGCCACGGTCTCACACGAGTCATTTCATTTGGGCATACGGATAGAGTAGTCGCTAAACGACTTGCCATGAAGCTTCACCGACACTGCGATTGGTTTCCGCTTTCGCGCCGAAGCAGGAATGTCTACAGACAGTTTCCAAACAACCCGTTGAGGAAGCCGGACATCAAAGTGGGTAGCTCGTAACGAACAGAGGCAAGCCGAGACAAATTGATTGCTTGTTTATTTGTCTCGCATTCGGATGTCACGAAGCTTAGATGGTCGAATTAAGAAGGCAAATTCTGGCCACTGAAAGAAAACAGATCGACCTAATCGAGAAAAGATTTTGCATTTCTGTACCCGCATTTGCCATTCGAACGAGGCATTATTGTCCAAGGCTTTGGCACCCAGCCTCGGCTTCTCCGGAACCGCCGGAACAACACGTCGGCTCTGACACATAATATGGACAGAATATCACCTTACCTCCATGACCATGAGTCTCGGACATCCTCGCTCAACATTCACCCGTTGCGCTTCCTCCAACACAAGGAGTCCCAGTACAATTGAAGCCCTGCGGGTTCACAGCATTTCCGCATAGGTAAGAAGTAGCAGCAGTCCCGTTGGCAAACTCCAGGTCGACATCGAAGAGACCGATATTGGTGCAGGGTGCGACAGCACTGCATTGGAGACTAGCAACACGAGATGACTTGGTCGTACCGGCCATACTGTCGACGGTTATATCACGAATCTGGAATTGCGAGTTTGTGCAGTTGCCTACCCCAGGAGCGCCGCGGAAACGAGTACACTGGGAGATTGCGAACGCGGCGCCGCGCATGCCCTGAACGGTGAGGTTCTTGAAAGACATGTCCGATGCAACTACAAAGTCAAGGTGATCAGCAAGTTCTCATCAGTAGTGTTGCCGCGTGTTGACAGGTTCAAACTTACATCCAAGTCCGCCACCGCCACCATTAGGAGGGTAGCCATTCTGATCATCAGTCCAGGTTTTGAAGTAAACCTAATGACGTCGTTAGTACTGATGGGCTATGACGGTGATGAAGGAGAAGGGCGCAGGGAACCTACGGCATGCAATGTGTTGTCAAAGAAGCAATTTTCGACTTTCAGCCTCTCGATGGTCTCAAACTGGTCGTTGTATTGCCCGATACTACCGAGCGCAATGCCCAGGCCATTGTAGAACTTGGAGTTCGTGATGCTGACATCAGTGCTATTTGCCTTGAGAGAGATGCTATCGTCGCCGCTGTAGACAGTCCAGTTGTTGAACTTGATACCGGAAGACCGGATCGTGTCGGCACCATCCGTGTTCGCTATGCGATGTCAGCAAGACTCATTGTTTTGCCCAGGGCAGATTCTAATCAAGGTGTGCTGGACATACAGCTTTGGAATCGGTTTCCGGTGTTGTTGACCAAGATGCTATCGAGGACGACGTTATGAGAGTAGATGATGGACAAAGTCCTGCTAAACTTAGTGACGTTCCACCTTGCACTATGGGAACATGTTCATACCACATCTGACTTCTCAAGAAGTTTACCCCTTTTACAACAGAGTTCCTCAGCCCGTTGAGAGTGAGAGCATGCGGGCGTCCAGGGTAGTTGGAAGTATTGGCCTGCTGTCTGATCCATTCATACCAGTAGTCGCCGTTGCCATCGAAAGTGCCTTGCCCATCGCCGTTGAGACGAACATTGTTGCCGCCGAGGATGAAGGCAGTGGACTGATTCTGATACCCAACATCCAGGGAGTTGGCGAGCCAGTACGAGATGTTCGTACTCCACTAACAGCCGGCAGTCTCGCGTTAGCTGATCGCCATAAAACGAAAATCTTGGTATTGTTTGGCTTGGCGCATCACTCAAATTGAACCAAGATCGGGAAGGAGGACGACAAGCCTGTCGTGGAACGGTAACGTACCAGTAGAGTTCCCTGAAGATCAATTTCGACGTCGTCCAGCCAAGTGACATTCAAAGCGGAGTTGACATAGTATGTCGTTGGCTCGAACACGACCTTGCCGCGCCGGCCGCACTGCGTGAATGCCTCGAGTATAGCAGGCGCGTCGTCGGTCGTGTTGGTCCCGCTAGCTTTGATAACACAAGTTTTGCGTCCAGTGTCGTCTTCAGTTTCTTGGGCACAGACCCCGGAGGCTAAAGCAAGTAGAGTGCAAAGCACACCAACAGCCCAGGTACAGGTACGGCGCATGTTCAAAAACTGTGTAGCAGGTCTCCTGAGCTGACAACAAGGGGTCCAGTGGCTGACGGGGTCAAAAAGCGATGAACAACAGGATTGGCTCAGAACATCAGCTGAAAGAGAGAAGACCCTAACGCTACCTCCCACCGGCAAACCGCGACGGCGCCCGAGGATTGAATAGTTTCCTAGCATCGTCAAATCGGGCTCTTCCCGGCCGAATCTCCGCGACATCAGCATCGTATCTACTCCGTCGCAACGAACTTTCGCGCCGAATGTCTTTGGGCCAGCATTGGAGTTACATCGTTCCCGTTCGACCGGTTTGATTTTGCACGAATCACGAAGGAGGATGGACGAAAAGGTCTGGAGACCTCCACGTTCATGACTAAGTTTGTGTGGTGTCGATCGGTTGACAGTTGACAATGCGGAGGCGAGATGATGCGGGGAAAGCATGTCCCTGGTCGCTTATTGCGGAGCGGGAATGACTTCAGCGAACATACCTCTATCAGTTGCGTACCGTATGGCAACCATTGTGCGACGGGCTTGTTATCTCGTGAGAATTGAAGGATGATCATCCATTCCTACTCGAGTTCTAAAGGCTTCGTCACGGGATAGTCTGGGACGAGCTCCTCTTTGATCCGCGCCCTCCATTCCAGGCACTCGCACACGTTCTGTTGTGCAAAGGTCATTCAGGGCAACATGATATCTCCAAAGTACACTGCGGGTAATAAGCCAGATTCATACAATAGAGTCGCCATCACTATTGACCTCCCTCATCATCTGTTCTTTGGCCTTCTTCTCTTCTGCCTCCATCCACTTTCTCATCCTCCAGACAGTGACCAACGTGATCACGACAGCAAGGACGCCATAAAGGGCTATCCACGGCGAGATAATTTGATCGCCATCTGGAGGGGTCCAATTGAAGAAAGACATTGAGAAAAGCGACTTATTGAGTATTAGCTTGCTTTGTTCTGCACGACTGTTCTCACATATGACTGGGATGCGAAAGGTCTGAACTTACGGCAAGAAATGTCCCAGGCAGGAATATCATCCCTAGCAGCGAGATGCTTCTCATCTGACTGCCGTCTCTCTTAGTGGCATTTGCGATAATGATGGATACTTTGGCATCGCGTCTTGTGTAGTAATTTGATTCCTGCTCATCAGCGTCAGTCAGTTCATCTGATGTTTGTGGATTAACAGGCTAGGTTTAGTTTCTCTCACCATTTGAGCAGATAATGACATGCCGCCAAGAAGGCCTTCACAGGTTCGAATCTTACTGCCCAACTCATCAACCATTTCGCGTAGTCTCATCTCAATCCTGTCTCCTGTTCCCCGCTCTTCGACATATTTATCAATGCCATCTTTACCTTCAACGGAAGGCTTGAAGTACGTCATGGCTAGATTTTCTGAATGTTCTATCAGGTTTTGCAGCTGGATTCTCAGACTGTGGAGCCCATTCTTCAGCCGGTTGACATCCATCCAAAGTTTCGTCGACTCGCAATCTCTCATTCGCAACAAGGGCTCAGGGTCTGCTTTCTCGGAGGTAGGACTCTGAGCTTCGCCTCGAAGTTTAGTTTCCAGATCCAAAATGCGCTGCTCGAGCGTGGTTCTCTCTTTATCAAGCAAATCGAACAGACGGGTGCGTTCTATCTCGGCGAATATCATGGGCATGACAAGAGGATGAATGGCTTGTCCCCCAAAGTCCTTCAGGTATTTGGTAGTTGACTTGATGATGGGTTGTGTACAGCCGTACATGACTGCATGCGTTGCGCCAAGGTTTGGAAACGAAGTGACTGATAATGCAACATCGTCTGGGTAATTCACGCTCGGCGGGGATTCGGTGTCAGACTTGCAGTTATATACTAGGATACACGTTTCGTCAGATCGCTTCGAAACACCACAATAACGAGTTTTTGATGTACTTCAAGTTCGAATGGCACTCCGAAAGGAGTCTCCAGACTTCTTACCTAGGGATGGCGAAGGTTTTCCATTAATCTCCCATGCCACGTGTCTGAAGTTGACGATGGCAGTAGAAACTCTCCTAAGAAGAAACGAGAGCGAATGGTGCTGGTGCATACGTTCAGCCAGCCTTTTGAAAGTACTTTCTCTATAAGGAATCGCCTTAACGCCTTGTAGATCGGTCGCAACTAGTCTCTGATGCATCACAAGCACCAAGCCTGGAAGTTCTAGAGTCGACTTTTCCTACAGCGAATGTTTGAGCAAGTGGATTCGGGGAGAGAGGACAATCATTTTTTTAAGAACCCACCGATTCTAGCCATTCAATCATTTCATCTTCCGTTGTGAAATCGGAGATATCTGGAGTCACGACATGCTTTCATTCGCGATAATGGTAAGCCCTAGCTAGCCAGTGGAGACGAGATGGGAACTCACATTTCGATCAGAGTTTTCCAATCGCAAAATCCGTATCTTTGAAGATCCTTGCGAACAAAAGTCAAAACGTTTTAAGTCGCTTTTGCCGAAGTCCAATCTTCGGCTCAACCACTCCATCGTGAATGTGGTAGTGGTAGACACGCAACTTCAACATCTCATTATACCAGGCAGATGTTTATTGTCGGGCGCTTGCTGTAGCTTATACACGAAACCGCCGGCACGATCTGCCAACTATAGAAAGAAGTGCGGTATTGTTCCCAAACCGTCTGGACTTGGATAAATGGAAGTTCCATGGGCTACGACCCCGCCTTGGACTGTGTGATAACAAAATGCACATATGTAGCCTGGCATGATACCTGCGCCATGCTGACTGCAGACGCACTCAACCACACCAATCCCAACGACATTTTCGCAGACTTGCAGCCCAAAAGACCTCTTAGAAACAACATTATGGGTTGACCTTGGCTGCGCTTCGCAAGAATAGGTAACGCCGGCAAGAAAGCCTAGTGTCTGTGGGTGCTCTGCGCCTCTGTTATGCCATTGCATGCAGCCTGCCGATTTAGCGCAACTGTTGGGAGGTAGTGGAAGTGGACTATACATGTAAGTACCATATGATGATGTGGCCTTACCCTACGGCCCCATGCCGAGACCATCTCGCTTGCATCGGCGAAAGGACATGCGATGATAAGCCCTTTGCCTGGCTATAGCTCCAGGCATCTTTGCGCCCGAAAATGCCTGACGGACTCAGCCACTCACTTGTCTGGCTGACACCGAAGTCTACTTTAGCGGTTTGCAGAATCAAAAAAACTGCACTTTGCCTGACTGGAGCCTGGAGAGGACTTGGCTCTGCTGACCAAAGGGCAAGATGGGAAGTGTGTGCACACTGATGCTATAACTCGTGAAGGCTTCACTAGAAAACTCATTCCTCAGTCAAACAAGTTGTATTTGAATTCTGAATAGCCCCGTTGTTGCTTCACATGGATGACACCAATATCCGATCTTGGGCATCGAGGCTCAAGAGCTACATTCCGGGTTTCAGCAATCGACAAAAAATGGCCGAAACCAACGCGTTCGCCGCGACCGATAAGATTGTCAATCGATATGCAGACACGAAGGTATTACAGAAGACTCTTTTGGGCTTTGGTTTCCCAAAAGACACGATCAAGATCAAGGTAGGCTGTTCTGGATCATTCAGGCTATTCACTTCCAGATCTTGCATCCTCTAATTACTTAACTTGACGGATTAGGCAACAAAAGCTGGATTACTCGAGGTCCAACTTCCTCGAAAATTGACCCCGGTGAGTATTGATATATCTTGGTGGGACGAAACAGGTTTGTGAATTTCTCGCACAACGTCTAACCAATGTCAACTACCAGGAGGAGATGGAGAAAATCCATGCCGATCTTAAGAAAGCTGCCAAGGACTCGGATTCTGAAGAAGAGTAACAGACGTATTGACACCATCTTGTACTGGTGGAGTCTAACTTTGAGCGCTGGTCTGTTAGTTTTGGTATGGCTTCGACATGAGACGCCTGGGTGGTTATATCAACGATGCGTGTACATAAGGTCCATGCGGGCGTCTGCGATGCTGATGGCACCTACTCTCGAACTTAAGTCCGCGTTGGACGACGATAAGGGTCACATCCATCTAGATAGACCAACGTAGAATTCAAACATTCGACTAAACGTTTTCAATCAACCATAAGGGAATCTTGTCGGAGTAAACGCGCTTCTTCGCCAAGGACCATCGTTCCGAAAAGAAAAAGTCACAAACAAGCGACACTTTCATCTGCCGGTCCAGACTTATGGTGCCCAAGAGTGAAGCAATGATTCCCAATCCGCAAACGCCACGTTAATGCCCAATTCCACGTACCCCAATGTTGGAGTGCTGCATGCGCCGGCCACATACAAGTCATCTGCATACTTCCAGAGCCACTAGCAAAGGCCTGAATTCGTTTGCCCATGCACCCGCTGATTAGTCGGATTGAGGTTTTGTGTCTCGGCTCTGTGCTCTATGAAGCTCTGCTTCCACACCTGCAGGACATCTCGAACCTCATTCGATGCTGCTCGTGCACTGCCGTCAACGAGCAGCATTCTGGACTGGACGAGACTGAGGAATCTCCTCAATTCCTCGGTGCATCGTGCATGGTCGCGGAGATACCGGAATTGCTGACACAGATTTCAATCAGCATCAAGAATTGGCCAGAATCGTGGGTCATTTGATGGTTGCAATACTCACCGAAACTACTGAGGGCTTCAGATCTGCAACAATTGTCCGAGAAATTCTGCGTGGCCACCACCATGTCCTTCGTTGCACCCTCTTTTTGAAGAAAGTATCTTCTAGTACCGGGGGAAATTCTGGGTCGACGTCGTCCTCATCGGTCTCTAAAAGGCGGCTTTCGCGGAAGCTCTCAACTCCGCCCCACCCCTCGATGGCCCAGGTGATAAAGTCGAGAAACAGGCATCCCAAACACCATATGTCGAAAGGTTCATCCACCACCGACTTCCCAAGATCCGTGTCTCGCTCGGGCGGCCGATACGTCTTTGTCTCCGCCTTCTGTCTCGGACGTGACGGAGAACTCCGATTGAAAGGTTTAGAGAGACCAAAGTCCGTTAGCTTCAAGTCGTATGAGACTTTGCCGTCGTGGGACTTTTGGAAGCAGACAACGTTCTCCGGCTTGATGTCGAGATGAAGCTGAGCCTCGGAAGAGCGCCCCCCTTCACAAGAATCATAGCCATGAACCGTGGCTAAGGCGTCGGCTATGTAGTAGCATTGATCTATCATCCACCGAACTGAGTACCAAGGCGGACAATGCTCAGTAGAAATATGATGTAAGCCATGCTTTCTCCACAGCTCGTAGAGACTGTCGCCGTCAGCCCAGGGGAATAGGAGATAATATCGATTTCGGTGTTTGAAGGCAGAAAGCAGTGGTGTTATACGAGGGTGGGTTGTTCTTTGATTGGCAGCAATCTCGTTTATGAAAGAAGTCTCGGCAGCCTTCGTCGTGTGCTCCTTATCGGTAACCTTCAAAGCAAAATGCTCTACGGGTGTTTTGGCATGCTAAGATACGAAAAGTCATTAGTAAATATGGCCCCAGTGGTGATCCGTTCGATTTGCAAACTTGCGTCTGAAAAGTCGTGATGATCTCGGTGAATGCTGATTTTTTGCACAAACGAGACTTGCCCATCGAGTATTTCCCCCTGCATGTTGAGCTCTGACCATGGCAACGTGATTTCATTATGCAATAGACGGTAAGGCTGCTTGCTAGTATTTGTGCTCGATTTACTGAAATGCGGAGACCTCATTTGCCATTGCAGTTGGTGGAATAGTTCCTCGTTGTGTGCATCTAGAGCTTGCAAGACTTCCCGAAGGGCCTCAGCAGCACGAGAGGAGTAGGTTGGCAAGGTGGGGTCGTTGCATGGCCATGCTCCATCACAGATATGAACTGAAGATTGGTAAATATCCAATATTACTTCCGGTTTGCCTAGTATGAATAATGTCGCGAAGATAATTCTCAGTCCCGTGCATAAAGCATCGTCACAAAGACATCCTTTTTGATTGTCAGGACTAATGAAATGTGCAATATCGGCGACTTTAGCGGTGTCGGAAGGAATAAGTGTGCCTAACAAGCTTGATACCTTCTTGTGGTCAAGTTGGGACACTAAACTGCCTCGTGGGACGAACCGATTGCGTTTGTCGTTGAGATCTTGGCATGAACTACGCATAAGGATGCAGGCGATATCGTCCCTAGTGGCGGCGACGTCAAATGACTGTGGCATTAGGCAGGCTCGGTCTTCGAGAAACGGACTCGTTATGGAGATCTGTAAGGTATTTCTTAGCGGCCTGAATTGACTTGGAAATTGGATAAGTGCAGAAAGATTGCTTTTTAACCCGTAACAGGCAGGGACATCCGCACGAAACATAATAGTGGATATTACGCCGTGGCTGCAGCACGCATGCCTCTCTGCCATATTGCGACGTCTTGACAGCTAAACAGTGCATGCAGTAAGAGAGCAACCCACCTGTTCAAGGCTTGCAGAGATGTATGCGATAGGTTATTGTGAGGAAGTAGTTCGGTTTAGTCGTGTAGTTGAGGAGATAATACCGGTTTATTCGGGATTGGATAGATGGGAATATGTAGATCAAAGTAGTTGTCATGATCCGCAAAGGGGTTGGATGCAAGTGTGTTTTTGTGTTGTGAAAATGTCGTAAGGCTCACACGTTCTCTGCTGCCTGCTTCTGGTGCGGCATTGTCATAGCCACCGCCATGCGCAGCTGACAGTCACAGTTTCCTGTCAATGTGCAGTTTTAAACATGACGAATGTGACTCAAAGCTTGAGGCAGGCCGCAAAATTGGCGGCCATAGACACCGAACCCACCTTTAAGAGAAGGATTGAACCAACCTCAGATTATGATTGGTCTGTGATACGATGAGAAACATGAGGGAAGTCGTTCGCCTTCTATGGTGGGAATATCCGACACGCGTATTGCACTGGACCATCCACACTGTGACCGCCGAGCCCTCAGCCTGCTGCACCACACCACTACCATCCAAGCCATGTTTCTGGCCGATAGCAAGTAAAGAGACAGCCACATAGTCAGGCATACTGAACGATGTCACTGTCGATCGGCAATACCCCGCGCCGGCGGACGGTGCACTTAGCTCTCCAGCTGCCGAACGAAAGGGGTGGGTTAGTGTAACAAAAGTAAGAATGCAGCAGATGCTGGAGTTGTTAAGGTGCAATTTAATGGGCTGCTCGGTATCTACCCGTAATGGAAGGGGGGAAACGAAATATGAGAGGTCTTTCTTCTCCCTTGCAAGACAACATTACCCGCTCAAGAGAAGCCAAAAACATTAGTACATGTACGTACAGGTGCTTAACGGGGAAATCGGCTTGTACTTCTTACTTCAAAAAGGCCTGCAGCCGGCTTGAATCTCGTACAACATCTTCGTTATGTTTTTCTCAATTACCTCACGATTTTCTGAGCAAGTCAATTATCATTCGATTTCATTGGATACTCGAATCGACAATTCATCTCCCTCTTCTCGATGATGAACTACCTAACCGCCTTATTTTCCACCTCCCCCAGACCGACTTATTCTCGTAATGACAATTTCAACTACTCTCAACCATCCACTCGACAAAGCACAGGCTTTTCATCATCGGCGACTTCATCATCGGCCTACAGTCACAGTTATGAGAAACAAGAAATAGCCGGGCGATTTATCAACAAGCGGAAGCTTCAGAAGCTTTTGAAGGATCGATTTGGCAACGACTATCAACTGCATGTATGTGTCAGAAGACAGGCCTACGCCGACTTAGCTTTCATATGTGGGCTGTGGCAATGCAAAATAATACTAATTTTGACGCCTGCTACGATAGATGAGGTCAAACAATTACCGTCTATACGCAAGAAGACCACTGAGCGAGGAAGAGATTTTGAGCTGTTGTTAGTTTGGTTCTTTCATCCAGCATTTCGGCTTTATTTGTACATGTCCTAATGTGGCGTTTTCGAAAGCTATATTGCAATTTTTCTTAAAGCAACCCTGGCTCGGGAGGTGTTCTAATATTGAGCAGTCATCAGATAATGTGCCTTTATAAGGCGGTGTAAGCCGCACAAGCGGCCATGCCATCTATCCGCACTTTGAAAGAAATGCTGGGCTTCACCTGAGTCCTCCTGCATCTATACCAACATCATAGACGCAGTACAACATGCGCTCTATGTTTTGTGCTAGCCTCGAGCCTGCCCTGGTGAGGTGTAGCTCAAAGAGAGGCCTACTGTGTAGGCTCAGTGTTCGACGAGTCGCCGTTGTGACCCCCAAAGTGAGCAGAAAAGCACTCAAGAACATTCGATCAACATGATCGTCATTCAGCCCGACATATGCTTGAACATTTCACGATATTAGAGACGCGTAAAAGTAGCATCATGTGAGAGATTGGAGATCGAACATGTCCCTGCAAAGATAACATAGTTACTTACTTACTTAGGGATAGGCGAACGCTTAGCAGCGTGGTGTTCCCTTACTGGACTATGAGATATGTGGTGACGTTTCTGCATAGCTTTCAACCCATTCCACACTCAAATGAAACATGTATTAATTCGCAGTCTCCGTGATTGTAAAGTTCACACTTCGCATTCGTAAGGAATCATCTCGTCCACAAAGGAGGCTCGTGACCAGATGTCCATGTTCATGAAATGTCGTGAACACATATCGGGTGCCATGACCGCAAATAAACTGTGACTTCCGGAAAACCATCCACATGGCGTGTGCTGTTGCATCATATTTGCTGTAAGCAGTGGAGTATCAAAGTCGTCAGCTTCCTCCTCCAGCCATCTCAATAGAGAAGCTAACCGAAAATGATCAGAGATGTTAGGATCGGAAGTCGTGACCTTGCGGTATGTATGTAGCTCTGTCTGGATAGCTGCCCAGAGAAGTCCCAGATCCTTGTTGATTGGAGCTATGTTGTATCCTGCGTGAATCTCGTCGAAGGGACATTCAAGGTAAACACGATCCGTTTCACTTCTTGGGTTTTGGATTTCTCCACAATCGTCATATTCGGGAATCCAGCAGATGTTGACTCGGTTGCTGAACTTTGCGAAAGGGCTGTCTTCTTGCGGCGATGGCGTTGCGTGACGCAGAATGAGGACAAAGCACCTCCAACCAAGTTTACAAGAAGACCTCCAATTATCCTTGACTTCTTGTGGGACTTGGTCTGCCAACTCTACTGCGGTCATGGATCGGTGATCACAGTTTCCCTCCTCTGGAGACGAGAACATGGCACACGTTGATAGATCCGATATCTGCGCTGGATCAGCTCCAAGTGCCACAAGACAAACAAGACAAGCCAGTGCTCCAAACAGCGTTTCCCCACTCTGACCGTTCTCTGCCAAATGAAACGCCACGGCTACAAGAGTATGTAATGGTCCCAGTTTCATCTCGAGCCCGCAACTGGTGCAACGCCGTCGGAAAAGTCCGCTGAAAGCGTTAATATCCGGGGCCGATGGTGGTAGGAATACAGCCATCATGTTGTGGCAAATAGCCTGTACAGAACTGTGACAGAAGGTATGCTTCCACCGTGCAGGGACTCTAGATTGTCCGGATGAGTGAAGATGTCGTACTGCTGGTGAATCAGCATCCCAGCGGCCGCAAATGTCCTTCTCTTCGCCCGGGAAGCGAGTACAGTGAACAAAGCTTGTGCTCACGTCCGCGGGTAGACAGTCCGTGTGGGAACGCAAAATCGAGATCATAAGAGTGTCTAGTACAGTATGTCCATTGGAGTCAATGTTCTTCAACGCGATCGGATACCTTCTGCTCAAAGACCTGGTAAGTTCGCAGAAAACGAGGCAGCAGACACTACCTCCGTCTACAAATGATGCTGCGAGATGATATGGGTGAATTCCTGCGAAATCCAGGTCGGGTATGGGCACACCTTCGGACACAAGTTTCTTGAGAAGGTCTATGTTGCCAGTCATTATGGCAAATACCCATGAATCTAGTGAAAGTTGCTCGGGTGATTTGGTCAAAACCTTCGCAACAACCTCGTTGTTGATCGGTACTTCATCCGGTGAAATTGCACTAAACCGGCTTGCTGTGAAGGCTTCTTGAATGGAAGTCTGGTAGGACCGAGAAGTTTGAGAGCTAGGCCATTCGGTCCAAGATGATTGATCCCCTAGATCAAAGCTCGTCTGCTCCTTCGGTGGCGAAGGTATTGTGCAGTAGTAGTCCACCGTGTCTTCCTGATGTATTGCCCACCGACAGAGATCCGTCGGCTGAAGGATATCGGTTCGTAGAGTTTCTTGTGGCGATGAATCGAAGACCCTTGCGAGAGGAGACATTGGGTACAAGGATCCCGGTGTTCCAACGGTGCCTGAGCCAGTAGTGACTTCGGATATCAGCCCTGCTGTCCATTCTTGAGGGCCAACGCCCCAGAATTTGGCAGTCATAAAGCAGTACATCCAGTAGTCATGAAGCCAGTCAGATATGATCCTTGAAGACGGTCAGTACTGATCACGAATTATCATGGAAATATGAACGATGTTGCTACCTCCTGTCATTATTATTGCATCCACTCAACAGCTCTTCCCTGCGGCCCTGCAGAAGTAGGCTGGACCGGTCTAGCAAGGTCTTCCTCTGAATCAAAGCAGAAGTTGGAGAGATGATGTCTTGAACGTCACCTCGGCTAGTCGATGTGTCGGGGCTATTGACTCGGAGATATTGCGGGGTTGGCGGGTTTTGGCTGAAAGGAAAAGCTTGATCATCTCGCCTCGCGAAGGAAGCTCGGTACGCTGCGTATGGAAGATTCCATTGAGATATCCTAGAGTTCTGTTGTAGCCTGATGCGTTGAGATGGGGGTGACGGATGCTAGCTTACATGCCAGGGGTCAATGCCGGGACAGAATGATGACGAATACTATCATTGATGAATCTCTTGATCTGTTTGCTATCCACGGGCCTCATCATCTCTCCTTGTCGAATTTCCACATCAGCAACTTTACCCCCCGGTCGATTACGCTTCCCTATAACTGTGATTACAGCCGTCTTCTCGTCTTTCTTCGTATTCTTTCGGATGCCCCACTGGCCGAGACGATAGCGATACTGGGCAGGTCTGTTCGCGGCGTACGTTAGACGACAATGTCTTGCTGGGGTTGTTTACAGTACAGAGGTTGACCAACGATGCATCAAAACCATGGTGCTCCTTCATGAACTCGCAAAGTTTCGGAAATGTGAGTGAACTACTTGTAGCGTCCCCCAAAAAGGCGCTGATGATGATGTTCTTGAGGGGCTCCCATCGTTGATCATAAGGGATGTCATGAAAGGTGGCCTGGGGGGGCAGGCCAAAAGCTCTTGGGGCATCCATCACTATCTTACGCCACGGATTATCGAGGCAACAGTGATATTTGGGCCGTCATGGAGGAAATCGAACCGATTACAGGTGCAGGTTCCGAAGCTCAAGGTAGACTTGAGAAACTGTTTAGGGACACCACCCAACTAATTGATATATGAAGGCAAAAAATGATCGATAGGGGTGTTGAATATTGACCGAGATGGGTATGGGGGAAGGAATCAAAACGCTTCAAGGAGGCGGACCCATGTGGTTTTGTTCCACCGACCTTGGGGCGGTCGCCTTCAGGTTTAAGGCAGCGGATACCTCGTTTGGAACAATCCCGGTATGCAGCTGAAGCTGCCCTTCATCACACGTCTTTTGTCTGTGCAACTCACAAAAGGCGACTCACCAATCAGGGCTTCATGAACGACGCCTCACAGTAGTAGCGGTGGTTGCCAAGCCCCCGCGACCCCAACATACATCCAATGAATGGCGATACAAAAGGAGAGAGGCCAATCAATCTAGTCAACGAACGCCAAATACCCACTCACCTTCACGTTGGCAGTCGCGCTTCCAAGGAGGCTCTGTTGCACGTTACATGCTTAGCTGTCATGCTGCCCCTTCCTCTGTCTCCCGCCCAATTTAGCTCTACCGACGCCCCGCCTTGTCATTCCTTGCCAGCGAATAAGTGGACGAAACAAAAGGCAACTGGCCAATGAGAATGCCACCATTCATTGCGCCTAGACTGGTTGATCAACCCATCTTGTAAGCGGACGCTAGTGTGGTTTCTGCAGGACCTGGCCGGAAGGCTTTCACTCCAACAACTACCATGCACAAAAGGTGAGGATCCAGTAGGATGTGAGGGTTTCTGATTGTTAGTGCATCACTCACCGTGCCTTCATGACGACTGTGACACGCAAGATTCTGCTCGCCCGTACCGTGTCGACTCTTAGGCCTGGCTGCGATGTTATGGTGAGACTTACAAAAGGGGAATGGCCAATGGCGTTCGATTTTGGTAGGAAAAATGGAGACCACATCGACCTTGAACTGGTGAAAGTCAATTGACGAATGCAGATCTGAGCTGTATGTGCCCGGCTTTACTATGCCCAACTGCTTTACCATTGTTATGTCTGCCTGGTGTGGGAGGTAAAGGGCGATACTTAGTAGGGCGGCAGTGCCCGAGCCTGTAAGTCGGTTAAACTGATCAATGCTTGACTGGGAGGTTTCTAGAATGATAAATCTCTCGTTCGAACCCTCGGGCTCTTTTGTCTTTTTATGTTTGACATCAGTCCAACCTCTCTACATATAGCTTCACTGATCGGCTCTTGGATACACTATTTAATTTGCAATTTTCAGAGCGTGTCAACAATGACCTACTCCTCATATCCCAGCTATTCTATATACCTAGTGGTCCGATTTACAAACGCACTCTACACGTGATCATGGGATCTTCACGCAAAAATAACCAGCCCGCGTAACTTTCCGTCTCCAGGAGCCAATGTTTGTTCTGCTATTCCATTCTCATCTCTGAATTTTCAATTCGCAGGCCCGCCCCTCCTTTCTCCGTGGACGAAGAAACATCAAGCACGACTGCCCGCTGCGGTTCGCCATCCAGATCGAAGTCCAGGACTACGAAAACCAATAAGGCTGGCCAAAGAAAGGGCAAGAAGAGTAACAAGAATGAGCTCGTAGGCGAGGATTTGGCCTTCATGGGAGCACACTTTTCGTAATATATTCTAGGTCAAGGCCCATATGATGAATTTGAAATCGTTTTCAAACACCATGGCAAGTTGAATGGCAATGCGGAGTCTTTCCGCCGCACGCTATATGCACTTGGATAAGCATGGTCCGCTGAGATGCTGTAAAGGTACAAAATGTAGAAGATCATCGCACCTCGATCTGACTGGCCTGTCCAAGAATCAGTCACCAACACTAAGCATCATCTCAAAACACCTGAGTAACTGTCCACTTAGTTATGCCCATCGTAAAAGCGCTTTAGTGGGGAAACTTAGACCAAAGTCTTTGCGTCCTAAAAGGCTAGGCGAAGTCAGTTGAGAAACTGATGAAGTCATCGTTTGGACGTCCTACATGAGATTTCCAAGACTAACGCAGAGACAAATGTATCTCGTACGTGGACAGTGGATAGATATTGAATAAGGCCATGGGGTAATGGCATTGAGTGAATATAACACAAACTAGGGAACGTTAAAGGATTGTTGTAATTTCCTCTTGTACTACCTTACACCAGCCACGGAGTCAATTTGGAAGTCTCACAATCCAGCATTCCAGTTTATCGTCTCAATGATACGGCACCTCATTAGATTTCGATGCAATCCCCTCACACCACGCTCTCGTCTTCTATAATTCTTCCATATGTAGAGAGAAACATGTTACCCATAACTACTTACTATTACTCTGCTGTCAACCAAAGTTCAGACCGAGGAAGTTTAGACTTAGAACCTCGTAATCAACCACGTGCTACAATTAAGAGAAGATAGCTGATTGCGGGCAACTTGCAAAGGAGAGAAAGGCGAATTGAGAATGGAAGAGTTCCATTCGGTTGCATAATTGGTTTGAATCGACTTCGATCGCACATTTACAACCTTTGTTTCAAGGAATGATTGTGAATCAATTTTCTTTGAAATTATTACATGCATTGTTTAGGTAGTACGGAGCCGAATATGTTTGTGTAGCTAGCTTGCTGGACGGAGTAAAACCGGATGAACGTAGAAGCCTAACTTCGTACGCTGTCGAGACACTTCATTGGTAGCTCTCATGATGCGACCCGTTCATGAAATTGTGCCAACCAGACATCGGACTGATTACGTCGATCTTCTTCTATTAACCCGACGGACTATGCTGAGAACTAATTTCCACCGGCTTTTGTGGATATAGTAGCAGTTAGAATACAGTTGTGACTGGGACTGAGTCAGGAGCAAGGTCCACTCTCACTTCGTGCAAGTTTAGAGCCAAGAAGCTCACGAGGACCGATAAGTAATTTTGAAGAGTTGATTATTATTCACGGCCAGTTCAATTTACGTAGTCATGGATTCGCAGTGTAACTCGTCCACACTTTCATGCAACACGACTCGTGTTGCACGCACGCTCTGTCCAGAGGCAGTTGCGATCAGTGACAGTTAAGCTTTCCCGGAGTCTAAAGCATTATGAGTTGATGGTAGTTCTCCTAGAAATTTGTATATAACATCATTCCTCCTCCAATTGACAAGAGCTAATAGAAGAACCTCTCAACCATCACAATCAATTCACATTGTCTAAGACGTTCGAAACATCAAATCAACCAGCAAATCAACAAAAACATCATCATCATCAATTTCATCCATTCAAAATGAAGTTCACTATTTTCGTCACTGCCTTCGCCATCATCAGCGGCGTAGCTGCAAAGGTTTGTCCAAGTCACTTTGCAACAAACGTTTCGCTGTGAAGTAATGGGTGTCAATATAACGCTAACCCATGATACAGGACTGCTGCTGCAACGTTCTGCCCGCCAACGAGTGCGATTGCAAGGGCCCGTATGCCGACAACGTCAACTGTGACGAGATCTGCCGCATCAGGAACAGCTTCAGCTGCTGAGCCGTGTAAGACATGAGATGGGCTGACACCAATCTGAATTCTGAATTCTGAATTCTGAATTGGAGTCTTAGACGGAGGCAGATATGAGATAGACACTGCTTGAAGTGGGCGATATGGGATGCTTTGTTACACCGGGTTTCCATTACATATCACTGCCAATAGATAGCTCATTTTCCAGCAATATGGTCTCCGCTATAGGATTGCAGTCTACGGTTGATCTCACAAATGAATTTTTGACAGCATCACTGTCGAGGAGGACGTTTCGATGCGGTCTTTAGTTAGTGCTGGTAAGGTTGTCTGTCAGATCCGTCCGCACTTCTCAGACCGACCAATACATAACGCAAAATGCTGTAAGTGGGCTGCTTGTGGTCGCAGTCAGTACCTTACATGTTAAATGCGGAGATGATAGACCCGTTGGTCTCCTCGAGAACCTCAATCTTTCCGTTCGTATTATAAATGCTATAACGCATTATACTAACCCAGAACAACTCGAATATTGATTGAAGGAAGAAAGTGTAAGCTCGAGGCGAGAGAAAGAAACCATTTCAGAATTGGGTCTAGTTTCGATTGAGATCAATATGCTTACCCTAGACCCATTGGACGAACGGTAGTTCGCTGGATCTTGGCGGGTAGCAACCTGAAGCAGCACAAGGATCGTGTTGTGACCTTCTCTCGGAGGCCTCGCTCCGGTTTCGACCCCCAAGACAGGAGATTCGTGGAATATGACCCCTTATATTTCGCCAGTGACCGGAAAGACTTTTCTGATATTAAGAAGCTCTTGGGAGTTTCTTCACAGCGTTCGTGAGTGTCAAGAAAGCGACTGATCGCAAGCGCCCTGTGAGCATTGAGCGTGATGGTATGGAAGTCACTGAGATGGCAGCTTTATTTAAGAGTTGATCGGCCGGCCGAGATTGATCGAGACGATTGAATTCCAGACAACCTAAGAGATTGAGAGAGTGAAGTCAAAGTCATACGTCTATAAGTCGCCAGTACCGCAGCAAAATGAAGTTCTCGCCAACCGCTCTGCTCGCTGTGGCAGTCGCCTCTGCCGAGGCCCACTGTAAGTCTGACTATCATGTACGCATCTCACAAAATGCACAAAGTCGGCGCTGCACACAAAACAATACAAGGTAGCTCTGACTTCTTTGACCGCAGACACCTTCGGTCGCTTCGTCTACGGCGGCACAACCTACCCGGAATGGCAACACGTGCGCAAGACGCTCAACTTCTACACCAACGGCCCGGCCGACGGTGTGTCGTCGACGCAGATTCGCTGCTACGAAGCAGACGCCGCCGACCGCGGCACGGTGACAACGCTGCCGGTATCGGCAGGCTCGACAATCGGGTTTGCGGCGAACGGGGTCGTAGGACACCCGGGACCGGCGAGCTTCTACATGGCCAAGGTGCCGACCGGCCAAACCGCGGCGACGTGGGACGGCAGCGGGGCGGTGTGGTTCAAGATCTACCACGAGAGGCCGACTATTACGAGCAGTGGGTTGGAGTGGGCTTCTACCAGTGAGTTGTTTCCAATTTTCTGCCTTCTTTTTGCTTGTCTCCAGGACAATATGACGGAGAAGAGACTCGCTGAGTGTTAGGGAAAAGGTTGGAAATGGGGGAAACAGGGCAGAAAAGAGGAGAAATGCAGAGACTAAAAAGCTTTCTGCGGGTTTCAAAAGAATAAGGACCCTCTGACTTTTGTGGAGAGCGTGTGAATCGCGTGCCCGCAACAGATTCCCTTCGCATAAGGCTGATTCAGTGTTTTGTGGGCTCGTGGGGGTTTTCTCGTCAGCTGGACAAGCAAAAGCTAATGATGAATAACGTCACAGACACTCAAATCCTCTCCACCAAGATTCCGGCGTGCATCCCATCAGGCGAGTACCTCGTCCGCGTCGAGCACCTGGCGCTCCATGGCGCCGCCACGGAGGGCGGAGCGCAGTTCTACCTCGCGTGCGCGCAGGTTTCCGTGTCCGGGGGCGGGAGCACCAGCCCGTCGGGCCTCGTTTCGTTCCCGGGGGCGTACAAGTCTACGGACCCGGGGATCCTGTTCCAGCCGTACTGGCCCACGCCGACAAGCTACACTAACCCGGGGCCGGCCCCGTTCAGCTGCTGAAAAGCTTGTGAGGGAGATGCCGGGATTCCGAGAGCTCGGGAGGCGAGGACCGGGGTTGTTTCTGGGTGGTTTGAGTTAATGGGAGGGTTCCACTTCCCGTCGCAGGGACCGTTCATCCGTCTGATGGTTGATGGGACGTGATGGTGGTCTAGGCTGGCTGGACATAATTCGGCGGACTTTGATTCAACTGATTTCCAAGTTTTTGTTGGGGTTCACTTCAATAGGAGACTACGTACCTTACACTATCACACTGCCTATGTCATTCTGAGCCTGGGGCATGATCTGAGAGTCTCGACCATCATTTCCCCTCTTCCCCCGGTTGCCCCAGGAAAGCCACCCAAGCCACCTGGAGTAGCGTAGCTCGCCGGATTGGAATGTAGCGGAGGTTTCCCTCCTGGCGACTGGCTCATGGGCTATTTCCAGCATATAATCTGGCGGACTAGCGCGGTGCGGTGGCTGTTTGGGTTAGGTCCGCGCGTCCCGCTTATGGTTAGGGATGGTCCTGGGATGGTGAGGGATGAGATGTTCGGCTGGCCGCCACAGGGATGCGGGTGATGTCAGGAATTGCGGGGATTTGTACGTCATTCACGCGAGAGGCGTGGCGCAAAGCTGGAGATCTTCATCGTTCCCTTTTTTCTCTCACTCGAGTTTCCCTCGCTCTCTCACTCGATGCCTCTGCTCAGTCACACCACCCCCGGCCGGGCCACGTCGTCTGCTATCTTGTTCTGAGCTCTCGTAATTCCCATCGCCCGATCGTTTTCAGTGCTGTTTTATTGAAAGTACCTTACTTACCTAATCCCCCCTAATTACGTCTCCGTGGTCTGGCCTGATTCCCATCCGTGATCTGCATAGATCTACAACCTAAGCTCACCTCCTACAAGTACAATTCACGCCGAGAAGCTCGATACCTCCCGTCCCCGAGTGCTACCCTGTTTCCACATTCCCATCATCTCATCAAACCCATTTACAATCCATCGAAATCGCGACGAAGGCTATTTTCTCGAGGCAACACATGCTCTCGTCACAGTCGATTAAACAGATCACCAACCCCTTACCGCACCCCCATCGAAAGATATCATGATGAAGATGAACACGGTCACGATGGACGAGTACGGAGCTCCGTGCTTCCCTCACGAGACCCTTCTCACCCCTCCCGAGTCCCCCGAGCTCAAGCCTCCCGAGGTCCCCGAAGTCAAAGAAGCTGCTTCCGACAACACCACCAGCATTCCCATCCGCAAGAGCAGAAGCCCCTCCTCCAAGAGATGGAACGGCGACGGCAAGGGAATCCAGGTCGATATCGGTGCCCGCCTGCGCGAGTACCTCGACTGCCTCAACAACCGCAAGTTCGATGCCATCGGCAACCACCTCGCCGACACTTTGATGCGCAACAACCGCAGCCAAACACGCGAAGAGCACGTCGAACGTCTTCGGTCGCGAGTCGAGGGCCTCGCAAGCTTCAAGATCAAAATCGACACCCTTCTCGTCGACAAGAAGGCCCAGGCCGTTGCCGTGCGATACATCAACCGCGTCACGCTCGCCGAGGCAATGATGGACGTCGACCCTGTCGGCGCGACATACGAATTCGACGAGCAGTGTTTCGTGTGGTTCGACGACAGGGGCAAGATCTCCCGCATGCTCACGCTGCAGGATAACGACGGCATTCGCCTGCAGACACCCGAGGCCGCGACCACCCCACGCTTCTTCATGCGGAGTCTTCCCGCGGAACCTATTGATCTGGCGGCAACCTACCGCAAGTACGTCGCAAGCATCAACCGGCGTAGCATGGTCAAGGAGTTCCCGCGCTATTGTAAGAAGGAGCTGCGACACAACAACCGCGTTCTGTCGGTGCAGGACTACGCGCGCAGCATGCAGTACAGCCAGGAAGCAATTTCGGGACTGTGGTTCAATATCCAGGAGTTGCTCGTTGATGAGGAGACGCAGCAGGTTGCTGTGAGGCTGCAGATCTCGGGCACGCCGGTGCAGGAGTTTGCGGACGCCAAACCGAACGGAAAGAGCGTCAAGTTCCACCAGCACTGCATGTATCGCTACGACAAGGGGAAGATTGCCCTCGTGTGGGCGACGATGGAGCTTGATTCGTACCGCAGACAGTTGCAGGAGAAGCCTGGCGACAGGAGAACGTCGTCCATGCTGGGCATCAACTGAGCTCAGAGACACAACAATCTCACCAGGGCTGTATTGTATTATTAGCTTACGATGTGACGGACTTTGGGATTACTTTGGAAAGGCGGGACCCGGAAAGGTTCGGAGCGTGGCGCTCTGACGCTGGGAGTTTTGGATCTTCTTGGGTTCATGGTCAGCTTTGAGATAATTGTAATACGCGGTTGCTACATGGCAACATATCTCCCCAGACAGACTTGAGACCCAATTCTCAGTGACAATGTACTCACATCCTACTATTTCATATCCAGCCTCCACGGAGTCAGCAACGAGAATATCATTCAGATGCTATTCTACTAAGTCTCTAAATTGGCATATCCGCTATCATTCGGTACTGTTTCACGTCAAGAAGTAGGTACACGAGGGCCCTGAGTATCAGACGGATCCCTCAGATGAGGAGACTTGCACAAGAACGATACGTCTTCTTTCAATCTTGATTCACACCCCACAACAGCAGAGTGTTGAGCTAGAGATCGCTACCTCATCTGCTTATAAATCGTCCGTTACCATCATTCATTCCACTTTATATCGCGCTTAGACAGGTCTTCTGAGATTCAGTCTGCCGTTTTGTGCAGGGATCAATGCCGGGCAAACTCAAGCGCGTTCGTCCTCTTGGTCCTACCTCTAATCCCTACGACGCATGTTATGCTGATGTCTGCACCTTGCCGTAGAAGGAAATCTGCGGCATCCAATCGACGATGTTTCAGTGCAAGAATGGGTAGGAAGCTGTGTTCCTCTGAATTCGGTATCTTCTCCAGCTTCCAGTAGCATCCTCGTGATGTTGGGTCGGCCACTAGCAATGACTTCTGCCAACCAAAGGTAGATCTGTCTAGGTAGTGTGGGTAAAGTAGGTACATACCCTTTCGGAACTATTCCTTTAGCACCCGTTAGCTGAGATACTGTGCTGATATCGAAGCATTAATGCTGTGAAGCCAATCTCTATTTTGGGAAACATGCCACCTGATGCATTGAGTTCAAAGTTCTTCTGCGTATGCCAAAAGAGTTCACAATTGCTTGGGCTGCTGCTTGCTGCGTAATTACACCGAGATGCCGTGGTCAAAGCAGTTGCTGTCAATGATATGAAGCACGATATCATTCGATAGCAACGCGATGGAGTCCACTACATGAACTAGAGTAATAATGAAGCCCGATAATACAATGCGCAGCCGCTCTCAGGTTCGATCTCAATGAGATTCCGTAGAGGAGCTTTTAACGGCCGGGAAGTATACTCGTATTCTGATCACTTCGATATCTCTACGCCGTTAGTAGCACCTACAAGCAAATCATTAGCTTAGACATGGTTAGAAAGCCAAGCAATCATACCCAGAGCCGTTTTAATGCTGCCATAGATGGCAAATTGGCCAGCAGTGAGCCCACCAATCATAAACAGACGTGCCGGGAGCCCAGCGAATGAACCACGGAATCCAAGCTCGCCCGCAATCTTGTAAAGACGAACCGCGGTACTTTCACCAGGCAATCCCTCTGTCTTGTTGATTTTGGACAGCATGGTGTCAGCTGGTTGCGAGATGACGGCAGCTGCACAACCTGATAACAGACCAGATCCCATATTAATCATGAGCTGGGTAGTGCCGGTCTTGGAGTCATCGAGACGGGCGAAGAAGAAGTCTGAAATCTTTTCGAACGAGACGAATTTTGTAACGGTGTATGGAACTCTTTGCTGGTGTCAGTACGTGCAGCAACGCAGCCCAAGAAGTAGTGAAACACAGCTTACTGTTTGAACAAGATTGGGCCGAATCCGGAGTATAATGCACCAAAACCCTCCTGCTTCAGAATCTTGCTAAAACCACCCATCAACCCGTTGGCGAAGCCAGGCACGGACACGAGTCGGATACGCGTAGCTTCCGCGGGACAAAGTGTGATAGCAGAGCAACACTCAGCACAGGCTGCCGAGACGGAGTAGACTGCCGTACGATTTCTTCTAGCTTTCTCGATTCCAATGAACTCAATCGATTGTTTCTTGAAGAGTTCATACAGGCCAAACTTGACGCCTCCTTGGATAAAGTAGCCGGTGAATGTCGGGCCCAGACCTATCAGTAGAGCACCGACTCCTTCGTTGCGTATTAGTTGTCGGAAACCCGTAATCATGCCGCGGTCGTAGGTTGATGGTTCAAGCTGGATCTTCGTCTTGATACTATGGTATCGTTGTGAGTTTGCGTGTGAGAGAAGAGGTGATAAACGACGTACACATCGACGGGTGTGAAGACAGCATGAGTTATGGAGCTACTCAAAGCACCAGCAAGCGCGAATCGAGCATATAGATCCAGTCCTTCTGGATTCTGCATGTTGGCTTGAGCCTGCATGGCAGGATATGCGGCAGCCATTGCGAATTTTACAAGCGTGAAGGATCTGGCCCCGAGGGAAGCATGTGTGTAACGAGGTGGAACAATGAGGGATAACATCATTAAGAAAACAGTCTCATGGGACGCATGCTATGACTCGGCGGGTGATACCGGGTTGTCTCGGCGAGCATTGAACGCCGTATATTATTGTCGCCGATTCCCCGCTAGACCCCGACCGGGTACCTCTATCGGCGGCCGCAGATAATATGGGCAATTCGTGTTCTTCCAAGCCGGAAGAGACATATGACTGGCCTTATACATAATGTTTCCGTCCTCCTTTTTCTTTCGCCTGCCGGCTTGTAGGATTATTGCGACAACCTCAATTCTAGGCATACCGCTTTCTCCCGGCCGGCGAAACTTATGGGTTCCCGGAGCTGTGGATCCCCGAGGATCCGTCAGATGCAGCGAATCAATATCTTTTCACTCGGGCAAGGTGGGTCGCGGCTCCGTGCGTCGCCTGTTACTGCCCGGAGCTCTCGGTCGATGAGACTCCCACAGCCGGAGGGGTTATCGGCGGCATAGCGTACCTTCAATTACCGAAGCAAGATAAGTACATTTTTATCGCGGTTTTCGTGCTTACATCGCTAGCTGACTTTGGTAAATGCTCTAACCCTCCAAGGTGCGCGATCTTAAGAGTCTATGAGCTGCCGCACACTAGTAGGTAAAGTAGTAGATGTTGAAGAACACAAACAATATATTGGGTCCGAGAAGGCCAATGTATCGGCCCACGTCAGCTTCTCAGAGAAAGAGTGACAGGCCAATACCTCTATGATTTTTTTGAGGCTTTTCCCATCCTGTTGGTTCGGGTTCCCGCGGGCCCACGGATAGCTAAGCCTCAGTATCCACCAGCGAAAGCAATCTGCGGACCTGGGACGATGGCAGGATGACAAGCACCCATGTCAGCCTATCCTGATTGGTGCGGGGATGGCCTGATGCTGATTTCCCCTGAGTCTTGCATGCCCTGCATCTTTGTTTTTGCGGTCAATTGGCAATCGCGAAAGCCTAACACATAGGTCGCTGTGATGACTTACAGTTTGCCAATGGCACTTGGCATCAACCTTGATGGAAGCCTCCAAAGTTCAGCCCTATTGTTCCACGGGCAGCTTCAAGTTGCAGACACATAATGTGCCTTAGGGCAAACAAACTTGAAAGTTGGAAAATGCCAGAGATCTTAACGGCCGCCAGTTCCAAGATCCTGCCCGCCCAAATATGAACATCCCTGCATTCCCGCCGCCTTGTCTCACCGCCCCCTGCGAGGCGCGAAGAAAGGGTCCAACCTGCTCAGCTGGCAGCTTTGGTCTCGCCCTGTTGGGGGAAGGGGAGGGGGCCGCCGACAGGGAAATATTGTTACTGTTACTTCTTTAAGCGACTCGCGCTTATGGGCACTTTCTCAACAGTTTTGTCACACAACTTTCTGCTCGAGAAACATACTGTTTGATTCCTTTTCGCCTCGGCATCTTCTCGTGGAAAGCTGAGCTGAGCTGAGCTTCGCCCCGACTGCGTGACAAGGACCATGATCGAACCCACCACCGAGATCGCGCATACGAAGCGCGCTTCGCCTGTCGCATCCAGGGCGCCCAGGCTTGCTCACTCACAAAAGTTAAAGACCATTGACACGAGCCGGAGGAAGAAGCTTGTCCAATGGCTCTTCGACAATCAAACAAGTACGTCGCGAACAGTGTGGAGGGAAGCTGACCACCTCTATCATTCCTATGCATCACACCCATTCATCCTACAAGTCAATGCTGACCTGAAGTCTTCTAATTGATCAGACCTTGCCTTCCATACAACTGCCCCTCTACTCGTCACACATATCTGCATCCCCGCGGCGCGTCCGTATACATCCAAAATTATCAAACTCTCATATTACAACACGACCACCGGCAAGTATGGCGCCGGCCATGACGACCTCTACTTCGTTGCATTCTGCGTGGTTCTCCTCATCGGCATTCGGGCCGCACTGATGCGCCATGTTCTTGAGCCTCTTGGTCGACACTGGGGCATATCGAAGAAGAAGGATGTCGCGAGATTTTCAGAACAGGGCTCGATGCTCACGTACTACAGTGTTCTATGGCCAGTGGGAATGGTATAGTAGATCAGCGTTCTTACCTCGTGGGCATAGTGTCAACTAACCGGCGAGTCCCTAGTACCTCTATTGCAAGGCGCCATACTACCTCAACATGAAGGAGCTGTGGAACAACTGGCCCCAGCGAGAGCTCGACGGGTTGATGAAGGGATATATCATGGTGCAATGGGCATACTGGGTCCAGCAGGTCATCTCAGTGAACATCGAGGCTCGACGCAAGGACTACTGGGAGATGATTGTGCACCACGCAATCACCATTTCGCTCATTGCCGCATGCTACGCGTATCACCAAACCCGCGTCGGCCATCTCATATTGGTCTTGATGGACGTCATTGAGTTGATCTTCCCAGTCAGTCCTCCATGAGTTGAAATCACGCGCCAAGCCACCTGCTAACAGTCACGATAGCTAGCCAAGTGCCTCAAGTACATCGGCTTCACGACCCTTTGCGATGTAATCTTTGGCGTCTTCCTCTTAGTTTGGGTCTGGACGCGCCATGTGTTCTATCTCATGACCTGTTGGAGCGTCTACTACGACTTACCCCGATCTCTGAAAGAGCCATGCTTCCGAGGCGCCCCGGGCGATATCGAAGGGCCATTCTTGGCGCCCACAGAAGGCTGGTCCCACCTTCTCGAGCCATTCAAGGACCCCGCGGGCACGGTATGCTTCACCAACGGCATTCGATACGGCTTCTTGACCTTTCTCCTTGCTCTTGAGCTTGTTATCTGCGCGTGGTCATTTTTCATTATTCGTGTCTCGGTAAGAGTGCTCAAGGGGGCTCCCGCTGAGGATGTTAGAAGCGATGTCGATGACGAGGAAGAGGAGGAGGAGAAGATCGAGTACGAGGAGATCGAAGCTATTGAGGAGGATGTTGGCGTGGAGTCTATTGACTTGAAGGCTTGGGACAGGTCGCCTTCGCGGAAGGAGTCTTCAAGCTCTAGGGTAAGTGGCGTTAGGACGCACAGCGGCCGAAAGGAGTTGCTCAACAGAATCGGGTGCGAGAAACAGATTGATTAAGGGCTGTGGAGATGATACGCTTCACTGGCTGGCCAAGAGTCACAGACACAATAGACTCCAATTCTGCAGTTCATGACATACAACTTGCTAGATTTCTACTCTGATACTCGTGTTATCCACCCACTCATATCGTGAGACTATAGTACGCCTACGTCAAAGAGTAGCGATTCTCTCTCTTAAGTCCCAGTTTGAACGTTTACCCTCCACTACAATGGATGATCAGTTCATATACCACTTCCGTCGAAATTGAGTAGTTTCAGAGAGGTCTCATCCCGCAGCACCATCTTCTGGAGGCGGTGTGCAGCTCCAGTCCCCTCGTGAACCGGGACCGAGTGAGACCCGCTCCATTCGGAGCAATATGACGACATAAACCCTCCGAATCGGAGGGTAAAAAAACTCGTACGCGTCTCAATTCTCCAGCTCGACCCTCTCCCCCTTTTCCATTCCTCAGCCTCCCGCAACAATTCTATTGTCCGCCAGGGTCTGGCGGGGATGGCGGATGGCAGCCACCGATGGAAACGTGGGTCCTTACACTGTGACTGGAGGCTGCCGAGACATGGACATTCTCATGTTCGGATCCAGCTGAGAAGCTTCTCAACACAGAACTTCAGATTTTGCAACTTACACACAGCTATACGAGTGCCCCCAGAGCCAAAATCAAAGCTCGTAGAAGGCTCGCTGTATGAACTGTACATATATCCCATATATCTCTGATTGCTTTTAAGGACTCCGTCTCCGTCCTCAAACGGGATGAAGAAAACAATCTTCCCCTTCCGGACTTCTGCTGACGCCCCCGTTTGATTAATTGTGTGTCACACACACCGACCAACAGTAGCCCCTGCATTAAGCTATCTCAACACGGACAGCTCTCTAATTGCATCTGGACTGCCTGCGTTGGGGACGCCCGCTCAAATTATTTGATCCCCTCATGATCTCGAATCTTGCGACTCTTTTTCTTTGCGCATCGTGGAGGTGTGAGACGCAGAGTTCTGAAGTCAGACCTGCACCCAGCTTTAAGCGTCTTGATCAATTGGATCAATGATCGGAAGCTAAGGTGTAATTTGACAACTCGAATCTACCGTCAGTACGACGACCAAACGATCGCGACGACGAAGCACTTCACGGACTCCCGCCGAGACCCAAAACCCCACGACCTCTTACAACATGGGCGCAAACTACATGGACCTCCAGCCAGGCGCTCAGATTCCGCCTCAGATGTTGAACAGCCGCCAGACAAAAAGCTACTCGAAGCGCAAGAAGACGAAAGTATTCGCTTTCCTGCGTCGTCGGACCTGGGCGTTCCCGTTGTTCCTCACGATCGCGATCCTCTCCCTCTACGCCGTCAATCCGACCGACTCTAATCCGACGTACCACTTCATATTCCCCTCCTACAAGCTCGACGATGACAGCCCCGGGATGACACAATATGGCAAGGGACCTTGGGACATCGCCTTCGTTGCCTTCTACACAATATTTCTCACCTTCACCCGTGAGGTCTGCATGCAGGAGCTCCTGACACCCCTCGCTCGCGCATGGGGCATCAAGTCCCGCGCCAAGCGCGCACGCTTCGCGGAGAACATGTACACGGCGCTCTACGTGACTGTTATCGGACCCTGGGGCCTGCACGTCATGAGCCGTACGCCAGTGTGGTATTTCGACACCCACGGGATGTACGAGGGCTTTCCACACCGCACGCACGACGCCAGCTTCAAGTGCTACTACCTCCTACAGGCAGCGTTCTGGGCGCAGCAAGTAGTGGTGATGGTGCTGGGCCTGGAACAACGACGCAAAGACTTCCATGAGCTTGTCGCGCACCATGTCGTCACGGTTGCACTGGTTGCACTGAGCTACCGCTTCCATTTTGCGTATATGGGCATCGCGGTGTACATCACGCACGATATCAGCGATTTCTTCCTGGCAGTGTCGAAATCGCTGAATTATCTCGACAACAAGCTTCAGGGGGTGTCGTTTGGGGTGTGTATCGCAGTGTGGATCTACCTACGACACTACATCAACCTGCGGATTCTCTACTCTGCGCTGCCAGGATCCGAATTTAGTACCGTTGGGCCGTATGAGTTGAACTGGGAGACTGAGCAGTACAAGTGCCCGTTATCGAACTTCATCACCTTTGGCCTCTTGGCTTTGTTGCAGGCACTGAACCTGTTCTGGTTGTATTGCCTGCTGCGAAGCGCTTACAAGTTTGTCTTCTTGGGGGTCGCGAAGGATGATAGATCGGAGGATGAGGAGGTTCTGATAGCCCCGTCGGCCGTTCAAGACAAGGTAGTAACGGCTTCGGATGTGTCATCCCACAGCCTTGAGGGACCCAAGCCCCCATCAACACAACGCCCTGTGCAGGAGAGAAGACCTAGAAAGGCCACGATAGAGTTGGACAGAAAGAAGTAGACAGCCAGAATAGACAATTGGCACTCGTTTGTTTACTTTGACTCGGACGTCAGGTCGTGCAAACCTTTCAACGGTCAAGGTATACGTAGTAAGTGGTTCGCCCGATTATGGCCATGCAACATACCGTGAGTAGTAAGTCAAGAGTGAAAACGTTTTTCAGCTATCGGGCTAACAGAGGCATGTTTTTGAAAATATTGAAACTTAGAAACACGATACGCTTACATCACTTGAAGAAAAGCCTCGGATACTCAGAACATTTCAGACCACTATTCCAATGCGCAAGAATATGTACAAGACTTCAATGACACTAATGATGGCAAAACGTACAGGATACAGCCAGAACTCCAAATATGCCCCATTAGAAATCACCGCCTCAATAACTTTGGCAGGTTCATCGGCTCCCCAGACCCCAGTGAACTCCGGAACACGGCAGCCATAGCAGGCGACAGCCCAATCTCCTCCGCGCGATCAATCCACTCATCCAAAACCAATGCCTCAACAGCTTCTCCCGTCTCAGTCTCCAAATGCTCTCTTATTTGGCTCACATTCAACTCCAAGTCGCCAGACTCGTGGATGTACACAACTTCATCCTCCTTAGACCCGGACATGACAGCCCCCACCACCCCACTAGTGACCGTCCCCGGCTTCACCAAGTCGACAAAGCCGCGAAGACCAGGTGCGGCTGGCACGGCGCGCACCCGCCTTGAGTAATCCAGCATGTTCTGTAAAACATCAGCGGCCGGGTTCTCGCCGGTCCTGTCGGCCTCGGGACGCATAATGCTCGACGGGCGGTGGATGTAGATTGGCAGACCGCTTTCTGCGTGGACGTTCTCGAGGTATACCTCGCTGGCCCACTTCGATGCAACGTAGCCGTGTTGACCGTCCGCTGGTGGCATATGTTCGCGGACCGAGACCTCAGCCAGCTCCTTGAAAGGGGTATACATGGCGACACCCGTGGTGGATACATAGTGCAGCGGAATCTGCCGGGAACTGCACAGTCGGACGAGCTCCTGCGTTGCGACGAGGTTTGCAGCGCGGAGGGAGGGGTAAGTCTTGAGATGCGAGACATCCGCGCCGTTGTGGATCACCGCATCGACGGATTGGAAGATGCGGAGGGCTGCTTCTTCCGTGAGACCCAGGCGAGACAAGCTCAGATCACCTTCGTAGAACTCAGCCTTTGGCCCAAGCTCAGAAAGTAGATCTTGGCGAGCTTGGTTCTTGGGGTTCCTGACGGCTATGCAAATGACCTTCTCGATGTTCTCCTTCTTGACAAGGGATCTGGCGAGATATTTGCCGAGGAAACCAGTGACTCCGGTCAAGACAACAGTGCGAGGAGGCTTCGTAACAGGCTCGGCAGTATCTCGCTCAGAAGCAGTATCTCCCGGCAGCAGGGCAGTTTCGCTTGCCCAATCGATTTGCTTTTCGAGCTCCGGCTCCGTATCGTCAATCCCGGGAAGAAGTCGTGCCATCGACCTTAGGGTAGTAGCTTGGAAAAGCTTGGGCAGTTCGATGAAGATGCCGAGATCCGCACGGATCCGACCCTGAAGCTCGATCAGAAGAAGCGAGTTACCTCCGATGGTGAAGAAATCGGAATCCGCTTCGATGTCGTGCAGTCCAATCAGCTCTTCAGGGATCACAAGTTCCCAATAGCTCTGGAGTATCTTCTCGGCCGTGGTCAGTCTCTTGGACCCTTCGGAACCATCTCCATCATGCTCAGCGCGATGGAAAAGCCCCTGCGAGATCGGCAGAGAAGCGATGACCCGTCTGTCGACCTTGCCAGCTACCGTTCTGGGAAGCGAGTCAATCGGGATGAGGGCCGAGGGACACATGTTGCGTGCCAATGGCAATTCTGCGAGAAGCTTCTTGAGGAACTTGCTCGTAGAGCCGGTCAGACTCTCGCCCGAGAAGACGACATGAACAACCATGAACTTGACCGACCCGTCAGATGTGCTGCGAAGAGACGCCACGGCATCGGCGAGAAGACCGTTGGAAGCTTGCACGACGGTATTCTCCACGTCCTTCAAATCAATACGAACACCATTCAGCTTGATTTCTGTGTCGTCTCCGATGCGTCCCTTCAGAACGAGGGTCCCATTGGGCTGCAGGTATCCGACATCTCCTGTTCGGTACATGGTCGTCCATCCGCGCTTCAGATCGTCCTCGGTTGCAAAGGGATCCGGCAAGAAGGATGCCTGAGTCCGATCCTCCATATTCAGGTAGCCTTTGGCAACGCCAACACCACCGATGGCAATCTCACCCATCTGACCAACCGGCTGAAGGCTCAGACTGGCGTCCAAGATATAAAACCGCTCATTTGCCGATGCCACCCCAACGGGAATAGTTCCATCATAAAACCCAGGCTCACGGTACGATAGCTCCATTTTGGTAGATCCACATGTTGTCTCTGTCGGACCGTACACATTGAATAGACGGAGACTCTCGCGATCTACCTCACGGAAGACCTGTAGAAGCGGCTCAGTGACGGCTTCTCCAGCGACCAAAGCCAGCCGCCAGACCGAGGACCGCAATGTGCCCTGATTTTCGCGTCTCAACCAACTCTTGTACTCAGTTGGAGTCGCGTAGGTGGCCGTCACACCTCGGCCCTTGATAAGCTGGACCATTGCGTGCGAGTCGGCGCGCAGAGTGTGAGACACCGTGTGCAGCTGGGCTCCCACGCCGAGAGCTAAGAAGATTTGCGTCACGGATAGGTCGAAGCTCCAAGCGCTCTGCTGGAGAACGACATCATCTTGGTTCAACCCGTAGGTGGCCGCACAATGATCGAACTCGTGCTTCAAGCTGCTATGGCGTAAGATGACTCCCTTCGGGGTTCCCGTTGAGCCACTGGTGTACAGAATAATGGCTGGTGCGTCTGGTTGAGCGAGGTTGGGAACCTCTTTCTCACTCAACTCTTCCAAGGCTGACACGTTGACTAGAGAAGTACCTCTCTCTAGCTCCAGATTTGTTGTATCGTCTTTCGTCAAGTAATGAACTAAGATTGAGGAAGGTTCGCTGTCGCGCACGATCAGAGATAGTCTTGCGACTGGTGTATTGACATCGAGTGGGACATAGACGGCGCCAATCCTGAGGATCGCAAGGAGAGAAGGTATCCAACAGATTGATGGGTGCTGAAAGACAGCGACTCTGGAGCCGGGCTGGACACCTTGACGAAGGAGTTCCGATGCAATCGCGTTCGTCTTAGTAGAGAGTTGTGCATAGGTAATCGAGTCACTAGCGTCGTCGGTCACGGCAACTCTCTCCCTGACAGTCGGGAAGAAGCTGTCGAATCGATGAATGAGGGTTTCGGGCCAAGATGAGTTAAAAGTCGCGCCTGAATGGATGTTAGTACCCTGATACGATGCAAAGTAAGATACTGCTCTCTGGTGAACTAACCGCGTCCCAATGTAAGAGCCTTCTGCAGAACAGCAGGTCTAAAGTGCCAAGCGCTACCAACAGCCTGATCCGGTGCGTTGGCGAACTCGCGAAGAATATCCTCGTATCCATGCTGCAAGATCTGCGCATCAGACTCTGTGTACAAGGACTCTTGCAAGTTCAAGAGAATGCGTGTATCCCCAGTGGTGTTGTTGATCACGGTGAAGGTAATGTCGTAAGGAAGCTCAGCCATCTCCTGCTTCATCATCGTCATCCGGCACCCGAGGAACATTTGGCCGTCTTCAAGGTCGTTCTCGGCATAATTCATGAATGCCTGTGCCAAGGGTGTATGAGTAGCCTGGCGTGAGATGCGGAGCTCGTTCAAGATGACCTCGAGTGGGATAGAGTTGGCAAGGACAGCGAAGCTCTTCTCCCTCGCCTCGTCCAGAGCACTAAGGAAGGGCTGTTCAGCGCTTGCGGCCATGCGCAGAGGCAGCATATTGAGGAACGGGCCGATGCCGGAGCGCATACTATCGTCTCGCCGGCAGCTGTCTGCGATACCGATACAGACGTCGGTGGTGCCGAGGAACCTGTGCAGGAGTGTCTTGAAGGCCGCGAGGTGGAAGTGGAACGGCGTGGCGCGATACTTCCTAGCTACCTGACGAATCTTTGCTGAGAGCTGCTTGTCGATGCGGAAGTCTGGGATGCGGGAGGCGTAGCGCTCAAGAGGCTGCCGCTCAGAGATCTGGCTGCGATGGAGGGATAGAGGATCGGGAATAGTGGTAAACTCGTGGCGCCAGAAGTTGATGGCCTCGTCCCATTCTCCGGACGAGTACTGCCTTTGCTGGTCATCAGAGTAATCGAGGTATTGGAGAGGGTTCGGGTCGAGGGGATATCCGTTGTACAGGCGCTCCAGGTCGCCCATGACAGCGTCATTGCTGGCTCGATCGAAAAAGATGTGGTGAGAGCTCATCAAAAGGTAGTGATCCCGTGGCGAGTATGACAGTAGAATCGTACGGCTGGTCTCGCCTCGGCTAAGGTCGAAGACATGGCCCCGGAGTGCTGCGTACTCATCGAAGAGTTCGTTCTTGGTGTAGATCCTCTTGTGCTCGAGGGCGAAAGACGGGGTCTTCATGACTCCTTGGCTGGGCTGGCCGTCGCGCTCGCAGATGCAACTACGCAACGACTCGTGGCGTTCTCCTAAGGCTCGAACAGCGCGGGAGAGATCGGGAATGCGCACTTCCCCGCTAAGATGAAGCATAACTGTGTTGTTCAGAGTGGTCTTGTCAGGCAAGAGTTCGTGCACAAACAAGAATACTGACTGGGTGTAAGACAAGCGCCCGAACCTTTCCAACTGAACTTCCTGAGGTCTTGCCTCTTTCTCCTCCTTGATTCCGAGATCGCCGTTGACTACAGATGAGTTCTCTGTCTCGGGAGCGGTCGAAGGTGGTGTTCCAGAGTTTTGGGATGACTCCTCAGAGGATGGTGATGTGTCCTCAGACTGAGAAGAAGAGAACAACTTGGGTGCAAGCTCTTCCGGTATCTCCTCCACAGCGTGGTCGATGAGACCCTGGAGTGCTTCGCCCTTGAGAATCCGGAGCGCAGGAATGTTGACCTGGAAGTTGTTGAGGAACCAAGAACGGATCCTGACGGCGACCAGAGAGTCGAGGCCCAGCTCGTCGGTGCGAACGGCGGTTGTGATGGCATAGTCGTCGCTGAGATGGAGCATCTTGCGCATCTCGGCAATGAAAGATTCTGATGTTATGTTAGTCATTGATCTCACGGGAAGCGGGAGCAGAAGTAGTTATGATCTCACCGGTGATGATCTTCTCAACATCATCTCTCGTAGTCGCATTGGCCAATTGGTCCTTGATAGACGGACCAGCTTGCGTATTAGCCGCGCTTGTGTCTTCAACAGCGACCCTCTCCGTGAGACACGCGAACTGAGGATAGCTGTACCACTGCGGCCGGTTAGGCGCGTTGGCCGGCATCCGTCTCAGTCCGATGGAGATCTGCCACTCGGCACCCGACTCGGGATGGCCATACTGGATGGCCTCTGCCAGTGTCTGGTGAACATCATACTCGGAGATTGTCAAGAGTCCTCGCTCAAAAGAGGGTCGAGTGAGGACATTGCCCTTCTCGCGGGTGATGTAGCCTGTGCCCATGATCAAGCCAAGCTCCACGACCGACGCGGGCAGACCACGCTTGCGTCTTTGCTGCGCCATGCCACTCATGAACAAGTTGGCGGTCGTGTAACCTGCCTGGCCAGGATTACCTGCGACAGTTGCAACTGAGGAAAAGAAGATGAAGAAGTCTAGTGGCTCATCTCCTAAAACGCGATCAAGGTTCAGACTACCCTCGACCTTGGGACGGAGAACGCGGCTGAAATCCTCCAGTCCCATATCGCGGAGCGACATATCAAGCAGAATCATGGCGCCTTGGTAGACACCGGCGATCGGAGGCAACGTGCTGGAAATCTCGCGATGTGCCTGCGAGAGGGCGTTGTAGTCGGTGAGGTCACTGCGTTTCTAATGTTAGTCTATGCCTTCAACCTGGTATGACGGTCAGCTTACCATGCCACGATACGAACCACTGCGCCTCTCGCCTCTGTAATCTTAAGCCACGTCTCATCGACTTTCGGGTTGCGACTAGTGACAACTAGGTACTTGGCGCCATTTCGAATCATCCAGTCTGCGATAGAGATTCCAAGATCGCCAGACAGTCCAACCAACCAATAAGTCCGATCAGCCTTGAATTGGGCGGTTGCGGGTTGTACAGTGATAGAGACAGAAGAGGCGTTCCAGTCGACAATGGTAAGGGCATCAGGAGCCCCCTTGACCGTCTCGAGATCTTGAACACTAATCAGGCTAATTGCCGCATCATCCTGCGTACGGTTCTCAAGAGCTGAACTGGCATGGGTCGCTGCAGTTGCCAGTAGCTTGTTGACGTCGTTGCCAGACGCTCGGCCCATCTTTGCAGTTGCGGCGAATAGGGAAGACGCATTGATAACAGGAATACTGCCTGGAAGGGAGGAAGACAGTGGTGATGGGCCTTCTTGTGTTGTGAAGTCGATGTATCGGGAGATGTTGGTAGGGAGAAGCGCCCTGATCTCAGACTGGCGCATGTAACGTCCGACGTAGACGGCATCAGTGTGCTTTTCAACCTCTCGCGAAGAGGTAGTGCAAGCCAACTTGATGCCAGCAAGCTTAGCATGACTACTGAGTAGCTTCACTACCGCCTCGGGAGCGTCGTGAGCCAAGAGAGTGTCTCCTTCGCTGAGGGACCCCGCAAGTGCTGGCATCAGAAGCTGCGCAGCAACATCTGCCAAAAACACCGCCGCAGACTCAGGGGCAATGGAACAAGCGACGAGGTTCCTCTTGGATATGTTGACTACTGAGGCAACAGACTCGGAAAGTCCAACGTACTGAGTGCCGCTCGTTGGGCAGCTTCCCAGCACCAAGAATGCATCCCCACCGTCGATCTTGATGGCATACAAGCTGGAATGCGTCAAGTTCAAGGTGACTGCGCTGCCATCGGAGAGGCTAGGGGCAACAGAAGGCCGTTCGACAAGTATATGCCGGTCATCTACACTTTCAATAGCGATTTGAGAGGTCAGAGTCTGAGCGTCCTTCACAATGGTCCTGCGAGCCGCGTTGTAGCGATCATTGGCGGTGCTAACAGGTCTCATCCGGGGAACCAACTGGCGTCCGTCCGAGTCGATGACGATCTCAGACTCGACAGACCAAAGGGACTTGCGTTGGCTTTGCTCTTGGACCGAACCAGACATTTGGAAGCGCAGGACCGACTCCACCAACGCTCTGGCGTCGATACGGTGCGCATCTTGGAAGTCGATGAACTGATAACGGATCTCTGGAATCTCCCACAAGGCCGATCGGGCGAATCCGACACCCATGTTACCGAAGGGATTGTCGATCATGCGATCTTGGGTGATCCATGCGATAGACTTCTCAGATCCGAAGAGGTGCTTGAGGCCAGCCCAACGAGCAGTTGTGATTTCTTTGAAGACGGGATGATCGAGGTCTTCGAGAACAAGGACGGTGGCGTTCTCGTTGATTTCGACATCATCAAGTCTCTCCAGTGATTCAACCACCGTAATCTCATCGCAGAAAGCATGGATCAGCTTTCGAATGTCCTGCACCAAGCGAGAAACACGCAAAGTGGCTCCTCCAATGATGAAGAGATGTTTGATGACAGATTGTCCAACAAATAGCGATGGAGATGCCAACAAAGGCTCCCGAATGAACTCGACCCAGTCATCAACAGCCTGCGAGACCATGACGGAATTGGGGAGAGACATGGCATCCTTGACGGGCGTCATGGTGTCGACTCCTGAGAACCCAGTCTTGCGCAGTATGGCATCCCACTTGGACTCGGACACGCAAGCACCCAGGGTTCTTCCCTCTTCAACGCCCTGCCACCATCCTGGCAGACATCCAAAGAGTGCGGTGCCGCGGATGATGTCGGTATTTGTGACCTCGTAAAGAACGAGGTAGCCACCAGGCTTCAGAAGCGATCGCACGCGACGCACAGTCTGCTCAATGCTCTTCGTGGCATGCAGCACGAAGGAGGCGACGACAATATCATATGAGTGCTCCTCGAAGCCCTGAGTCTTCATATCCTGCTCAAGGTCCAGAACACTATACACCATGCGGTCCTCAAATGCCTCGAACTCGGCCTCGGCCTTGTCGAAGAAGGCCGCTGAGACATCGGTGAAGGTGTACGTTGAGAAGTTGTCGTCCACCCGCTTGAAAATCTCTCGAGTAGCCTGTCCGGTGCCGGCGCCGACCTCCAGAATCTTGCTCTCTGGATACCGCTGCAGGATTTGCACGACAGTCTCAGCTAGGAGGTCGGTGCCTCGGTTGATGCTTCGGGCTTGGGCGTAGTAGTCGGCCAACAGTCCGTTGTTCATCAAGTGCTCGAGCATGGTTGTCTCCCCCAGAATAGCTCGAGGCATCTGCTCTCCGACAATATGCATGGCCTTAACTTCGGGCTGATCGGAGAACGGCTTGGATAGGGCGACAATGTCTTCCAACGTGTCGTTGAGCCATTCCTTCTTGGCGTAGCGATGCTTGCCTTGCTGGACGAGCTTGTGAGTATGGGAAGCGAAAGAAAGATAGGCGGCATTGTACGGGTCAGATCGTCCGGGGTGACCCTCTGGAATCTGGCTTTCCAGCTGTCGGAGGTAGAAGTAGCTGCCGCGCTCTAGGATGACTGCCATCTCCTTGTCTTGAGCAGAGGCATCGTAAGTGCCAGGGATGTCAGCGTTAGGCTCAGAGTGCACCCAGTGCGTAGCATAGAACTGCTGCTGATCATCAGCTGGGGACGCCGGGGTGAAGGGGACAACGTGGAGTCCTTCCACCTGAACAGCAGTGAATTCTCCATCCTGGTCATGGATATCGACATCGCCCTGGAATCCAGAGGTATCCGCAGACTCAGCGTCGTCGGCCATGGATGCGACGAATGGGACTTCAGCAGCGCCTGACCAGTGACGCCCACACAAGGAAGGGTTGATTCTGATCTTGTCAATTCGGGTCGGCAGATGTAGACTCCAAAGTCTGCCATCTTCAGGGTAGCTGAAAGTCAAGATGATAGAGTGGAAGGCTGCGTCCAAAACCGCGGGGTGGATGATGAGAACCTCGTCATCAGACTCAGGTGCTGTCAAGGCGAGAGATCCAGACGCCTTGCCAAGCTTTCTCTTTAAGTCAGACAGAGCTTTGAAGGGACCCGTGTACCCGTAGCCGACATCATTGAGGGAAGAGTACGCGAGCTCTGTATCGACGTCCACCATGTAAGGCTCGATCCGGGCAGTCGCGGGCAGCGTGTCACGAGACGCCTCTCCAAGTGAGACGGAGATCTCGCAACTTGCGACAAGCTGGAAGTCCTTGTGTGATCCTATACATGCCTCATACGTAAAGTGGGCTGTGATAGAAGCAGGGTCGTCGCGGATGATGTTGCTGATGACAGACCGAACCTCGATGCCAGACTCTTGCTCATCGTTTCCGAATACCAAAGCCTGATGAATCACCAAGTCTTTGATTTCCATGAGCTGAACCGGAGTCTCTCCCGCAAGGAATGGAATGGTCTCGAACGCCGTGGCAGCGTACGCAGCTGCGGGGAAGACCGTCTGGCCTTGGATTCTGTGGTGGTGAACCCAGGGGAGATCATGAGGGCGCAAGATCGCCTTCCATGTGACCTGGTGAGCTGAGCTCTGGGGTTGCAAGTCTCCGAGAAGCTGGTGAACGGGTTGACTCCTTGTGCGCAGGTTCTTTGACAGGTTGGACTCGTGCCAATACCCTTGAGAGTGATTCCATTGATATGTTGGCAGATCAGATATGAAGTGGTGCTGCTTCGGTCCGCTAAGTGCAGATTCATAGCGATCAAAGTCGATGATGAGGTTGTCAACGTGCGTCCACACATAGCCGATCGCAGAGGAAACACTCTGGACTGCGTTGGTGTTGCGCTGGAGTAAGCCAGTGTACGGAATTTCGACCTTTTGCTCCTTGAGCGTGTCAAGAACGGGACCCTTGAGAGCAGGATGAGGGCCGACTTCAATGGCAGCGTCAAAAGGACCGAGCTGCATGGCCTTCTCGACTGCTTGCATGAAGAGCACTGGCGAGAGGAGGTTGTCGACCCAGTATGACGCATCAAAACTGTTTGACGCGTCGAGGGACCGGTCCGGGTTGACACTGGAGACCCAAGTACACTTCGAGTCAGATTGCTTCATCTGGATGGCGAATGGCTTCATGGACTCCAAATACGGCTGGGAGCAAGGGACCATGTGGTGTGAGTGGTAAGCCTTGTCTACCCTCAGACGTCGAACGAACTTGCTTTCGTCCTCGAAAATGTCAATCATCTCCTCAATCGCGTCTTCATCACCAGAGATGGTGATGCTGGTCGCAGAGTTGCATGCGGCAACCTTGACTCTTCCCAGGAAGTAGTCATCGTTGCAGATAGATTCGGCGTCCTCTAGAGTCGTTCCAACCGCTAGCATAGCACCTTGCACTCCCTCTGGACCTTCAGCCAAACGGGAATGAAGGCCACGGTAGTATGCGATGCGAATAGCGTCAATGGCAGATAGGGCTCCAGCAGCAAAGGCTGCCCCAATCTCTCCAGAGGAGTGACCAACTACTGCAGCGAAGTTGATACCACATTGACGAAGGAGCTCAACAAGGATGACTTGAACAGCGGTACACAGAGGCTGCGCAACTGAAGCACTGCCAATCTGGCTCGTCTTCGCTTCGGCGAGCAGTTGCTCCCTTAGAGTCCAAGATGGGCGGTCGGCCTCGGGCAACTGCACCAAAGCATCATCCATGGTGGCTAGCAAGTCAGAGGCGTACTGGGAGGTTTCAACAAGCTCAGCTCCCATGCGAGCCCATTGCGCACCTTGACCCGTGAAGACGCCCAAGAGGCGAGCTTCCTTGGTGCTGGTGCCGGCAGCCTTGGAGTCCAACTGAAAGTTGCTGTTGCCAATGATTCCCTTTAGGTTGGTCTGGAGCACCTCAATGGTTGACGCTGGCAGCGCCAGTCGCAAGGGAAGACGAGAGCGGCGTGATCGCAGTGTCCACGAAAGGTCTGAAGGGCTGGTTTTGGGATGTTGCTCCAAATACTCGGCGTGGGCGGCGAGACTAGACAAAAGCGATTGCTTTGACTGAGCGGAGAAGAGGAAAGGAGCGACGCTTTGGGTGTCGTTGTCTTCCTCGGAACTGGACGCCTCATACCCCTCGAGAATGATGTGCGCGTTTGTACCACCAAACCCGAAGCTGTTCACGCTGGCTCGCCGGCTTTGACCCGGTGCAAGCTGTGGCCAAGGGGTAAGCTCCTGGGGAATCTTCAAGTTGCTGTAGAAAGGCAAAACGTTCGGATTGAGGTTTTCCAGCAACATGTTCGGTGGTACATAGCCGTGCTTCATGGCTTGCACGACCTTGAGAATACCAGCAATACCGGCTGTGCTCTCCGTATGGCCGATGATGGTCTTAATGGAACCGACGAGCAGACGATCCGCAGCAGGATCTCTGTTGCCGAAAAACGCGGTGTGCACAGCCTCGGCCTCAACCGGGTCACCTGCTGGCGTTCCCGTACCGTGAGCTTCGAAGTATTGGCAACGATCGGTGTCGGACTCTGGATTGAGTCCTGCTTTGGCGTAGGTAGCGCGGATGAGCGACGCCTGCGCCGCTGCACTGGGCATCGTGATGCCGCGACTGCGACCATCTTGGTTCACGCCAGTCTCGCGAATAATGGCTTCGATGTGATCACCGTCAGCCAGTGCAGCGCTTAGCGTCTTAAGAACAACAGCGGCCACGCCGTCACCGCGTGCGTAGCCGTTAGCACCTTGGTCCCACATGCGAGAGCGACCATCGGGAGACAGCATTTTCAGCTTGCTCTCGTGGATATAAGGCTCGGGGCCGAGAAGAAGATTACTTCCGGCGGCCAATGCGACACGGACCTCTCCGGATCGCAGAGCCTGAACGGCTTGGTGCACCGCGACCAGACTGGAGGAGCAGGCGGTGTCTACAGTGAGTGAGGGTCCATGCCAGTCGAAGAAGTACGATATCCTGTTGGAAACGATACTCCGAGCGGTACCTGGGGCTGTTAGTAAAGTCTTCATTGTGTTAGAGGGTGCAACTCTCACCAATTGCAAGGTACGTTGGGACGTGCTGCAAGTCTCGAAATTGCAGAGATTCGTAGTCGACATACATAACACCGACATAGACACCAGTGTTGGAGCCTTTGAGGCCTTCAATAGTCAAGCCAGCGCTCTCCAAGCCCTCGTAAACTGTCTCCAGAAGGAGGCGCTGCTGGGGGTCCATGGCTATTGCTTCCGGCGCTGTAATGTTAAAAAATTGGGCGTCGAACTTGTCGACATCTTCTTGAAGTAGGTAGGAGTGCTTGACGTTGGCGTGACCGGGAAACTGAGAATCCTTGTGGTGGAATCCACGGACGTCGAATCGACTGGGCGGGATCTCACAGAGTACGTCGCGCGGTTCCCGGAGCAGATCCCATAACTTGGAGGGCGAGTTGGCACCTCCTGGAAACCTGCAGCCGCTTCCGACAATCGCAATGGGCTCGTTCCCTTGGGAAGCCATGCTTGGGGAGGCCATACTAAGCGACTGGACGTGCTCAGAATAATGTGATCGCGACGGTTGGTGAAATCTTCTAGAGAAGCCCCTTGATAATGATGGTAGACGGTTGTTGGTATTGTACAATGCGGCAGGCTCAAGAGGCGCTGTGTAATCCCCGCGTGATGCGTTCAAAGAATAGGAATAAGAGGCGCGATCTAAGCTATCGCTTCCAAAGGTACTATTTGATTGACGATTGGATTCAGACTACAATAACTATGCCTCCCAAGCTTCAACTCTCCAGCTCGGCAACATATCGCTTACCCGATGTGAATCCAGACCCTGAGGCAAATATTGAACAGGCAGTCGTCGGATTCGATCCCTGTCACCTGTCATCGCAAAGCCTAGGACCTGGATGCAAACTGGTCCCTGGAGCTGTGCCTTAGTGGGCTCCGAATCTGCGGTCAGAGCCGGCTGACACCCCCACGTCGGGAGTAAGTGGGTTCGGTAGGATCAGCCCGGGAGGATCACGTCTTATGCCTCCGAAGGTGTGAGAAAGCCCTCCGAACGGCCTGATTAGGATCTTACGAGTACAATGTGGGGGCAAACCGATTGGCCAGAACAGTTCTTCAGAAGGAATCCTTCGCACAGAGACTCGTCGACTTCGCTTTTGGGTAGTGAGAAGGCTGGCTTCTGTGCGAAAGAAGCCGATCACCGAGTCGGTGACTTTCCCTGCAGATGTGGCGGCTGAGGCAAGTTCATCGCCACGTTTATCATTTTGCTTGCACGCTTTAGGCTTCTAGGTCTATGGGATGCGCGGATGTCCCGTCCAGGGCTCAAATTTTTACTAATCCGTGATGGAGACATGAAGTCTTACATGTAGTCGCCGCATTCTGTCAAATTTGGAATTGATCGGGGCCGGGCTGTAAAATCGTTTTGGCGCATCAATCCATCCTGCTGCCGCCACCATGCTGGATCTCGAGTTTCCTGGTTCGGGTTGGGCAACTCGCGATAACGCCACCATTGCCTTCGGCTGTGTTAGTAACCCTTTGCACCTCGATAACCACTGCACATACTGTAGAGTGATGTGTCTAACCATCTTCTAGATCATAGCCTACAGTGTGATCCGGACCATCTACTTGGTTTGGTTTCATCCTTTAGCAAAATATCCTGGACCCAAGATTGCTGCAGTTTCCAACGTCTGGTATGGATACCAATGGTAGGTTGACAAACTTCGACAAAGGGCGTGCATCCCAGGAAACATCCAAGACTGATTTTAATGTCTTCAGGCTGTCCGGTCGCTATCCATGGGCGATGCAACGAGCCTTCAAAGATTATGGTGAGCCTTAATCACATTCAGGTGGGAAATTGACTTTCTGACATGAATAGGCGATGTTGTTAGAATTGCACCCAACGAGCTGGTCTTCATAACTCCCAAAGCCTATACAGGTATGTTCCCTGGGACCTATCTTGATGCTGAACTTCCTAACACAAAATTTGGCAAGACATCTACACCAGCAGCATCAATGGACGGCCTGGCTTTGTCAAGTCTGATATGCTTGACACCGGGGACAAGTACGAGGGCTTAGCTTCGGAAAGAGATATCGACAAGCACCGGGCTGCCCGCAAGCAACTGGCTCCTGCATTTAGTCCCCGGTCTTTAAAGCAGTACGAACCCATCATTCATGCCGACGTGGATGAGTTTGTCGAAGTGCTCAAGAACTCACCTGCGACTGAAGCGGGGGTTGACATTGCTCCATGGTTTGAAAGAGCCACATGTGATCTTGGTGGCTCGATCACACTCGGCCACAATTTCAAAAACATTCAATCTGGCAAGTTATACACGGGCCTTTGTGCTTGAGAAATTTTGTAACTCATTTGCGCTGGAATTCCGGCTGACATGATCACCGAATAGGCCAAAACCACCCTATCTTAGAGTCACTGTTGCGCATTGGTCACTGGGCCACGTTCCGCAACGTCATGCGTCGCTTTCCCCTGCTCTATCCATTGTCTTATGTCTTCCTGCCGCCAAAAGTGGCGTTCAGCTACTTCAGAGCTCACTCGACTAGTAAGAAGCTCATCAGAACTCGTGTGGAGGAGCGTCACGACCGCAAGGACTTGGACTACATGACCCAATTTCTGAAGAACGAGGAGGCGCTCCCGCCAGATGGTTTCCTCGTGTCTCAAGCCGGCCATCTCATTCTTGATCATTACGAATCTTCGAGTGTTTTGACAGCGGGTATGTGTTTCTTGACAACGAACGATGAGGTCATGAAAAAGCTACAGAACGAATTGAGAACGACTTTTAAGTCGTATGAAGATATTACGGAGGATAAGCTTCAAGATCTGCCCTGGCTCAATGCTACTATTGAGGAAGTTATTCGACTTCACACGAATGTTCCTTACGGACTTCCAAGAATCAGTCCTGGCCACACTGTTGATGGGAACTACGTGGCAAAAGGCGTAAGTAATCCAGTCTACTCTCGAGTTACCGATCTCCAGCACCTTCTCAGATCGTTTGTGGAAGAATCAAAACTGATCTCAGAGTCAGGTCGTCGTTTCGTCCTGCGCATATGCTACAACTCACTCGGAGAAGTACTTCAGCAAGCCGTACGAGTTCAAGCCTCAGAGATGGCTTCCTAAAGATCATGCAGAGTATGATCATGTCTTTGATGGTGATGACCGAGCTGCATTTAGGCCCTTTAGTGTCGGATCTCGCAACTGCCTTGGCCAAGCCATGGCCTACCTGGTGCTTCGCATCATGTTCGCAAAACTTTGCTGGAAGTTCCAGTGGGAGCTCTTGAACAAGAATGAGATGGACTGGGATCGGGATCTGCGACTCTACATCGTATGGCAAAAGCCAAAGGTGCACGTTCGCATTACTCCTTTCGAGCGAAAGGTGTGATGAGAGACATTGCTAAGTCTTCCACACGGCTCTATCCATGTACTAAGATAATCTAAGTACCAGTTGAGCTTTAGCCGAAATGCAACAGTTCAATGTATGTAGATAGGGTACTTGTATTGGATGAGTTTTATCAATTTCTCTTCGAAAATATCGAAATGGGAACCGATGACGACGAAGGCGATGATCTTGCGATAATGGCTGCCGCTCCTCGTGATATCCGGATCTCTCCCTCTTTCTGGTGAAACTCATTTGGGACACAGACCTGCGATTTGACTTATTTTGACAGCAAGATGGCTTCAATCAGAAGATGTGTGATCGTAGCAATTAAACTTGAAGAGACTATGATTTCTAAGTCCTCTTATTCTAATTCCATGCCACCGCTCTTATCATCTATGTGTTCGAGCCTCTAATCCGATTGCTAGCTTGTCTAATAGTTTGAAAAGTCTCCCTCGATTGTCTCATCACGCCCCGAACAATTTCAGAAGTCTCCAAGCGACCAAGAATCCCAGCCTCGCCCTCGTTTGTGCTATCTCGTTGGTCCCAAATTCGAAACTCTGCAGGTAGACCCATCAGTCGCTCCACCGTATGCATCTGATACTCAAAGACTTGAGTCATCATCATGAGCTGTATGCTTGTGGGCTGCGCTAATAGCTGAGCCTGGCCCGCGGCCGATGTCCCCGATCCGGACCCTTCGCGCAAACACCGGCTCATGCGATTGAATACGATCTCAAACAGCTCACCGAGCTGGACATATGTTGATAGAAGCATCAATGTCAAAGATAGTGCCGGTGGCGGCACAGGAGTCACGGACTCTAGGACAGTTGCGAACCGCATGGTTACATTGAGAACGCGATTCCAAATGTTGAGATCCCGGCCTCCTGGTGACTCCGTATCTTTCCCATGCTGAAATGCATCTTTTGTGAGATGCGGGTTCCAAGACTCCCATGGCTGATCCTTGAGTTCTGCTAATTGATGGGAAATACTGCCGAGGAGGCCTACCACATGGGCCCCCGTGTCGCCAGCGTTCGAGGTGCTAGGTGTGGCGATCCCGCTTTGACCAGAGAGCTTGTCTTCAACATCCGTCATTGGCTCGTGAAGATCCCTGTTCAAATGTTCGGCCATGTCGTTTAGATCTCCGAAGTCGAGATCGGGGACGCTTAAGTCGGAGAAGACGTGTGAGTGTGCTCTTGACGAGGGTATGGTGGGCTCGTCGGAAGTTGACATCGCAGTCGGGAAATTTGATGCATCTAACCACATGGTCGAGGCAGTATTAACGTGATCCAGGACCCTATTGCTGGTGAAGAACTGTGAGGGGCCTGGATCTGGCGGTTGGCTCTGTGTTGTTGTCGTAGGATCCGTACCCATTGTGACACGCACACCACGATGCGTCGAGGAGCGACCATTCCGGGCGCCGTACAGCGATCGACTATCCTCGACCTGACCACGGTGGTTTGCATGTATTGGAGGCCGTCCCAATGGTCGGCCGATGCTCGTGACACACATTGCACCTAGACGGAGACAGCGCTCGCAGGTGCCACCATCCGGTTGGCTTCGGGGACATTTGAGCTTCTGCTCCCGGCATCGGTCGCAAGCGTATCTCTTTGCTGTCTGGTTGTTCATAATACCGGGAGGACGTTCCGATTAATCGTCCGTGCGATATGATCAGGGGGTTGTCGCTCCGCGTGGAAGTCTGTTTCGGTGTATTTGAAGTCATTCGGAGCGGGAGCCAAGACCTTCGGAGGCTCAAGGAATCTTTGAGTTATGTTTTTGAACAACTATCAGACGAACAAATGTGACATTCTATTGCGCAGGCACTGGATCCTACGCTTTCCCAATCCGACTAAACGTACGTTCTTCGTTTTTCAGCCCACTTTCACGCTCTCTCGGTAGACTACTTGGGCGTCTAGGGCCCTCGCTCATGCAAGTCGAAACTCTGAAATTGTCTCAAATTTGACAGCTTAGGAAACGGGCCAAGACATGTCGCCAGAGAGAAGCAATTGGGGCATCTTACAGGTTCCTTCTCCACACGAAACCTGGTTGTAGGAATGTGTTATTCGTGGGGTTCCATCGACAACTGACTAGTGATGCTAGGTTTTCCGCCACTCGCGTAGCATGTCCAATTATACCAAGACAATAACGGCTTATTATCCGTGGAAACCCCCTCTCTTCCAATCTGACCGACCAGAGCTCCAGGCAACTGCTTTGAATATGCAGTGAAGGCAGTCCTTGGCAACGGGTCGCATCTGAGGTGGGTTCTCTCGAGGCTCGCTTGCTTAGTCTTGGCGCTAATACCATCCAGCCGGCGAAGGAGTTCATTGCGGAAGTTCCTCCCCACCGGAGCAGTCCTTTGCCTGGTAAGGTCCAGCAGCCGGGGCCCATGGCCAGATCTATCCATTCCTTGTCTTTTTCGTATGGCAAAGTAAAAAAATGGTTAGCGTCTCGGACTGACCCGTTGAGGATTGGTATGCGGGGAGTGGTACGGGCCGCGTATACCGGTTATGATGCCGTGCATCCACAGAGCCACAGTTGAGTCTACCAGACTACCTCACTCGTGCATCATAGATTTGTAGTAAGCCCTCAGCCCCAAAAGGTAACCCATTCGATGCAGTCAGCAAAACCCCGGACACAGTCAGCGAAGTCTTGACCTGAAACGGACATACGGATAAGCACTCGTTCGGCCACTTTACAAAAAGGCACCGAGAGGGCGTGTTTGAATCAGACGATGTCCCACCCGTGGAGGATTCTGAACCCCGGATGAACGTGGGGCTTGGCATCCTTCGATCCACACTTGGAATACGACTCGTTCTTCAATTCAATCTGGAATCCAAGGAATCTTCAAAATGCTACGTATGCATCCACATATCCATGCACGCGTCACGGTTAGATCCGACTACTGTCGGGCCTAAAGACTCTCCAGCGGCACAAAGCCACGAGCCTCCTATCCTAGGGAAGAGTCGTCGCGCTTGATACTAGCAAAATGCTTCGCGAAATCCTGTACGCCTTCACTGGCTTAGCCCTGTTGGCTTACGCCGCAGATATCTTTTACAACGCTGGAGATGATCCAAATGAGCCGGTCCGGATACGTTCGAGATTTCCCCTTATCGGACATGTCTTGGGACTGATGAGTCAAGGGCCAACCTACTACAGAAAGACAAGGTGTGTTGATTCACTTGTAGTTGCGATGAAAGTATCAAGAGCACCTAATAACTAAATATTCGGCAGTAATTCAACCGAAGCCGAGATTTATACCCTGGGATGTTTCAACTTCAAGGTATACATCAGTGCTTCCAGCCGGCTTCTACCATTCATCCAGAAGCAATCAAGAGCTCTGTCTTTCCGACCTTTCCTCCAGCTCGTTGCGCGAAAGTATGGCGATGCTTCTCCTGCGACTTACGAGATTTTTGGGGGCAGTCTGCCCGATGACTTAAGCCAGTCGGTGAAGATGAGCTTGGCTCCAGGCCGCCATCTTGATGAACTGAGCCTTCGGATGGGCAAGAGGGTCTTAATAGACATTGATGAGTTGCTTTCAGCTAAGGCAGCAGTACCGTTGTTGTCTTGGGCTAGACATGCTGTTGTGCAAGCAACAAGTTGTGCCGTCTATGGAGAGAAGCACCCTTTTCTCGACCAGGAAATCGAGAACTCTTACTGGTACTTCCAACCTTCTCTGATTGTCTCAAACACAATATCGACACTAACTATATGTTTAAGGAAATGGATGACATATCTCACTGCCCACCTGGTTGGCTGGCTCGATGTAACGAAGAAGGGTTACGCGGCAAGAGAAAAGGTGTTTCAGTCATACATCAGGTACTGCAAAAAGCTCCCCCAGGAGAGCTCTCATCTTATGAAAGAGCATCAACGTGTTCTGGGAGAGGCTGGGGTATCGAGTACGGACAAGGCTAAGCAAGCTGCGATCTTCACAATTGCCTCCTTCAGTAACTCAGCGCCGACTCTGTATTGGACCTTGTGGGAACTCTTCTCACGACAAGAAATCCTCGACGAGGTCAGAGAAGAGCTCACAAAACACGCAGTTATCAAGTCAGAAGACGGAGGATTCGTGCTTGACGTCGCTGCACTCAAGTCTCAGTGTCCCCTCCTCCTCTCGGTGTTCCAAGAAACTCAGAGAACTCGCCACGTCAATCCCAGCTTCCGCAAAGTCTTGACAGACACGCTTTTGGACGATAAGTACCTTTTGAAAGAGGGTAATTACCTCCAAGTACCCGGAAATGTCATTCACAACGAAACTGGCATTTGGGGCCCGACAGCTTTGCAATTCGATCCATATCGCTTCATGCCCAAGAAGGGAGGCGAGCGAGATGTTTCGACTGCCAGCGGCTTTGTCCCGTGGGGTGCTGCGCCATATCTATGCCCGGCGAGACAATTTGCCGCAACCGAGATTCTCATTATAGCTGCGCTGCTTGCCACGAGGGCCGATATATCACCTATGAATGGACCTTGGGACGAGAGTCCAGCTGTAAATCATGCGGATCTTGCTACCCTTTCGCCACCTACAAAGGATGTCGGCATGCGTGTAAGAGTTCGAGAAGAGTGGGCTGGCGAGTGGACAGTGCAGATGGGCGAGAGTCGAAGCCGCGTGCCTCTCGCCTCCGGATAGTCGTAATACTCCTTTCGACGGCTTAGATAGTTTTCAGGATCAATACAAAATGTACTATGACCCTGTTGCCCAACATAGGTTGAAGTTTTCGAGTACCTGAAACTCAAAACTACAAAGGAGTTCTTCCCTTAGCCAAATATTTCGTCAGTCTTCAATGGGATTTCGGTGTTCTTTAGTGAAACATCACGTGAAAGAACGCAAAGATTTCTAGCTGTGGATCATTCGTTAGAATTGTCTTTCGGATCCATTAATCAGATGGCAGACTTCTGTCGAATCAACAAGGTCCGCTTCTTTGAACTCATGGGCATTTATTTCGTGATTTGCTATAAAATGGCTATTTCTCAGACGACTGGTCAACTACCATCGCGGATTTCTGCGGACGCCTCACCATGTATGAGTAAATAAGACTCAATTGGAACCAAATCCTCCGGACGCATCATACGCGGTGGTCCATATCTAGCTACAAAAACCTAGTTGCCTTTGTTCTTCTTGACAAACTCACACATGCAAGGATGTGCCATTTTCAAGTTCAACTCAATGCGGATCTGCTGCTCCGGCTGGCCGGGGGGGATCCGAATCTCTTGATACTCCTGGCAAATTCTCGCCAGAATGTACTCCATCTGTTGCTGCCCAAACTTCTGACCTAGGCAGTGACGAGGACCGCTTTCAATCATCAACATTAGCTTGACTATTTCTTGAGAAGTTTTGTCTGAGGGAGTTTGAAGACTTACTGGTTGTACGGAATGAAGTGCCAGCGATTGATGTTGGCTCCCTCCCAACGCTCGGGTCGGAACTCAAGAGCATCCTCACCGTAGATATCTTTGCGGCGTTGAAGACCACCAAGAGAGTAGACTGTGATGGTACTTGGGTGAGCTACTTCATCTCCAGAGCTTTTCTTACGTAGTGCCACTTACTGATGGTTGTATCCTTGGGAACTGCGACAGGGTCTCTTCCACTCTTTCCTCCGCCGATCGGCAGGGTGGCGTCCTTAAGGGCCATCCGAACGTTCATACCGACTTGTCATGGTTAATCATCGGACACTCAAAGGACTCCTCAAGTACTGCTTACGAGGGTGATACAGTCTGAAAGTCTCGTTAATGACATGTCGGATGTAAGTCATTTCTTTGAGATCAGATGCAGAAGGGGGCTCGTCGCCAGATCTGAAGAGAGGAATTAGTTTCTCTCGCCGTTGGTCCGGTACAGACTTGACTGATGTACTTACACTCGCGCAACCTCGGCTTGCATCTTCTTCATGACGTTTGGGTACTTGCCCATCAGGAAGATAGCCCAAGCGATAAGAATTGCCGAGGGATCCTGGAATGATTAGACAGAACTCAGCGGTTTCACAATGTTCGACTGAACTGATTTACCTTTCCACCAAGCATGATGGTCATCATGGAGTCTTTGATATCCTGTAACCTCGGTGAGTATCAATTCATCTGCGCCTCAGGAACTCTCACTTACTTTGACACTCTTCTTCTGGCTCACAAGGTCGTCCAGCATGTTGTAATCTTCAGGCGACTTCTTTGACAGGTCTCTTGCATACGCGCGGTCGACAATTCCCGAAGTATAGCCGTTCAATTCCTTGAGCGCCTTGGGAGCCAGGTACTTGTCTTTGACATAGTAAGCATTCTTTCCGAACAACATTCGCGCCGTGTTGATGGGGTGCAGGGTCTCCATGGGGTCTCTGAAAGGGTGGTGCCCCGTGAGAGAGTCAGCAGACTCGCCGAAGAACACCTCTGAGACTACATCGAGCTGATAACGGTCGGCGACATCGTAGACTTCAATGGGCTTGCCGACATCAAAACGCTTGAAGAGTTGCTGGGCATGCTTCTCGGTGATCTCAAGATCGTCCGAGCGCATCTTCATAACCTGAAGAGTTGAAATCGTTAAGATCAGAATTATGATGTTGCAAAATACGAATAAGGGTTTGCACTTACATGCCCCTTGATGCGCTCTTTGCTGTTGTGCCAGTCTTCTCCGTCCACTGAGACCCCACATTAGTATACCAAGTCCACAAAAATTGATTAGTTTCAGCAACTTACCAACGAAGATCTGTGTCTCTCCGAGCATATCTCCCCAGATACGTTTGGTGACTTCGCCTCTTCCGAAGCTGGACCACTATTCCACGTTGTCAGTTGTCGTGCATCCAACAAACCCCCATCCTTAGAATTTCAGCCTAGATAAATCGCCAAGCTTACCTCTGTTGACATTATCGCCTTGATATTGGCGGGCTCATCAGTGAAGATGAGGCCTGTGCCAAACATACGCATCTCGACAGTACGGCCAGGTACGGCCTCAAGCCAGCTGTTGACAAGCTCGAAGAAGGTGAACTTGAAGAATCTGTATAAGGAGTACACAGCCAAGTCGATCCCTGTACATCAAGTTGTGAGCTTTGGGCGGATTCTCTGCAGGTATGAGTACATACCAAAAGGCGCCTTGAAGGGAACCAAAGGAGGCGGGGAGCCGAAATCGCGAAGCCTCTTGTCGCGACGCGATTTCGCTCCCCAATCGAAGACGTAGATGCTTGCGATGAGAAGCGTAGAGTACGCGGCCCAGTTCCAGCTCTTTGTCATTTCCTGTGTCAACTTGGACGACGCAAGCGAGTTGAGGTTGGACTTGATAGCATCTGGGATGTACGGACTGATCACGCTGACGACATTGCCGGCGAAATCAGTCAAGTTGCTGGCCAAAGTCGTGGGCAAACCCGCCGAGGGAATTGGGGAAGCCATAGTTGCTTATTGTTCCTGATTCTCCTCTGTCGTAGCAATGACAGACGAAGCCTTGGAAAATGGCAATCTCAACAGCGCTTCTTCAGGCTCTTACCCTCGGATGAGATATATCATCTGGATCAACACTCGAGGCAGTTCCGTCAAACTGTGACTTTGTGGGAGATGGGATGTGGGGGGCGACGCGCAGCGAGTTAGCAACGTCGCAAATGGGATGACTTGGAAGCCTGGACGAGACCGAGATCATGGGAGCCCAGAACGGGATGGCCTGAGAATCCTTCATGACACTTCATGCAGGGCTCTCGCCGACTGTGGACCGTCGTCTGACTCTCACAAGTTTCCCGCCGTAAGGTTCCAGAAACTCCAGCTCGCTTACCGGATGGGATGGCCGAGACTAGGAGTGGGGTTGACATCCTTCTCGGATCGTTCTACGGGTGGACTCGGATCCGGCTTCGGGAACTTGTAAGCGCTGGGGCCCGTCCGCATCCGCCGGGTCCACTTCGGTTCGGAACCCGGAGTCGGAGGGTTCTTCGGAGGCTTACCTACTTGTATCCGAACAGGGGATGATATGCAGACCCAATCCTTCGGGAAACCGACCCATCAGCTTTGGAGATATCTGGAAGCCTGTCAAGGACCCTGCATAGAAGGGCTGAGTTCATGATACCATGGTACACGCGTAGGACTATCGCAATAAAAGAGGGCAGCATGTAGACAATGGTTTTTGATGTCAGTAGATGGTAAAATTGAACAACAAAGTCTCAAAAATGGCCAAAGGAACGACAATCACAGCTCTTGTTCAATCTCCCAATGGCGGAGGCCCGCCGCTGGTCTCTCGAGACCGGCCCATGCCGCAAATCAGAGAGCCTCACGATGTCATAGTCAAGGTCTCTGCTGTTGCGTTGAATCCGACTGACTACAAGATGCCAGATTACCATCCGGTACCAAATGCCATCATGGGCTGTGACTTCATGGGCACCATCGTCGCAGCGGGCCCTGAAGTCGACAGCATATGCGTCGGGATGCGAGTCTGTGGTCCCATGCACGGCTCAAATCCCGGCAACCCAGACTCTGGAGCGTTTGCTGAATACCTCATCCAAGATAGACGCCTTCTTGTTCGGGTGCCAGACTCATGGAGTGACCTGGAAGGAGCAGCTCTTGGAGGAGTCGGATGGGCGACTGTGGCATTGGCTATGGAGGACTCCCTTCTTTTGACAGGCACTCCATCAAACCCTGCTCCATTGCGGCCTGACGGGACTCGCGTGCCTGTTCTGGTATATGGTGGTGCTACAGCCACCGGCACTATGGCTTGCCAATTGCTATCAAGGTACGTGCGATTGAACTCCTGGTGAGCGGCAATTCGAGTAGGTTGACTGACGTTCCACCGCAGTGCTGGCTATGACCCCATCGCAACCTGCTCCCCAGCTTCCGCGGCTCTTGTGAAGAAGTATGGGGCGGCTTCCACAACACCGTACTCCTCGCCGACATGCGGAGAGACAATTCGCGATGCAACAAAGGGCTCCATCCGAGCTGCGATCGACTGCATCACCACACCCGAATCGGTGAAATGTTGCTTCACAGCTCTGGGTCGCGCTGGAGCGAGATATGCATCCCTCGAACATGCTCCCGACGAGTGGAGAACGAGAAAAGCAGTCAAAATGGATATGCCAATGACATATGTGGTCATGGGCCGCGAGGTAAAGCTTGATGGAGTTTACCACCGTGATGCGGACCAGTCCAAATTTGACCTGGGAGCCAGGTGGGCGCTTGAAGTTCAGACATTGGTGGACGAGGGACGTCTGGATTGCCACCCGGCACGAGAAGTTCCCGGTGGTTGGCAAGGAGTAATTCAAGGTCTTGAGATGTTGAAGTCAGGCCAGGTTAGGGGGCAGAAGCTTGTAGTAAAGGTGGGAAGTGCCTAAGAGCAATATCTCTGATAGTTGTACGCCAGATACATGTAGTAAACACACAACAACCCAAGTAAATCAGCCTACTGTCTACATAGATTCACATGATCATTTGCAGTTTCTTTTGCCAATGGGACTATGACTACAGATTACTATTGATCAACTTAACGCTGTCTTCCGCACTAGTACTGAGCTCCACCAGGTCTAACACCTGGTTTACTAGAGCGATTCAGTTCTTCAAGAAAGGAAGATTTGTCATGAGAGGAGATTTACATTGAGGGTTCCCTCACCACATGAATGGATACAGTTCCTAGCGGCGCTTCTTTGAAGACATGAGAGAAATTTCCCTTATACCATCCGTCGCTCTTCGTGGCGTATATCGAGACCTGTCCTTGCCAGTGACCTAAGTAGTTTCCGTTTATTTATAGGATTCGTCCGAAAGGGGCGCCAAGACCTGTCAGCTTCGGCTCAATTCCTTCAGCCCTATTCGGTGGCTTTCTTGTTCGGTCATGTACATTCGGTGCATTCCCCACCATTACTAGGATAACGCCAAATGGTCACTGCTGACCGTTAGCTTATGGCGGCTCTAGAGCTGCCTAGGCTAGGCTTGATCGTATCATATAATCGGCCTCATCATGTTCACATGCCTATCCCCTGGAGTCCCTAGGTTGGTCAGGGGGAACATCGTCATCTAGTAGCCAGGGCCCCAGGAAACCCTCAAGTTTTCCCTTCTTCACTATTTTCACTCAATACTTCCAAACAACTCAAATTCATATCATCCGATAGGATGGCAACACAAGCGGCCGAGTCCACCGGGCCGACTTCCACGAACAGCGCATCGGAGAAGCTCGCTCAGCGCGCGCCAGCTTCCGGTGTGAACTTTCCGTGGAGCAACAAAGATGGCATTTGGCGTCGTCAATTGGGCTCTATGGAGTCTTTCTACCAGAGCTTGGCGTCTCCCGAAGGCTACCCGGTTCACTGGATGATCGGCTGCAGCGTGACACTTCAGAACCAAGACGAGAGCATTGACAAGGAAAACTCCATCCGCAGAGCTTGGAAGATCGTAGCGAAGGACTTTCCCTGCGTTGGCGCTGTTGTGGATTCAGCTTCGCGAGAGATTGTAGTTCGCGAAGATGCCATCACAGACGAATGGCTGCAAAAGAGCTTCCTGGTTCATGACGGAACAACCGCCGATGATCTCTTCTCTGCATTCAGGAGCCAGTTTCATATCACACTACATTACATTCGGGATACGAACCAGCTTCTCCTTCAGTCGCCTCACACCCTTATCGACGGGCGCGGAATGTTGTATCTGTATCACGCCCTGTTCACGACCCTGACAGCTCTGCCGGATGGCAACTATCAGACGCAACACGAGATATCTGCGGCACCAAATCTTTCTAAGCCGTACGATGACTGGTTGGGAGTCTCGGCTACCCCATCAGAGAAAAGCTTTGCCGATGCGCAGTCCATCTTCCAGCGTGTTTTGCAACAAGAGAAACCTATTCGACTACCTGGAGTTGACTTCACAACTACTCCCCAAAGGCCAGTCCACCGAGATCTCGAGGTAGACGAGAAGACAACCTCCACAATCATCAGTGCGTGCAAGGAAAAGGGGGTCAGTGTCACTTCAGCTTGGCACGCCGCGCTTGCTTTGACGACGCAGGTAAGTTCATGTTTGCTGCTTACCACTCTTCGTTAGTCGATATATGCTAAGAGTCCATGTTTGCAGAAACTCCAGTCGGAAGCTGGTGAAGACGGTTCATCCTACGTTCAGTTCACTACCATTGACCTGCGTCGCTATTTCCCCTCCTCTTTCGTCCCACACAAGCACTCGATCGGGTCGCTTCAAACCGCCTTGCCTCTCGCAGCGGACCTCGGCAAGGACAGCACTTTTGATGATCTCAGCAAGTCCTTACACCAGCAGTACAAGGCGCCTTTTGCTTTCGCCGACAACGATTTTGGGTACCTGACCCCTTACATGGCCATGTCACGACAGATCCTTGAGAGCGGCGGCGTGCCACCGAGCAGCACGCCGTCTTTGTCTAGCATGGGAGTTGTTGACGATTATCTGCAACGCCAGTATGGAGCTTGGGAGGTGTCCAACTTTTGGGTGAGCTCCACGATGATGACTGGCGATTTCCAGATGTATCTGTGGACTTTCCGGGGAAAGCTCACTTTCAGTGTGTGCTATAACGAAGCTTTTTACGATGCGGCACAAGTTGATCGCATTATGGAAAACACCAGGGACGAATTGATTCGAGGTACGGGTCAGTCATAGATGGTCATTTGTATTTGAGGTGCTGTAATTCTTCGAGAGAACATCACTAATTCGTGCTTCGCCATGATATGTGATGAGTAATACGTTTCCTGTGGTCCCACACTAGCTTATCGTGCACCGACATATTCAATTGGTTGTCCGCATCCGACACTCCGCAGATAACAGGAAACAGGGATCCAAAATCGTTTTAGGGAATTTTTCGATTCCTACCAATGAGAATGGTCTATGAGATGGAAGGATTATGTTGGTTGTGAGGAGAGACGCGTGATGAAAACAAGGTCGAGGACAAAGGGTGAGTGAGATAGGCGTATTCACGAAGCCTCTAGCCGGGATTCTGGGCAAGTGCTCCCATCGAAAACCGTGTAGGAAACCTTTCTCATTTTGATTCCCTGGAGACAAAACAATGGTAGCCAAAGTTCACTTGTGACTGGATCGATGTGACCAACAGACCGTATCGGCAAAGGCGTTGGGATTTACGGAAATTGCTAGCAGAATTGTACTTCACTATGGTGCAATAAGTAGCAGGCCGGGCCTATCGCCCAGCCACGTTCAGCTTCCGTTGATTGGCAACATGCCAGTAAGGCGCATGGAGCCCTGAACAAGCCCCTCAAAGCGATAACTTCCCAGGAAGTTATCATTCCAAAATACGCCGTAAAGGCGCAGGGAACCCCTTTTCACGAGTTACCATTTTGACATCACACTCGAGGGTCGCGGTGGTCTGCGCTTCCCATTACTCGCACTTTCAGCCAAATACACGTTCGTATTCACTTGAGTTCCTCACGCATATGCGCGTTTTTGGTGCACATGCATACCAGAAGTAGCCATCTTTAGAGGTTCCATTGACTTTACCCACTGAACTTTTGACCACACGACACTGTCCCACGAGTATCCCGCAGTAACAATCCAAACAATTATCGCTCTGTTGCGTTTCGTTGATGACATGGTAACTCAGTATCGGCAGTATTCGGATCGCTCTGCTCTTTCAAAGAAAATTCGTTCATATTCGCCCGTTTGAGTACGTTACTTCGGATGCCCCTTAGCATCCACGAATTCGACTGAAATTGCACTCCGTGCCTCTACTAATAATACATTGGATGAGGAAGAGAACATCAGCATTCGGATCATTCGTCTCAGCTCTGTGTGTCTATTCATGAAAGAATGAAATCAACTGGCACATCGTGCCTACTGCGAGCCAATCATCTCTTCAACGACACCCAAAACACCCATCCACGAAAGAAAATCGACGGTTCTGCCTTACGATGCAGGGCATCAACCATCGAGAATTGGCCCTTACACAAGTTGACCGATATGGCGATTATCCCTGCATCTTTTGACGCCTTACCACAGTTGAACACTAGTGACATTCAATTAGCCTGCGTTCATGATGCACAGAGATGATGGTCACAACTTTATTGAGTCTAAGCTCGAAATCTCCGTGCCACTCATGTCTCCCACTTGGACCGATATAAAAGGCTCGATTATCCCCAAAGGGTGAAGGCTCCCGCTCGATCGCTCGGACTCGAATCGGTGGCTCGATGAACTCCCACGGTTGGGATGGAACTGATGCGATGGTCAACTCTCGTGATTGTATGGGGAACGGTGTGCAGGACGGCTCTGCTGCCGGTGTTGGAGTCGGTGTCTCGACCGATTCTCGTGCCGGGAAAGGTTCTGTCGATCACGTCGAGTCAGCAACTGGATGCAGGGGTGGTTCTCACGGAGCATCAACACCAACAAACGAAGTAGGTCACAGTGCTCACTTACCAGCTCGTTTTTGACGGATGTAGTGGCGGGCAACATCAAGAAGTATACCGGCAACTATTGGTCCGACGAAGAAGAGTAACTTTTGCGAGGATGCGCCATCACAAGCTGGTGCAAGTCCAGACATATCAAGCCGCTCAAAGAGAGGCACTGGAGTGTTCTCTATTTGACTCTGCTGAAGCAGTGCCTTGCAGGTGTACTTGATTCCAGGAGAGGCCAAAGGAATGCTCAGTAACAAGAGTGCACAGCTTTGCGGCACGGCATACTTGGAAAGGGGGGGTGCCTCCCTTTTCTAGTCGTTGGATAGTCAGATGACCAACCTAAGCGTTGTAGTATGACCTCAGGCCGATGTTTCCCATTCCACAGCTTTCAGATTCGCTATGAAGGTCTTTGATACGAATAAGCCTACGGATACACCGCCTCATGAGCGCAATCTTTTTTTTTCCTTTTCAGGACTCGAAGGGACTCATTTCCGGGAGGCCTCAGACAAGAAGCAGCTGTGCCGCTCAGGGTTAAATGATACTGTAACCTGGATTCCCAAGTTGGCAAATAGGACAACCAACACAAGCCGTTGGACCAACCGGTGCGCTTTCCACACTCCCCGGAACTCCACTCAACGGTCTGAGAGATGCAGTATACCATGCCAGCTGAATCCAGGTTTATTATGATGGAGGGTACGGCCCCAGAGACTCTGAACTTTACCAAGAGTCCAGGACAACCCATACCCCTTCTCGAGTTTCCCCTGTGTGCCTTGTCTCTTCTCTCTAAGCCTTCTTGCTGTCCTATCTTCTTGTCTTCTTGTTTCTATCATTATCATTTTTTTTTTTCAAACTTCAAAGACGTGAGCTCTCGCCAACATGGCAAATACAATCAGTCCCGCGTCTATCCCCCCAATCACTCAACTGCGGGAGCAACTCGACTATGGCGACCCTCACCTACCAAGATGCCAGGCATTCTATGATAGTGTTCGGGCCTTCCGCAAGACCTATGAGACGAGCCAAGGTTGGGAAGGCAATACAATTCACGAATGGAGAATCCGAGAGCATCGAAGCGCTCTTGCTGAGATGGCACGAGCGTTCCTTGAGCTCCATGGCAATGGCCAACTGTTTTGGCCAGACGATAATACCAAGGGCAAAGCCAACAAGTTCAAGTATTCTACTGATGGTGCACGGTTAGCTACACCCAAAATCCGTATTCCAAACTCACAGCTAACAATGACGATTATAGAATCAGAAGAATCATGCAGCAGCTTTTTTGGCGGCTAAATCTCCAACAGCATCGGAACGAAAAGTACAAGAAGAACAAAGAGAAGGCGAGCAGCGTCGACAGAATGAGTGGAAGGGGCCTTAGTCACGAAGATCCAATCGACGTAGATGTCTTTGAAGATAGACCAGAAAGTCCCAGCACTTCGGGAAAGCCCAGTGCCTCAAGGTGCGTGATTGAATGTATACTGTTTGTCAAGATCTGATTTCTGACATACAGTAGCTCAAACACCTTTGTCAACTCTACAATTCATCCTCAGCACACCGACCCAAGTGTGATCGATCCCAACTTGGGCGATGCCGAACAACGCCTACCGGATGAACGTGCGGTCGGCAGCGATCCATACAGAGTCCCAGAAAGTCCGGAAATACACGTCCAGAATGCTCCAGTAAGCACACTTAGCTTTCCATTTCATCTTGCTTGCAACGAACGATCGCTCTGACACTTCTTACTCTAGCAGGACCTATACACCTTTGCAAGCATATCATCCGCTGCTCCGAACGACGATCGTCAGTTTGCACCCTACGCTGATATGGGCCCTCCACCCAAGCGACCGAGGCTTGACAAGGCCAAGCCTTCACGTATAATAACCATCAAGGCACCAAAAAAGCCTCGTGCCGAAAAACCTGCAATCGGCCTCAGAACGCACAGAAGCTCGCCACGCAAGCGAACAATCCGCCAACAACCGAATAGCGCAACACCTGAGCAACTCTTAGAACTCGATAGTCCTCCAAGCTCAGAGATCGCCGACGACTTGATACCGTCTGAGCCACAGCCGGTTCCTGATGCAGCCTTATCTACGGGCCTCCGGGTGCGGCTCAATCCTTTTCGAGCCACTGTCGAGAATGTCACAGACGAAGAGTTTGCCACGAACGCTTACGTCGACGAAAGAATCATTCAACTTCGCAAAGAAACTGAGATGCACCAGCCTCAGCCAGAGGAGACTTGCAACAAGAATGAACCTCCAGCTCCGGTGCAGCCAGCTGAAGCGGCACCTGACACACCACTGACACCACATCCAACAGTGACTGCTGCGCCGCAAAATGAAAAATCTGCGGCTGCTCTGCCAGAAGCGGTAAAGAGCGCAGAGGCCATTGTCCAACAACCACCCAGCGTCCAACAGCCACCACCCATCGCCCAACAGCCACCTATCGTCGACCGACAACTGAAGGATGCCTCAGTGCGGCCATTAGAAGTTGACTTTATGTACCGTGTGGTAACTAGTTACCCAACACGTCAAAGCTGTATTTGGGAGCCAGAAGGAAGCTTCCGAAGCAAGACGCTCGCCGAAGTCGTAGAAGAGCTGCCGAAACTGCCACTGCGGTTCGAGTGGTCTGAGCTTAACTACCTGTTGTTTCGCTTGGAAGCCCGGAATACGGCTGTTGCGGAGAGTGTCCCTTGTGGGAAAGAAGGAAAGTTTGAGTCTCTGAAGCGCAGTCTTACGAGATTCATCAGGGCATGCATCGCGGAAACCCCACCTGGGGAGAGCTTATCCGTCTTGCTCGAGATTGAGCCGCTGACGAGTTTGGATGCTGTGAAGAAGGCGGAGGAACTAGAAGATATTGACTTCGATTGGTGACGAATTTCACTGTACATATAATCGCAATCTTTTTTAATGCAAATACATATGGGCTTTGCGGATTGGAATCGCACGATAGACGTGAACGTAATCTTGTCGGGTGTCAGTCGCATTGGGAATCATTCTTTGTTGTTGGTCGTTATATGATATCTTCCGCTATGATTTCACATGTCGTCTTACCGAAGAAACTCATACACAAGTAGCGTAAGCAAGTGGGGTGATAGTGGATACTTATCAGGCTCGCCCACTACCAAGTCCACAGCATGCCGTCGGCCCGTCTCAAAGTGCTACCCCGCTCTAACGGAGTGGGAATTGGAGAAATACACGCGTGTAAGTGTCTCTCAGTGAAACGGCCATATGGTGTTCGCCTGATATAAGGTATACTGCCAATGATCTCGATGGAAGATGACATTGCTTGTCCACAGCTCCCATCCCAAACAAGGCAGTATAGAACATATGATCGGAGAGTGTTTCCCATTACACACAAAAGAAGTGTTCACTCCGTCACCGAGTCCCCTTCTCACTCAACAATCTTTGCGGCCGCAGATTCGGCCGTTACGAGCCTTAGTCTCTTTGGCAGGTGGTTGGATCTCGCCCACAACCTGGCGGACCCCGATTCCCTCGATCCTCAAGCTCTATACTCTCATCGCGAGACCTGATCGCCGCTCGCGTCAGGAGTCGTGCCGGAGACGCATTAGTGACAACAGGAGCCTAAAAGTCGTACTATTAGCATGATTTCAGTCGTTTCCTAGTGGTGAATCATTTGCAGTGGCTCAAAGAGGACTCATACGAGCGTTGCCAGGGCGAATGCTGAATGCATAGAATGACCCAACCCCAGGGCTCCACCACTTCCAAGGGCGATGGCACTAGCAAGAAGGAGGGCTCGAAACTGCATTTTTGCGGTTTCAGTCTATAAGTGTGGGAGCGATTTGTCAATCTTGGGTCAAGAAACGGTCAACTGGAAACTTGTGGGATTCTGGTAATGGCAATATCTGAATACACGTCGAGACCAAGGTGGTCGCACTCGAAGCCTTATATAGCTGGACCATTCTCCAAAGTCCAAGTCAGTGATGTCGTCGAAACACTTGTGTCTTTCTCAATAGCCTCGCCCGACTTACTCTCAATCTTTCAGCGGCCCACATAAAGTAGTTCTAAACAACGGGTGTTGCTCGTATGTATGTTCGATTAAGCTTTCTCTCAACACGCTCTGATTCGGTATTCATCGCTCTAGAAGCCTGTTTGACGATTCCTTTGCTTGGGTGCATTGTTCAGTCAGCGCCTCTAGGGCTTCAATGAAGGTCAAATCATAAAACATACAGAGTCAGAAACACCGGCGCCCACCGGGATGAAACCAGGCTGCGGAAATACCTTAGTTTTGCCTTGACTCAACATCTGGTCGCACCAATACTTAGGGGAAAGTTGGTAGAAAGACGCGTAAGAGGTGCTTGGCAGCCAGGACAAGGCATCGAATCCTACACGTACCTTATTGTGAGCCTACTCAAGATCTCAACATCGGCGTCGGTATTTGCTCTCGGCCGTAAATAGCCGCCGAAGCCGCGTCGTCATTGTATTAATGGGATCGATGATGATTCTTGAGCTGGCAACCTTATCGTCTTTGAGTCTTGCATTCTTCTGTAGCGCTTTCTTGAGAATTGGCAACTATAAGTGCCTGTACCTGCAAGACCACTTATCGTCTTTGAACTTAATAATCTTGTTGCAGACTTCTCGATGACTAGATAATATTTACCGCTGCCGTTAACTCGTCTATCCAATCTTATGAACAGGCACAAGTTTCTTCAGATACCAGTTTTCCAAGACCGGAAAGAAATCCTCTGGTGCAAAAGTCATTAGCGTTCGCCCAATATCGATTCCACTAGCCTTGTCCATGGCGTGCCGATGATACTTCGGTCTGAACTCGTTTCGTCCCCTGTTCTACAAATTCACTAATGTATAGGTCAATCATTGTTTCCATCCACCCATTTTAATGAAATCTGACCTTCTAGCGGAACTGGTAAGTCCTCGATCTCATAATAGTCAACGTATCAAGTTATTCGGAAAACAGTTGCCTGCTTGGGGGCTTTCCCGTGGTTCACACTGCAATTTGGAAAGGTACGATCGAATTTGACACCCTGAATCTCTGATGTATCTCAAGTCTGATGTATCACAAGTGTCATTCCCGACGTTTCAATCTTTTGCTTTAGTCCCCCTAACAAGAACAATGGATCTTTCAATCTCAAAAGGCCCCCCACCATACCTCTTGCCCAAATACTCAACGATCGCAGGCTTCAACTTGTGCCTTAATTTCTCCTTCTGCTCTCTAGACCAGTACCTCTCGACGGTGCCCGTAAGCAACGCCTCAAAGATGGTACAAAACTGCTCAGGATCTCTGAAAGTGATGGGCTTCGCTATGATCTCCGACTTGATCTCAGTCAGTCCGGACGCATTATACATAGCGGCCGCAAAGTAGGGGTCATCCCATGCGCCAGGTGACCAGAGTCCCGTTAGATGACATGACTTTTGAGGCCACGGAACCGGTTGCTGCCCAGGGATGCCAAAGTTTGCGACGGCGTCGCGGGTGTCGGAGACCCATCCTTCTGTTGCCCATGTAGAGCTTGCGATGCGGCCGCCTGGCTTAAGGACGCGGCATAGTTCTGCTTCTTGATCAGGAACTGGGCGCCTCATGGAGCCACCGCAATGCAGTGATCTGTTCATTGGCATGTGGACATACCTGCTAGACCTGCGTAGGGTTCAGCTACAACCATCAAAGCCATACCAACAACGATGTAATCGAAGCTGTCTGACTCAAAGGGTAGGCTCTGAAATCGTTAGTATCAGTATCATGGTCGCTCGCATCGAGCCGAGTTGGTAATGGACAATCAGGATGGCGAGTGAAATGGAAAGAAGCCTACTGCAATATCCGCCTGGACTACCGTCGCATCAGTCCAGCCGTCCTTCCTAACTCGGCCCCTGACATGCCCAATTTGACCACCACTAGAATCAGAACAAGTCAGCCTCACAAGCCCCTTTCCACCCTGACCCGTCGTCTTCAGCATCTCTTGGATGCGGGCCGAGACCACGCCTGCACCGCAGCACATATCAAGCACCTCGATAGGCTCAGTGAGCGAAGCAATGTTGTCTTCGGTCAGACCGCAATAGTCCAGCAGCGGCTGTGTAATTGGAGCAGTGATGTACTCGGTGTTGCGGTAGATGTTCCCGACCTTGGGGTTCCGCCAGAACGTGGTGTGGTTGGCCCTGTCTCCCGCGGGGCTCAGGGCCGCGGGGTTGAGGAAGAGTTTGGATTGGCCGGGTGTTCCCTGACCTGAGTGGGTGTAGGATGCCATGCTGATGGTGCGCAATTTGATGGATCGGGGTACAGTCGGAATGGAACACAGTTCGAATCTCTTTGATAGATGTAGAGTGGCAAGTAAGTAGGAAAGCTCGTAAGCTCTCGTAATGGGGCTGGTCCAAAGGGCAACATTTTATACAATTCTTCGTCGGTGCCATTGAGCATTTTTATGCATCATTATGAGGCGTTCTATAGTACCGAGAGCGAAGCTGTAAGGTGATAACGCATTTGAGATGACTTTACAGGTATAATGCAAACCCTACGGGTAGAGACAGATGATAACTCCCACTTTCCGAAACTAGACTGAAGATTGATAAAGATAGGCGGAACCGAATCCTATTCACAAAGGCAAAATTTGGTCTACTCCATCGCGAAGCTAAAGTCCGACGGCCATGCGGCTCGTCAGATCTTGCTCCTGGTCGGGGAGGAATACTGATCCGGCCGAGACACCATTGGTAGCCCATTGCGGCTTCGTGTGTACAGATGATGAGATGAGGATGGGCTGAGGTGATAATATCTTGAGTGCGTTGCCTCTGCGCCCCAACAACTTTCTCACATGGCAGGACGTATCGCTCCGGGTTGGATTCGCACTTAGACATCCCTTTCCACCCTCTCGGCGACTGCCTTTGATTACCGTCAAGCATGTGCTAGGCCCTAACTTCAATAAGCTATCGGATTGTGAGAAGGAAGAGCCGGTAAGGCAACCAGCTCACCGTGGGGGTAGGTTTGTTGTTAAGCATGAGAGTTTAAGCATAAGTGAGGTGGAGTAGAACCCCGGTGGGATGCGAAAGTTGTTGGGGAGTAGAGGGCTGGGGGACGCTCAGGATCGGTGCGAGGCACTTGGACCCATCCCGACGGCGTTTCTCTTCATGTGAGACCGCCGATTATCAAGACCCCGCTCCGTGGCCGGTGGCGCTGTGGAGCGTCCCCCGGGCACCATCGCGGATGGTTTCCGGCGAGTTTCAACCTTACCGCTCGTGGTAACGAGCGCGGACATCCCGAGGTGTGTGTCTTGCTTTTGATTATTGCTAAGGCCGGGTGCCAGTCATAGGCAGTTTCTCGGGATGACAAGCAAAGAGTTTGATGGTATTTTCACAACAGGCTCCCCGATATCCATGCTTTACTCGCTATATTGGCGTGATTGAAGATACGTATATGCACCGTCCGAGGGATTTAAGTGCTTCTCTAGACACAAGAAAAATGTCTCTGGTATTTCATGGCTTTTAATGAGTAATCATCAATAATAGTTCCCTTTGCATGGCCCCGAAATGCCAGCTCACAGTATGTCGGCAACTCAGTCTCTAGCGACACAAAACCAGTCCGATCAATAACCTGTGTTATCCAGTCAAGAAAAGTCCCAGACATTAGTGGGCTACACTTCCCGCCATTCCCGATTATCACGGGAGCCATGCTTGGGAAATACAAAGCTACACGGGGCTTCCTCATACGAAAGCACTTCAGCATGAGTTGAGACACCGTGAAATATAGTGACGCACATTTGTTGTAGGCTCGTTTGACTTGGAGTACCATCTCTATTGAATAAGGTTAAGGTAAAGTACTTCGTAAACACTATGAGGCATGGACAAAGGCGACAAGTCTTACAAATCCACTAGGCAATAAATCTCGGCGACAAGTACGCGTTCTACCTAGGTACCGTAGGATGATGCGCGACGACTCGAGGACGAACCGCGCACCCTCCCTACTTATTTAGTACTTACCAAGCAGCTTGGGAACAGCCTCACCAGGAACCTGGCCCCCACGACTTCGTAAAGAACAAGCACATGATTCACATCCAACCCCAACCCAAAAATAAATCACAACAAATAGAGACAAGAACTTCTTCCCCCTATTGACGTCATGTTCCCAAGAGAAGGGCAAGAACAAAAACGTGGCAAGGTAAAGCAAGGAAGGGTAAGGTGAGTTAGACACTAGTCGGGAGGGTAGCAAGGTCACTCGACACCACCAACTCAAGGCAAAGATACAAGCAAGCCACCTGACACTGTCAGACGGGTTGGGCTGTACCCAAAACGTGAACTTACCGAGAAACCGAGACCGTCACGACACCGACATCACGTTGTCGCGCGAAATGGTTAACGGATCAGATAAACGGGTGCGGCATCGACGTTTTCGATGCGTGCACGCGGTTGTTTCTTCGTTGTGTATCTTACATTGTTGTCTTTCTAAAACACGCGTATCCCTGGAACGTTAGTTATTTGAGGCCATGCGCCGAACGGAGAGTCATGTTAATCATGGAACAAACGTGTCTGCAGACCGATACATGAAAACGGGAAGACAAAATGATCGCTTATAACTGGGTACGCGCGCGCGTGTTCGCACAGGCGAAGGGTGAAGCAGGTCAGGTAACTGAGAAAACGGATTAGAACTCATGATACAATTGTATGTACACTTGATGGACATATATACAGCGCCCGCCGTCCCCGGCCGGCCTGCATGCTAGTCCAAGCCTCTTCTACGATCCCTTGCCGCCAATGCCCGCACGCGTGCGGCGTCAGGCTGCGGCTTCTGAATACGGCACGCTGATTCTTCGGGAGTCCTCCTACTGATACTACTACTGCTAATGCCCTTTGCGGGGCTGGCGTCACGACGGCGTAGGAGATGGGGTATCTTGGGTGAGGATGCGCGGAAAGATTGGGGTATCGAACGGAAAGGAGATTTGCTGTCAAGGTAAGACGCCGCCGTTGTTGTTGTTTCTGGTTTGGGTGTTGGTGTTTCTGAAGACTCCATCACGTCGTCGTAGAGGTCGAAGGGAAGCTGGGTTGTCGGGAACTCTTCTTCGCAGTCGTCTTCTTCAATGGCGCTGTCGGTGTATTCGCTAGGTTGCTCCTCCTCCACGGTAGATTCACGCGTCAAACGGTGCTCTTCTAGATCAGAGACCGACGTCGTCAGAGAGTCGGGATCTTCAGACTGTGAGGTGTCTTCTTCCTCGTCGTCGTCTTCGTCATCGAGACACTGAAGCCGTCTCTCTTCTAGTCGGCCGGACTCGGATCCAGAAAAGGATAATGTTCGCGCGGGCGTGAGGTTGTGGAGGTGGTAGCTGTGGTCGTGATCATGATCGATTGGGGACGACACAGAGGTATCGGAGTGCATCGTCATGGAACGAGGAGAGAGAGGGAGATCTGTGGTGATGGCGGAGGAAGAGATAGAGGTCGAAATGTGAAAAGGCTCATGCGTCATAATGGGCTTATCGTCATCATCATCGTGAAAGAAACAGGGACCGTCGTCGAGACTGCTAAGGTTGGTGCTCGCGGTGCGAGAGCTGCATCGATCACTGAAGGAGGTACCGGTGGAAGATGCATAGTAGCCTTGCGCGCATGAATAGTCGTCGGGGAGGTAACTTGAGAACAGTCGCACCAGGGAGTCGAGCGAGCGTGTTCGAAAGAGCTGCAGAGCGTACGACCACTGCGCCGTGCCGACGAGCTTGGGGTTCGCAATGATCTCGACAGCAGCGAGATCGAGCGACATGTTGAGTTCCTTCAAGCGTTGTTCCTTGCGGTCAGCCATGAGGCGATGGAACTCGTCGGCGGTGTCGGCGATGTGGGAGATCTCGCAGACATCATTGTGAAAGGCGTCGGGGTCCTGGATGCTGGAAGGGATCGTGTTGTATTGGTCTTGCAGTTTGGTGGAGAGATCATCTCTCTTCATCCCAAACTTCCAGAACGGCCAAGCGCAACCTGGTTCGTCCATGTTAGGGCGAGGCCGTACTGAAGAGGATAGTCGACGACGAGAAGTAGTTGTCGATTGGTAGTAGAGGGAGTCGGAGTGGAGAGAAGAGTCGGTTCAGGTGGTTCGGCGGAAGGGAATGAAGGGTGGCTGGTGAGGCCGGTGGCTTCCGTTTGCTCGATGGAAGAAATGGTTGTTTTTTAGTGACGACATGAAGAACATTTAGATGCAACTGCAAAGGGTATCCATTGTGAATATTCAGGTGTCCGTGAGGAGCGAAAGGTGAATGTCGGGGTTGTTGATGGGCTTGTTGGTGATGAGGATGGACGGTTTCAGGGCGTGGGGACACCGAGGAGAGCGGGAATGAGTTGGTCGGGGGGGTGCCCGGACGCAATGTGCGTGAAGCCAGAGTCGGACGAACTTCATGCCGATTCAAAACATCGCCAAAAGTCACGTGTGGCCGGAGAGAATTGCAAAGATGACGGGAAAGTGCAAGGGACCCGGAGACGCTAGCGGCACACTAAGCAGCACTAGCGCCAACAGGAGGCCCTACGACTAGGGGGTACCCCTGCTGTGTCCGACGAAATCGGAACACGAGGGCAAGGCTTGCCTGGCTTTTCCAGACTCCGCCACTCTAGCGAGCCAATAGAAAAAGAGGGAATGATGCAGAGTAGCATGGTATTTTCAATCGTAGCCAATGGAAGCCCTTACTAAGGCTGCGAGCGTCAGAGCGGGTCCACTCACGCAAGCCACGAGACGATATCTTGGGTTGGCCCGGGCGCAGGCAGTGAACCACAGCCAGGCTCTGCTCTCACTCACTCACTTTTCCCGCACTCTCCGTCTGGCTCGGAGCGTGAATGTGAGTCTTCAGTTGGGCTTTCAGGTTTTCGTTTCGGTGGCGATAGAGAGCCTGCTTCTGTTGCTGCGTGAGGATGATGGAAAAGGAAGAAGAGTTGGTTGGGTGAAGGTGACAAGAGTCGGCAACAGAAATCCAACAGGATGGCTCAGTCATCAAGCCTCGCTTCCACAGCCAATCACCGAGTGACCCTCTCATCGTTGGCTGTTCTCACTCAGTCGAGGCACATTTCGACTCATCAAGATTCATCGAAACCCACACATTTCGCAGTGTCATTGCCTCATCCCGACTTGCGGTATTCAATACTATCATGGCTTGCGACCTGTCTTCAGTCAGTCTGACACCTCAGTCTGGATCTCCCGACAAACTGCTTCCTCATAAGAAATATCTTCCGCACCTGTCCCAGTCACGGCCGGGCCGCTGTCTTTGTTTCTCCAATTCTCATCTCATTCGCCTTGACGCGTGAATACGGACAGGTCAAGTGACTTTGTCCCGTTCATCCTCATTGCGTCAGGTTATGGTCAACTGTCAGGGGCCTGGCGGGCACTGCGAGACCTGCAGACCATCGTCTCACTCACAATGATCGATCCTCCTCAGTGTGCGCCGTTCGGACAGTTGAATGAGAGGCGCTGTTGTGGCTGAGAGATAGTCAACGTTCCGGTTTGGCTTGATGAGCGACGAAGCGCTGAAGGCTGTCGCTCGTTCGATGAAGCTAATGTCACTTCCCACAATAAGTCTGCCGATGGGATACCTCTGCCCCTCTGTCGACCAGGGCTGACAACAGGTCAGATCTCAAATGGGAACGATCTCTCCCCTCTGGGCCTCCAGCGCCATGCCTGGTTGGAAGCCCTGCAGCCCGGCCAGCCCATCATTTCAGTCGATTTTCCTCTTCCCCTCACCTCTTCTCCAAGACCAAGGCCAACCGGCCCTAGGCACCAGTCTCGTTCCACAGGGTTCGATGACTCTTTAAACCTAGGGATATGCGCGCGTTCCAAACTCATCTTCCGTACTCAGTGCGTGTGTTTCGTCCTTAGTTGCGGCCACACACAAAGATATCGCTGAACGTGCTGACACTGAGCGAATCTCACTCAAACACTCAAGTTGCTGCTAGAGCAGCGTAATCTTACAATTAGTATCTTTGCCCTGCTGGTCGGCCGATAAACTACTTGAGGCTGAGACTCCATCAGCAGGCCCTCCCATAAGGTCCCAAGGTCCCTCCCCCCGTCAGCTCAAGTCAGCTCAACCCCGTTCACTCCCCGTTTATCCCGTTCCCCGCCGTCGTCTGCTCTCCAGTTGACATTGGGCTCATCTGTCCATTTGTTCATCTGACGTCGACTTCTGTCCGTCTGCCCTTCTCCAACACTCCGACAGAACAGCTTGTTGGCAGTGCTCAGGAGGCTCATTAATGCCGTGCTGTTCCTGCATCTGTACCTGGCAGAGAAACTGTTTCTCTCCTCCTGTTCCTTTCCCCTTTTCCCCATTCATAAATCACGCCTCGGCCAACCTACAGACCGCTGCGCTCTGAACCCTGCCCATCGCAAAAGATCTAACCACGCTCACCCTGCCGCGCACCATCTCACTCTCACTCAACTCGCCTGTCTGCCTGGCCATACCAGGATAGACGACATCTTACCTCACACCAAACTTACGTGTCCAGGCCAACCCGTCCCGGCCAGACTCACTCACCTCATTGCCACTGCGACGACAACGACGACTCACACCTCTCACCCCACGACCCGCCGTCCGGAGTGCCTGGCGTGGTCCCAGAGTCCATCTCCCTGTAAGGTATCCGTAGCTGCCGAGCCGCCATCGCAAATCGAACCGCGCATGGGCCACGGGAGGCTAGGCAACATCGTCATCCCTTCCCTTGCTTGATGGGAGACCGCCGGATCCGCGGCTCGGAGGAGCCGTCGGAAGAAAAGACAGAACCGTTCTCTCAATCTGAAATCGATGCCCGTATGAGAAACATCCGCGTAGAGGAACCCTTTGACCTCATCTCGGGCGACCCCGTGCCGCTCGACAAGCTCCGTGTTGAGGAGCACCACCACAAGCAGGGCATCCGCATACTCGTCCGACCCCTTACTCGGAGCCGCTCGGTGAGCCCGGGCAACTACAATTGCCAGTGGCTCGCCCTCCGCGCCGAGGTTGCCTCTGAGCAGGAACCTCAGCACAAGGTGCTCGCCGTCTCCCAGACGTCCCGGGACATCAAGTTCTCCGTGCGCATCCCGCCGGAGCGGTTGGACGACAACACGCCCCGCCCACCACTGTGGTGCGAGCTCTACTATGATCCGACGAGCGATAACCAGATCCTACTGAACAGGTCCGAGGTGCCCATCTCATTAACGAGGATATCCGACGGTCCAGGTTCTTGCGCCAGCTGGGGAGTCAATCCGGGAGCCCCCAAGGCGCTGTCACCAGGAACATGGAGGATAAACGTTCGCGATGTTGAAGTGCTCGACTTTAGGATCCTGGAGAAGCGGCCCGCCTACTTCAAACATGCCGACTCGGACCTCAAAGACGAACTCCCCTCAAGCTCAAACTCGGATGCCCTCAACGCCTCTGGTAAGCGGTCATTCACCGCCGACGATGGTGAGCCACGGTCCGAGAAGAAGGCTCGTACGACGGAGGAGGCCGGCATGGTGAAGAAGGAAAAGGAAGACGGCGTCATCATGTTCCTCAGACCACAAGCACAACCCCTCGTATTTCCCCTGCCCACAGAAGCCAAGGGCAGAGAGCTTGTGGCGACAAACGGCCACGCCCTCCTGGACATGCAAAAGGACGAGACGGTCGTCATCCCCGGCGGCTGCGAGATCGACGAGTACACAGTCTCCAAGCGCGACCAAATCGCCTCCACCGCCCTCTCCTCCGTCTTCACCGCAGAGCACTCCAATGTCCCAGACGGCATCGTCACCGTCAAAGTCCTTAAGACCCGCACCGCCAACGCAACCGCCAACACCGCCTCAAAGCCCCAGGATAACAACGAGCGCAACGTGATCCGGCAGGCCGACATGTGGCTCCGCGAGTACCAATCCCAAGATGACCTCCGCCACGAGTCCATCGTAAAGCTCTACGGCGGCGATGCCCGCTACCTTTCTCTCTACATGGAGCACGTCGACGCAAAGGACCTCAGCGCAAAGGGCGTCTGGCGCTCCCAGCTGGATCACAGCTTCCTCGGCGACCGCGCCGACGCTTTCGCCATCGCGCGCGACATCAGCGGCGCCCTGCACTATCTTCACAGCAAGAACCTCGTCCACAACGACATCAAGCCCGCCAACATCCTCTACTCGCCCTCCCGCGGCGCCGTGCTCTGCGATTTTGGCCTTTCGACGCACACCAGCGGGCCCGTGACGACGGGTGGCACGCCGTACTACATCCCGCCCGAGTTCATCGGCAAGAAGCTCCGTGGCCCGCCGTCGGATGTCTGGGCGCTCGGCGTGACGATGCTCTACGTCCTCGGCAAGATTCCCTTCCCGGACGCACGCTCGCGGAAGCAGGCGAAGCAGACGGCGCTGTACTGGATGATTGCCGACGTGAATCGACCCCCGCCCCCGCCGAACCCGCAGCAGAGGGGCCCCGCCCAGCCTTGCCCTGCTGTGGATCAGATGTACAGATGGCTGAGCGAGGTTGCGGTGGCGAGGGAGAAGCTTTACCCGCGCGACAAGCTCGAGCGGCTTGTTTCTGATATGTTGATACCCGCGCCGACACAGCGCATCACCATGGCCCGCGTTGTGAGAGAGCTATATGTTATGGAACAGCAGGCTCTCGCAAAGAGGTGATCGACTGCGATCACCAGCACCTTTTTCTTATGTTCTGGCATGGATTTAATCTGGATTATACGTTGTCGTTTCGGTCGAGATAGACGTCACTGCTCCGGCAGTGCGGGCATGAAGCTGCATGATGTTTGCGAGAGATACCACTGATGTTGAGAAAGTAGCATGCATGGTTTTGAGTAAGTGCTTTTTGATTGATTGGTTTTGGGGATTCACGCCGGCCTCGTTCAGTAACATTGACGCAGGTCAGGCCGCACTGCATTTGGTCATATTTGGACATGGTTCGCATCTCATATATACACATACATATATCTGAGCATAGCATCTTTTGAGAAATTTCCTTTTCATTATCATATCGGTCGTCCAGAGGATGCACTGGTATCAAGCATTCATGTACATTAGAAGCACAAACACATTTCTCATGCTGTCCCCTCTTCCGTGATAAATGTCAGATGAAGACATTATCTTTACCTCCCCGTGTCGCTCTCCGCGGCCGGTACATAGTCTTACAGGCTCATGCCGAAGACAAATGCCATGCTGAGACCAACGACCGACGAGAGAGCGAGCATGTGGGCTCCGCTGCCTGCTGCGCCGCTGGAACCGCTCCCGGAGGTGGAGTTGCCGGTGCTGTTCCCGCTGGTGCTGTTGGTTCCGTTGGCGCTCTGCTCCTTGATCGTGTGGACCGTTACGCCCTCCGTCTTGCACTGATCCGAGGGGAGGGTGGTGGCGTTTGAGGTGAAGCGGATGTCGGCGCACTACATCGTCCATCACGTTAGCATCCTTTCCACATAACTATTCTTTCAACCAGCATCCACGGTACTTCATCAAAGGAGAGAGTAAAACATACGTTGTAGAGTCCAGATCCAGACTCGCCAACAGTAACAACCTGGATACTTCCCCTCTGACCATCCTTTGCGGGCGTCGGCAGCGCAAGCTTCTCAACGCAGAGGGTGCCGGAGCCAGTAGCGTTCCAGAACTGCGGGGTCAGGGTGATGTTGTGCGTTGTGACGTTGCCGCCGGACTCGAGGCCGAGGTTGATGAAGACGTAGGTCCAGTCGTGGTGCAGGTCGAGCTCGATGGAGCCGCCGTCCAGGGGCCAGTCTGTGACGTTGCCTCTGCCATAGGGGACGCCGGCACCTGGTGAGGAAGTCAGCTTGTGTCACTTGTCGCACTCGAGTTACGGGGAGACGAAGGCAAGAGTGACTGGGAAAAGGAAGAGCCGTACAAGGGTAAGTCCACTGAGAGTAACCCGTCAGGTTCGTTCCGCTGAGGGTATCAGCGCGCCATGAGGGGTATGCGAGACCGAAATGAGCAGACGCAAAGTTGGCGGCGCCGAGGGCGAGCAGGAGGGTCTTGGGGGCCATGATTGCAATTGATTTGAGATCGACAGAGCTTCTAACTTTGTACAGCGGGTCAGATGGAGAGATCAGCGATGGAGGAGAACTGCCAAGGATATGAAGAAGAGGATGGCTGGAGGTACCATAGCTTGACTTCTGCGAGGCAAGCACTTTTATAAACAAATCATCCTTCGCACGCAAGACCTGCAGCATACCTTAAATGGGTAGCTTATCCTTACCTTTGGGATGTCACGTAGACAGGGATCTGAGCTGTAAGCATCGTGGCAGGTAGACTAAGGTAGGCCAGCTTCCGCGCGAAGGAAACTCCCTCACACGCCACAATGTGAACGGCCTAGACTTCTTACGGCGCTGCCATGTGGTGCGGCCTTATGAGAAATAGCCTGCTGGCGGATACACTGTAAAATAACAGCAGCATCTTGGGGCCTTGGGCTGTCCTCATGGCGACAGGGAATAGGAATCACAAAAGCTTCGGACTGAAAGACCGAGAGGCGAGCAGTTCCGCAACGGGGAAATAGACCAATGGAGGGCACCAATTGAGCAAGTTTATTTCCCTCAGGCAAGGTACCTGAGTCTAGCGAGAATCTGGCTGGTCTTTGAGAGAGAGATTACCAAAGAGCCAAACAGGCGGCCCAGATGTTTCCTTCGTGGAAAAAGCTCGTTTGGCTGACTTGAGGTTGGGCGAGAGGCTCAAGATGGGAATGGTCCCCTTGTTCAGCCGGCGAATCAGAGTTGGTGGATGGCGGGGGCGGGGGAGCGGCGGGCGCTAGCGCGGATGCAAGTATCTTGCTCAAACTCACGCACTCTCTCCCCAGGTCGTAGCTCCCGAATGAGCGTTGCTCAGTACTGAGGAGATGGCATTTACTGATTGGCCAAAAGACGCGAAAAACGACGGTGGTTGCGGCGGCTGGAACGAGCTGGGTTGTTTGTTGTCGAGGCAATCCGTTGTATGAGGGCGGTCTGTCAGCTGCTCCGGAGTTGTTTTGGGAGCTGGAGTTGGATAACACGTGGGCGTAACTTACCGATGTCTCTCGATTGCTTGGTCCAAATCATCTCGAAAGATGCTGACGCTGCTGTCATGTTATGTGACAAGGTGTTAAAATGTTGACAGCGCCTCGAGATGCAGCTGGCAGGTTGGTTAAGGGGATGTTGGATGGTGCTCAGAATATCGCAATAGAAACTGGAGTTTAAGTGCGACAAAATTCCATATGGCATAACAACGCACTATCAAACGATATACAAGACATTTTTGAGTTCAAGGCGATTCGGAGAATAGGTGTAGACTACTAAAATAGCATTATGTATGCAATACATCGTATATTTTATCTCTCAAGCTTCAAATGCACCAAGAGATGACGCCTCGGCACAATGACTTCAATGTTCTACAACAAAAAGTCATGAAATATCTACTACAAAAAGTATGTACGATGATGAATATGCAGCCGATACAAGACCAACTTTGCTACAACTTGGGAAGCTGGTTGAGAGACCACAGCCCAGTCTCATCCGTATACTGCTCCCCACCAACAAACCCTCCAGAAACAGGTCCCCTACCAGCCTGCCAGAAAGGTATCGTGACAAAGATATCCTTGCTCGTAATATTCGCCACAAACACTCCGGCATCACCCAAGTCCCATCGCATAATCATCCCAGCAGGCGCCGGCGTCCCAGGCACAAGCGGCCAAATCTGCCCCTCACCCCATCCCAGCGTATTATTCAAGCGGTCAACGCATCGCGACGCAATCACGTGGCCGTCCTCGTAGGTCGCGAGGTACTCGGAGCTGATCTCGGTGCCGTCCTGCGCGTGCGAGTGCCACCAGACGACGGCATATGGACCCAGACGGGCATGACCCCAAAAGGCGGCTTGGATTGCTTCTTGGAAGGGGCGGTCGACCCAGGTTTTGTCGTGGTAGCCGTAGCCGGAGAAGGACATTGCCGTGTCGCCGAGCGTGAGGTCGACTGTGGCTTCGGCGTCGGGGAGGGCGTTGGCCCAGGCTACGCCTTCGACGTTCTTCTCGTTTACGCCGGCTGCGTCGGTGCCGCAGGTATAGTGAGGGGCAACGGTCTGGAAGTAGTCATTATGTCAGTCTCTCAGCCATGGACTTGAATCAGTAGACGTGTACTCACGTTGCCTCGCAAGATGAGACTTCCATAGATACCAGTCTCGGGAGAGTTGATGGTTACGTTATACACCGGTCTCGGCTGCAGCAAGCTCGAGCCCGACCAGCTGACCTCGCTGCCGCCGAAAAAGTCGACGCGCATGCTCTTGTCCGCCCGCTCGGTGATGTTGGCGTACTCGGAGTTGACTCCGTAGCTGAAGGCAGTGCCGTTCGCAAAGGACCCGAACAGGGAGACGTGGTACTGCGTGGTGCCGACATCCGCGCCGTTATCGGTCGGTCTCTGGATCTCAAAGTTGAAGACGACGGTCTCGTTAGTCGAAGGGTTCATCGCGTCAAAGTACCACCTGTGGGTACATGTGTCAGTCAAATGTGTGGCAGGACGCAGCAGGGGGGTAAGCTGCACGTAGGGTCTGATGACGTACGAGTCAAAGGTAGTTGCGTTCGGGCCCGGGTCGATCTTGAAGAAGTCTGCTTCTCCAAGAGCTTCTGTGGTGAACTGGACCTTGGTCGTGCCATTATAGAAGTCTTTGCCGAGTTGAATGACCCGATCTCCGGTGGTTGTCTCTGCAGAGCAGGTAGATGCCGAAACAGCAGCTGCAGCCAACAGACAAGCTTTTGTAAGCTTCATGACGTAGTGTAAATGATCGTGAAGCGTGTTAAGATAGAGTCTCTTGAGACAAGAAGCTGTTTCGTAGATCAACCTGGATGTTTCGAGGATCGCTGCATGTTGGCTTATATAGAGCAGAACAGACTGCCATCATTCAGAACTCTGCTGCGCCGAGAAAAGGGGAAACTCGGCTCAAGGTCTTCTCGCTATTGCCCCCCTACGAACATAGCCGCAACTCTTCAGTAGAAGCTATTGAAGCCGACCAAGCTCCCCTGACATCGCACCCCAGAACGAATCAGCCGAACGCTCCGGTGTGGAAGCCGCATCGAAAAACGCTCATGTGCTCATCCTGCGTCTTTCTACGGATGCAAGATATTGCAGCGTCGAAAGGTTGGTGGATTACAGCATCAACTTCGGTCTCGGTTCACCCCGTAATTCGACTCGCAGCTCGGTTTCGGTTTCGACGGTGGTGTTCGCTTCAGGGAGTCTGTAGTTCGTCATTTCCCGTTCGTCATGCCCACCTTGCTAAAGGACCCCGAAGGACCCCGAGCGCCGCAAGTTCCTATCTCCGGATGGAACCTCATTACGTGAGATGTCGGCGATGCGTCCGCCGGCCTCGGTCGAAGCGCAGCCTCCGGATCCGGGGTTGGACCGTGGCCCCAGCCGCCCGGGCACCGCTCCGGAACTTCTCCACTTCTCGGTGTAGACGTCTTCATTGGCTTTGGTCACTCCAACCGCCAAGCTCGGAGGCAAGGACGCTGAGCTTTGACGAAACAAAGTTTGGCCCATCCCCGCTGCTGAGTCTATCTCGACCTCATTCGAAAACACCCCACCACACGTCCAGTCGGCGCTCACGAAGCTCGCGGCTTGCGTGAGCAGATACGATTTTCGCGATCAATCAAGCGCCGAGCAGACAAGAAGGCGCGCAAAATCGCGAAAGAGATCACAAGCTGAGTAAGCTTAACCAGCGTCGATGGTTTAGTGGTAAAATTCTCCGTTGCCATCCAGCAGCGTCGGGGAGCCGGGGGTTCGATTCCCCCTCGACGCAGTTCTTTTGATTCGCAGGCCAAATCCGTCTTGTTGTGGGCGGTACATGCTGTGATTTTTGTTTCTGATACCTCAGACTCAGTTGCAATGGTGAACTATCGTCGCGTTCAGCCCCTGTTGGCTATCATCTTGATGCTCAATTGACACCTCGGTATAATCCACCGTGACGGAAACCCGTTTATGGGACGCAACGCCGTCAGATTCAAGGTCGTATCGGACCGAATGGTGTTAAAATAGTTGTCGCATTTTCCCCGACTGGGATGATTGGCTTCTTCAACAAGACGAGCCTTGGCAGTCAAGAGCAAGAGTGTAAGATCTGGGGAGACTTCGGGAGCGCCTAAGCAAAGCGTTGAAATACGGGCTAGCGCAACATCGTATCAGATCGTTGCGCTACGCCGCGGTGGCATTCGCGAACGTGTACGAGCTATTATGTCGTCGGCGTGGATGGAATGGCATCGTGCGATGGGACGTTATCTTCTGGCTGCGACGATGCAAACGATGCGAGCTCTGATACCAGAACCACGGCAGTCAAAGCAAAGATATCTTGCCCGATTGACTCAACGTAAGGCGACCAATAATGGATCAATAATTGAGACCAAAAGAAGGGTCACCGAAGATGTTGCATCATATGTGCCCTGATTTCCAGTGTTGAGAAATGGGCAACGGCGCGATTGGCATGAAATGGACGGGGAAAGTTGCGGCGGCCTCAAGTCACTCGGTATCTTTTCTCGCGCCATGTGGGGCACTGCTCGAAGCGAGCGAGCCAATGGATCCACCCAGAGAAATCCGCCCACCATTCAGCCCCGTCGCACCTGCATGGGTACATTGATGCTGACCATTACGATGCTCAACCAAAGTTCTTTTCATTTAGCAACACCATATACCTCTTTAAATTCTTGGATGGTGTCTTGAGTTGTAATAGAAAATATTTAAAAGCTATCCAGGTTTTCAAGTAAATTTATAGCTCACCTGTGAAGCATATCGCGTGGTGATGTATGCTGCAGTTCTAACATTTAATCGGCGTTGCATGTCCTCCCAGATTGAGTATCCCTGCTTGCGATCTGCGCACGGGCCACTGAGGCCAAAATCGCTGCGCCTTGGGAACTCGGCACAGGCAACCACTCAGAAGAAGCGGGCCTGAGTCACTGAGGACTTCAAATCCCCAGGCATCCCTCGCGCAATTCGACTGTTGGACCTCTCTTTCTTCCTCACCCGCTCCGAATACCTTCAATCTCTACCTACCTCTTCTTACCTTACCCTTACCTTACAACCTTCCAGTTGATTGCATCTAGCTCAACCCATTGATTCAAGCTTTCAAGCTTACCCCACGCCACTGCTCATCCAAGACGAGATGCTCTAGTTGAATCAACGATCCACCCCCCCGCCGCCAATATGGCTTCTGAACCAGATCCATCGGTCCAAGACCGCTGGGACACGCACGATTTCGATGGCGACCCTGGCCGCTATCGATGCCCTTATAACATGTTAAACGAATTTGACTTGGATGCTTGGGCGACTCCTGATCCTCGGGTCACGACTTTTGTCGATATGGGAGACGCCTTTGCTTCGGAGATGGGACTGAACCAGTCCTCCATCCTGAGCCCAGTCGAATTCGAGATTAAAGACTCCCCTGTTGATGGAGGCACCTCCGACGATGGAGGATATCCACCACCACCACTGTTGACGTCAACAAGACGCCGACGCCCACCTGTGCAGTTGTTACTTCGCAAGGTTAGTTAACGACTGAATACAAGACTTTTCTCTCATGACGAGAGGCTAACACACAAACCTAGTCCCGCCATGCATCTATTGCTTGTGGTGAATGCCGCGAAGACATGATTGCTTCTTGTTCCGTCTCTTCCCGGGAGGAATTGGCGAGCGTCCGGCTTTCGGACCTTGCAACTATGGAGGACATTCGCGTCCTAGATTTCCTTGCTCCATTTCCTGAATGTCAGGATGATGCACGGATTGCATCTCTGAACAATACCAAGTCATTGGATCGCGTCTTCATATGGAGACAAGACGATAGAATGACGCGGTTGTTGTCTGTTGCTGTCTAATGTTGGGAGGATGATGTTGGTTATTCGCACCGGTAAGCTCGCCGACGGCGCGTCTACGCCTGCTCTCGCGACTTGCCTCTAACGCTTACCCCTAGGTTGGCCAAGGACCTGAGTACGTCGTAAAACTTCTCGATCGGCCATCTGAACTTGATAGCGCCCGTCCACAAGAATTCACACAAACGCAACCATTCGTAAACCAGCTAGCTCAGCAAATCGCCGAGTCAACCACCCTTTACCAATACGACCCTGATTACCAGCAACCTACAACTCCTGAAACGGAGTCTTACGACCTGTCTGCTGCAACGATCACCGTTGGCAGACTTACAAGCGAGAACACTACACACCACCCCGGGTTCCCCCCCTCAGTCGCAGTTATGGCGGTCACTACCACAGGCTGGCCCTACGGGGCCCAGCCGGTACGTGCTGCACCCGATGCCATGAACGACAGCATATATCAAAACTCGCCTTTCTCCGAGCTCTTTGAGCTTTCGGACGAGGGCGACGATTGGGCAATGCTCATGCAGCAGGACATGCTCGCTACGGGCGACTACGACATGACCACCTTCGACCCTTCCACCATGGAAACAACTTACCAAACCACCCAATCTCCTCAGGAAATCTTCAACGACCCCGCCGTCCAGTTCGATGTCGCGCAGAGCCTAGGCCCCAACTTCTTTGACTTTAACAGCCCTCTGCCCGACCTCTCCACCTCTGGATACCTTTCTAGCGACCAGGTTTCCTCCTATCTGGGCAGCACGAACACCTCCCCCTTCGAGCCCGTCCTCGACTTCTTCCCCGAAACCGACTCATTCTCCATGTTCCCGGCAAGCAACGACGGCTCGCCCCTCGACACAACTTTCTCCTCCCCCGGATCAGACAACGCAAGCGCCCCTTCCAGCTCCTCCCACCCATACAACTGCACCACCGACGGCTGCACAAAGACTTTCGCCAAGGAGGCCCAGCTGAAGCAGCACCAGCGCGTCCACCGCAAGGCTCTCGTCTGCACCATCTGCCGCGCCGAGCACCGCCACGAGCACAAGTTCGCTCAAGTGCGGGACCTCGAGCGACACATGCAGGCGCGCCACAAGGACGTTGCGGAGAAGAACAACGTGCGCTCCGAAATCCGCCAGTGCCCGCACCAGGGGTGCGAACACCAGGGGAGGCGGGACAATGTGTCGAGGCACCACAAGAGCAAGCACGGTAAGGAGCTCAAGTGGAAGAGGGGTATCCCTCACGTGGTGGGTTGAGTTTCTGTTCTCAACCGGGTTTGATGTTCTCAACCCAAAAAATATGATACGAGCGTTTGTGAGTTCTTGGCGTTTATCTACTAAGGTACCTTTTGCATTTTGTTTCCTATCTGTTCGGTTTGGGATCTTCGGTAGTCTAGCATTGCATTTAGACAATAACAAATCCTTAAAACATAACTTGCTGGTGCTATCGAAATCGTGATCAAGAAGAACGGGGCCATCTGGGAATAATGGTTTCCTTGGCGGTAGCAACCTAGAGCGGCCCGCACGTGCACCGGCTGATCCAGGAGCGGTGCCGAACATCCCCATAATAACCATCCGCAATATCTCCACACATCCCGACCGTCTCGACCGAGTCACCCCGACAATTATACAAACCGAAAGGCAATCCATACCACTGCCAATTATTTCGTAGTCGGGTAGCTACAAGGATTTCAGTCAAGGCTGGGTTCTCACAACATATCGTCTGTCTGCGGTATCAGTGAGAAACTTTTCATTGCCAGTGATGGCCCCTCGTACATGTACCATCTCACGACTTTCCTCAGCATGAAAGTGTAGATGACGTGAATTAGTACTCACGGCACTTGTAGTATGTATGCCTCGTTTAACCCTCTTCAACCTCGCTTCAACTATAACGTTGCACTCTTTTCCTATTTCAGTAAAACTAGGCCTCGACTCTGGCCGGCAACACCTCTCATCCATACCCCTCAGGCCAAAATTGCAACCTACTTACAGGAGGCCTCAGACACGAATGGACTGTGCCGCAAAAGGGAGGTTGGTCGATTACGACCTGACCGTTCCAACACAAGAGACGTATCAACCAACAAAACTTTTTCTACGAAATGCCGGACCAACCGGAACTAGTGATTGACGTGATAGATGCAAGAATCCTTGTCAGCTGAGTCCGATGTTGGTTAGTGCTCTGCATGTGCTCTGTATGTTACGCGCCGAGCGTCTTTCTTTTCCATGGTTAAAGCAACCCATACGATTTTGCCTTCCACCCTTTTCACTCTTTCCACTCATTCCACGCCTTCCACCCACCTTGCTGTCTTCTACTATTGCGCTCTTGGTGACCTTTCAGTTCTTTCCAAGGATACCCAAACTTTGGGGGCTTCTGTTACTTGTAATCTTTCTATCATTAAGCTCATCCTTTCCACTTTTCATGAATTCCACCCATTTCACCCATTTCATCCTTTTCACTCATTCACTCGTTCCAGCCCTCGTAACCTTTCTAATCGTTTCATAGCCCTTGAGTCTACCACCTACAGGTTTAGGTCTACCACACCTTCCACCCGCCTGCCTAACGTTCAGGCAAGGCAACTAGGCATCATCGAGGAGTGAGCAATAGTCATAAGCCCCACATCCGTGTTGTCCTAGCTATGTATATAATTAGATAGGTTTCCCCCAGTGACACGGGAGGGGATCGCAGCTGTTGGATGGTATCCCAGCTTGCCCAGCTTGAGTTCGATACTTCCAAAGGATTTCACTGTTCAATGCTTTTCTCCACTGTGATCAAGCGAGTTCTTTGATGGTCATCATGGCGTCTTCCGTCAATCCGACATCCATTCCACCCATCTCTACCCTGCGGCAAAAGCTCGGATATGGCGACTCTCATTCAGCAAATTACCAGTCAATATCGTTCTATGAAAGCGTCCGGGCTTTCCGCAAGACCTTTGTAACCAGCCAGGGATACGAGGGCAGTGCGATGCACGAGTGGAGGTCTCCAGAGCACCAAAGTGCTCTTGAGGAGATGGTCCAAGCATTTCTCGACTGTGACGGCAACGGAACTCGACTATGGCCGAACGAACCTGTCCAAGACAGTTTAAATAAGCTCAAGTATTCCGTCCATGGCACGAGGTAAGTAATAGAATTAGTCTTATATTTTGAGGGAAGGTATATGGCTGATAGGTACATGGTCTCGTAGGATTAAGCGCATTCTGAAGCAGCTCTTTTGGCGAATGAACCTGCAGCAGCACCGCAACGAAAAATACAGGAAGAACAAGGGGAAGACGGGCAACATCCACATACGCACATTTGATGGGAGAGGTAGTCACGAGGATCCCATCGATGTAGATGAGATTAAGGAGTCACTAGAGAGCTATAGTGCGCTTAGAATGCTTGGTACCTCAAGGTAAGTGATCGGTATCCCGCGTGTACTGATAAACTTCTCCTTATATTTGACGCCGTAGCTTGACCCAAATCGATATGACGGCCGCTCGTTCGAAGAGTTTCGACCTTTCTGAAATCGATTCTACCTCAGAAGAGGCTCAAGAACTCTTACAATTGCAAAGAGAGGTTGTCACAGACCCCCAGCACGAACTCGAAGGTCATGGCCACGGAGTCGAGAACACCTCCGTAAGTCTGCTGCCTCAAAGAGAATCATCACGCTGTTTGGTCCTAATATACTTCAATAGAACCAGAATCCCTTCGCTGGCCCTACGGTAGATCCCCAATTTGCGCCCTACGCCGAAATGAACCCTTCCGAACCTCCTACAAAGCGCCCGAGGGTTGACAGCATAGATTCTTCCCATCAGACTTCGAGGGAGAAGCGATACAACACTCCAGTCGGTCCCAGAGGAAGCCGGACCTCGTCGCGCAAGCGACAGGAACCTCAACGCGATGGGTTCGCGACAGGTCAGCGACTGTCTGAAGCCTTGCAGGCTATGGAAGACGAGTGTTCTCTGGAGAGAGACACCGGCGCCAAGTCATTTGAAGCCAACCTAGAAGTACCTGATGGCTCTTTCACCGGTGTTCAAGAGGAATCGGAACTCTACATCCGTGAAAACAGTGCGGAGAATGTCACAGATAGGGAAACTTCTGCTGATGCCTTCGCTGATGAAATGATCACTCAACTACATGCCGAAACTGATATGCATTCACTTCAGCAAGAAGAGGTTTTCACCAGCACCGAAACCTCGGCGCCAGCTGACACCTCACGTCAAATGAGCCCTGCTGTGGAACGCAAGAAGACAGTCTCTTTCCTGGCCGACATGAGACGTTCAGAGACTATGGCTGTAGAGCCGAACGAAAGCATTGACTCACCACAGACCACGCCATTGCGTCAAGCACGAGTCAAGTTTGTGTACCGCATAATCACCCGCTACCCGACTCGGCGGAGCTGTATCTGGAAGCCCAGAGGAAGCTTCCGGACCAAGACGCTGGCCGAACTAGAAGATGAGCTTCCCTTGCAGTTTGAGCGATCCGAGCTCAAGTGCCTGCTCATTCGACTGGAAGCTCGAGATACTCATGCTGATCAGATAGTTTCCTGTGGAAGAGAAGACGAGTTCGATGCTCTCAAGCGACATCTCGTAGATTTTATTCGGTGTTGTATTGCAGAATCGCTCCCTGATGAGGAGGTCTCTATCTTTATCGACATTGAGCCGTTGCCTACTTTGGATTCGACGGAGAAATCCTCGGAAATGGAGTTGATTACGTTTGAATGGTGACGAATCTCGATTTGGGCTGGAATTTGTTGCGTTGCTGTTTCTTATTTCCTTTGATTGATACAACTTCCGAGGAATGATAGTATTTCAAGGGCATGATAGCGCTAAATGTATTTGCGCCCAGGCATTTTTTGAGGGTCGGACATATGAGAACCATGTGATTGGCTTAGGGAGCTCGTCCGCTTCCTCTGAAGGAAGGCGCAGTACATAAGGCGAATTCCGAGGCGGACTCCAGCAGAGCCTGATTCTCGATTCTGCCTAACTCTGACAACGTTCTTCCCACAAAGCGTCCGTCAACTTTCTTTGAGTAAGATTATTCCTCGCCCTGGCATGGCCCTGGAATCCGTCTTCTATTCATCCCACGTGTAGTCTCCGAATATGGCCGAATTCTTTGGAGTCGCCGCTGGTGTGGCAGGTTTTGTGTCCCTCTCAGTACAAATCAGTGAGGGCGTTAGTAAACTGCGAACTATCCGCGACAGTGCTGGCAAGGCTGCCACCGACATCAGCACCCTCATCCGAGAACTGGATCTCTTGACACATGTTATTCAGGATGTAATTGCGAATGTTTCTAATCGCAATGATTCTGTGATTCAACATTGTCAAGCGGATTGCGATCAAGTTGTTCGAGATTTGAAGTCTTTGATCATGAAAATACCGCCAACATCAAAAAGCACCATAAAGGCCAACGCGCTCATATTCCTTGCTTTCCGAGATTGGAAGGAAAATGTGATGGCTTTGCAGCGAAGTATCCAAGGGGCGAAAATCAATTTGATTCTGTGCGTGCCATAATTCTTCGAAGATACTTCTGCCGCTCCTCAATCACTAACAGAGTGTCACTGTCAGGATCGCGACGTACAGAAACTCGAACCAGCTGAAAGAGTTAACCTTAGTCAGTCAACTTCACACCCTGCCGCCGACAGAAGATCCTCCTGAAGAGTCAGCCTCAGAGCTGGCTCCGGCTTCTGCTTCGGACTTATCCCAATCTCCAACCGCCTCCGTTGGCGCAGTGCCAAGAAAAGAAAGATTGAGAGCCAAACCTAAGCAAAATTGTCTTTTGAGACCATGCTCTTGTGTTTGCCATCGCACGAACAGGACAACACATCGGTTCTGGGCTCTAGAGTATACTACTTGGGGCGCTTTGCAGCAGAGCTGCGACCTGGAGACCTGCAACACCACAAAATACGGAGCTTCAGTGAGGCTTGCGTTCTCGCAGCTTGGCATTAGATGGGCAGCAGTGCTTGAGGTCTATACTATCACATCCGCAGGCAGGTTCTCATTTCGTCCGAATCTCCAAATGGAGCAAATAGTGCCGTACACGTCTCCCGGTTTCGAGATTATATGGAGGTGCCAGACGTACAGCATTGGATTCGAAGAGGCTAGCGAAAGCCTGAGACAGCTCTACAGAGCAGACCCGCAAGGTTTCAGCCGCCACGTGAATCCAGGTGGGAAGTCCTATATCGAGGTGGGTTTGCCAGAACTTCAGTTACGGCCTTATTCTGACAGATGATGGCGATAGGAGATTTTGAGGTACCCGTGGGCAAGGGGAAAGGATCAGACTCAATGGGAACTACTGATACTCTTCATGCAAGAGTTCGAAATGACCAAAGGGACTGACAGTGTGGCGTAAGTCAAACTCGCAAACTGGAAGCATGCGAAATGGCTAAAATCATTGATTCGTCATTACAGGTTTCTTGTGCAATGCGCGAAGTGGATTGGCGAAGGCCCCCACTTGTACCTGTTGGAATTCCTCCTCGATTTGGGTTACGATGTCTCCGGAGTCGTTGGGGATTTTCAAGACTGGCCGGCGCTGTCATCGCCAAACTGGATCTCAGAAGCAATTACCCCGGACCCTTTCTTCATCGAATACTTCAAGATAGTGTGCATACATAACCAAGGTTAGTTCAGTCCTCAGCCTAAAGCATCTCACTTATTCCTGTACTCGAGAGGAATGGCGAGGAAAACGAAGTGGCCGCTAACATGTGATACGCAGGATTCGCTGGAATGACACCTCTCCACGAAGCTATACTACTCGAGTCGACACAAACAGTAGACAGGTGGATATTTAAGTCTAAGAAAGACGAAAAGAACAGCCTCGGGCAGACACCCCTTCACCTGGCTGTTTCAGATCCTCAACGATTAAAAGCACTCATTGACTCGGGACATGATGTTAACATGACTGACATCCATGGCATCACACCCCTGATGTACGCTGCTGCCGTAAACCAGGATGAATCCGTCACCCTTTTGATTGAAGCTGGGGCCTGCATCAACGCAGGTGATAAGAAGTACGGGCGCACTTTTCTTCACTACGCCGCTGTGCGTGGACATTGGAAGTTGATCTTCAGATTCCTAGTTCGGCTAGAAGACTTTGCCGATAATTGGATTGTGGAGGGCTGGGCCGAAAGCGCTGTCCTGTTGTATCACGTCGAATATCCCAACCTTGGCAATCTTGAAATGCGCGAGGTTTCTCTCGGGCAGCTCTTGATGAAGTGTCGTGCACCCAACTTGACCTTTGATGATGCGACTTCTGGCATTAAAGACAATTGTCTGCTACATTACAATACTGGGATCACTGACTTCGAGGCTTTGATGGAGCAAGGATTCAGGCTATTCAACCATATGAATAGCAAAGGCCAAACCCCTCTGATGGTAGCCGCCAAATTGGGCGAACCTGATCTGGTTAGAAAGCTTATTGAAGTCGGAGCTGACGTCAATCTCAAAGACTTCCATCATAGAACAGCCCTACACTTCGCTCTTGACACACTGGAGAAGAGCCGAGGCCACGGCTTCTGGATTGCTATGGAGACTTTACGGATACTGCTGGCTGGAGGCGCGAATGTCTTCACTGGAGATGGCTGCAGATGCCCCTGTTCATCCTTTGGCCGCCTCTCGGTTGTTGACTTGCTGAATTCCAGACATGGGTGGCAAGAGACATGGGGGAAGCCTCCAATCGCGGCGATGGAGCTTTTGTGCCTCACAGTGGAATATAGAGGAGCGCAAGAAGGAAAAGACTTGCTGCTCTCTTTCATTCGGTGGGAGAAGCATGAGGAGCTCGGAATGTCCCATCTTTGCTTCCAGCGTCATCCAGCGGATTGTTTCTATGGCTTTGCTGCTTCATCTCGTCCACTCTGCCTGCAGGATGAAGAAGTCGACGACATACTCGACGAGGAGTCAGAGTTTCTGGCCATTTTGGAAACTGAGATGGAAGAATCAAGTGCCAAGGACTTTGAGCACCTACTTAAGGACTGGCTCAATCAGATGAAGAGCAGACTTGATAAAGTGGTTGAGGAGAAACGCAAATCAGATGCGAAATGTGTGAAAAGGCAGGCGGAAGTCAAGGTATGATGAACTCTACCCCAATGTGCCGTCGTGCACCGATACTCATGTATTACCGAACAGCATGGCTACCAGGTGGATTACAAACGCGATTGCTTCTACCACAACTTTGTCGTAGACGTAGGCTGGCCAGATCCTACAAGAACAATCAGATCGTCTCTGGCTATGTACATCGCTTGGATCGAGCATGAATACGATCATGGGGCTACTGCACGCTTGGCTGGAAAATTCCACAAGGATTGGTACTCTAATAGGACCTCAATGGTTCATAAGTTTATCGAAGTCTTCGGCATACCGACAGCAGAGATTGCACACGCGTTGAAGCGCTCGGACGTAATTATCGAGGAAGAAAGGTATGAGCATGTCAATATTGAGCTAATCATAGAACGCTTTCTTCGGCCTGCTTCAAAGTCATAATGGATTGACGATCGTCTTGGAAGGCAACATACATTCCCAACCCACGAGCTGGCAGAAGTATTTACCTTTGAGAAGATCAATTTTGATAATTTTCGTTTATTTTCTGGTCCCTTTTGTGAAGCCTGTAACTTGAAAAAAGTGAGCTGTTTCGGTCGAAGAAGAACTGAATAGTACTTTGGGTAGGTACCATATCGCAGTAATACTCAGATTCTTCCAAGCCCATCGTCAACTACAGAACGGGAGACGGGTTTGATGACAGTAGCTGTCTTGGCGATGCCCTACTGTGCCCAACCGTACAGCAAAGAGGTGTAGCCACACATGATTTGCCGAACTCTAATAGCGTGGTTGGCCTCCTGCATTTGCCTTGTTGCTGCATCAAGGCTGCACTGAGATTTTCAGCTGGCTTTTCACTAGTTGTCCTGAGATTACCCCTCTTCAAGCATTTCGAGGAGGTGTCTGCTGTTTACAACGTATAACTAGCTCATACTTCTGGCTCAGGATCATGTGCGTCCCTCAACTCCCAACGCTCCGTTGTGGCTTAAATAAAACACCCTACATCGGCCAGTCGTCCAGCGTTCTAACCTCCCTCGGTCCTACCCCAACAGTCATTGATGATCTGAGCAAATTTTACGATGGCGAGTTGGCTGGAAGTCAGAACGCGAGCGGCGGCACCATCGCCAGCCGTAAGGTGCCGATTTGATCTCAAAGGATGTTGCCGCTCGGGGTCTGACTGCCCGTTCGTCCATGAAAGGCTCAGAAAGTCGCCTACATCCGAACAGGCCGATCCGGCCCTATCTCCAATGATCTGTAAGTTCTTTGCAAAAGGCTTCTGCTCCAGAGGCGACAAATGCGCCTTCCCTCACATCTATCAATCCGTGCCATCTGGCCCATCTCACGAGCTTGTTCTGGAGGACGTGGAGCCTACTGGACCAGCAGCGGAAGACTCCCGCTCCAAGATCGCCTGCGTCTTCTTTGCAAAGGGACAGTGTAGAAATGGCGTCAAGTGCGCATTTTCTCACGATAATGTTCCAAGAGAAGCAGCGTCAGCAGCAAGTGAAGTTACGGTATGTGGAACCTTGCACTCCAGTCATCAAGCGACCGAAGATGGGTGCTGATTTTCTACTTCTAGCCGCCCGTACCGGAAGAGAAGTGCACGCGAGAGCTGCTAGGTGCCTGGGTCGACTTTGGCTCAGGCGCATCCGTCGAGAAGGTCTCACTCTTCTCCGACTTTTCTACTGCCAGCATCCTCAACCTACCCGCTCGAAGCGATGTTGCAGCGGTATCGCGACTCCTAAGTCGATTGGGGTTCGACGTTCCAAGTATCAGCATTCGCGTAAGAACCCAAGGCTTAGGGGGCTTGATGTGTGCTATCATTCGGGCAGAAGACCCTGACTTTGCACAATCACTCTATGAGAAGTTCAAGAATCCTAATATCGAAGAAATATCTGGAATACCAGGATTGAAGGTCGAAGTGCACAAGCCTCTCAATCTTGATACCAACAAGGGGTTCACCCACAGGGTGAATTGCAAGAAAGTCATTTGCTCCTGGCACAAACCAATGCAACTGGCTTGCTTGACCTTTGGTTCCGAGTCTACCGAAAGTGAAGTCCGCAGTAACTTTGGAACTGGAATATTTACTGTGCTGGGAGCGAAAGTTTCTTGTGCACCAAGGTCGAACGCTGTACATCACCGACGGGGGAGCAAATTGGGAGTGCGATATTCAGTCAATTCGTCACCGAAGTTGAGACTATATGTTCCACCACAAGCTACCGAGGACGACATTCTCAGCATGATTCCTCAGAGACAGCGACCCACAAGTGTGAAACTTGAGGGACTGCAGGACCTGGACAATACCAAGAGCGAAGTCGACTTGGTTGAAGCTCTGCTCGTGGGCATTGGACCATTGGAGACGAGACTCAAAGTGGAAGCAGACTCCGTTGGCAAACGAGTCAAGGCGATGGCTCATTTCTCGGACGAGGCAGACGCTATGACCGCGGTTAGGTTGCTTAACTCTAAGCCCTTGCCATTCAACAAGGACGACAGACTTAGCATTAGTAGAGTTCATTCTGCAACCTACAAGGTCGCGAATCATATCTTCAGCGCGGTTCTTGTGGACTTCGAGAAAACTGCTCAGACCTTCAGCTCGAAAAGAGTCACTTTTAAAAGATACCCACCGCAACATGGGTATGTCACATTGAGACTCGAGAGTGAAAAGGGAGTCGATCTCGCGAGAGCCGAGACTCACACGAACAAGCTTCTCAAAGGACGCTTAGTGTACGATGCTGAAGGCAAGAAGCCCCTCTGGAGTCCATCCTTCAACAACAAATCACTGGCGAGTAGACGCCTCCGACCCATCGAAAGACAGCATAACGTGGCATTCCAATGCGTCCCATCCAAGGCCGAGATCCACGTCTTTGGCTCGTTCGAAGCCTCGCAGAAAGCTTGCGATGCATTGCTTCAGTGTTTCAGCGACGCTCCCTCTATGATCCACTACATACCGTTGACCTCTGAGAGTCTGCACTGGGCCATCCGGGGAGGATTCAAGGCTGTCTGCGAAGTCCTGGGTCAAGAAGCTGTATCCCTCAACATTCTTGCGACACCCAAGCGATTGGAGATCATTGGCCCGCGAGCTTCTTTCGACACGGCTATGGATATCTTGGCCAAAGGGCGGTTACCTCAGGAACAGGACATGACAACCGGAGCAGAGGAGTGCTGCCCGGTTTGTTGGACAACAGCTGAGAACCCACTGAAAGTTGGATGTGGACATGTGTACTGCCACGACTGTTTCGAGAACTTTTGCCAATCTGCCGTCGGTAACGGACAATCGGGCATTCGCTGTCTGGCTGATGAGGGCGCTTGCAATGCCTTGTTCTCACTCCAGGAGCTACAAGACTGCCTGTCATCGCTCACCTTCGAAGAGCTTCTTGCTTCCGCGGTGACGAGTCATGTCAAAAGTCGCCCGGATGAGTTTTGCTGGTGTCCGACCCCAGACTGCCAAACCATATACAGACCGACATCGCAGGAACCGCCAAAACTCTTCAGCTGTCGAGGATGTTCAAAGACCATTTGCTCATCCTGTAACGTTGACCACCACGGCAAGTCCTGCGCCGAACACAAATACATCACTTCAGGAGCAGCTGCAGATGCTGACAGGAATTTCGACAAAGTCAAGAAGCAGCTGGGCATCAAAGATTGTCCTAGATGCAAAACTTCAATTCAAAAGTCGGATGGCTGCAATCACATGACTTGCAGCGCTTGTAAAGCACACATCTGCTGGGTTTGTCTAGAGGCATTCAATGGTTCAAAGCCTTGCTATGATCACATGAATAGAGCACACGGAGGAATCTTCACGGGCGATGCACTTTACGAGGCATTAACTTGAGACGAGAAGAGGTGGTCTTAGATGAGAAGCGAATCAGGGAATTTGTCGCGTATACGGAATATACTGTTCACGAACATGGCAAGCATTAGCCATCATGGCAATGCGGTCATGATTTCTTTTTTTCTGTGTTGGTAAACTAGTCTTTCTCTGTCCCAGATAGCACGAAATTACTGCAGAGCTTTGGTTCTATTTTGAAAGACTTGTTCAGCGATTTTTGTTTAAGTGTTCTGCCTTTGCTGATCGCTCGGGCGGTTCACAGTACTCGTACAGAGTATTCATACACGGTATCAGTGGATACTCCCACTGTCTCGATAGACTATCTTGTTCAACGATATCTCCAGCACGTTATTGAGCATGTCACGCGAGGTCAGAAATGTGCCAAGAAACGCTTTGTCTATTTTGAAATTTTCTAGCCTCACTATTGCCTACTTCTCAGGGAAACATGAAGTTTGTGAGTTCCTTGTCAAGAACCCGTGGAGCATTTAGCAGACAGGGACGTTGATGACCTGGCCGACCTGGAGGCTCTCGGGGACGACGCCGGGGTTGGCACCGGTCAGCGAGTCGGTGGTGATGCCGAGGCTCTGGGCAACAACGAAGAAAGTGTCACCAGACTTGATGGTGTAGGTGGCAGCGCCGCCGGTAACGCAGGTAGCGGTGCCGGAAGGCTTGATGCAGGAGGTGTTGTCGGGAACGCAGACGTCGACGGGGACAAGGAGGACCTGGCCAGCGTAGATGACGTTGGGGTCGGCGAGCTTGTTCTGCCACGCGATGTCGCAGATACCAGAGTTGTAGCGCTGGGCGATGATGGTCAAGGTCTGGCCGGCCTTGACGGTGGTCTTGTGGAAGTTGCCGAGCTTGCCGCAGGTGGCGGAGGGAGCGGCGGCAGCGGTGGTGGAGGTGGCAGTCTGAGAGGTTGTGTTAGCGCTGGTGTCTTTTCAAGTCGAGACTAACTCGGTAGGTTACTTACGGGAAGAGCAGCAGCGAAGCTGGCAGCAGCGGCGATGACGGTGAAGATGGAGAACTGCATTTTGGCGGTTGAAGGTGATTAGGTAAGAGATTATTGGTGATTATTCGTGTTAGAAAGAATGGACAGACTTAGAAAGTCAAAGTGGTAGGCAGGCTTGTGAAAGAGTGACAAAGTGGGTTGGTGAGAGTAGGACAGAACAGACAGACGGGAAGCGATGATCACGGCCTAAATACCAGTTCACCTCAAGCACTGGGACAGAATAAGAACAGTTGCACGGTTGACGGTTAACACCCGAAATGCCGAGTCCCAACCAGATGGTACGAATACAGAGATGGTTTCATCAATTAAGATTTCTCACTGTTCGCCGGTTCCCGAGTTCATCGCATGTAGGAAATGAGCTTCATTCTCACTTGTGGGGGCCATTGTCCGGTGGCTAATCACCGCGAACCTTAGCTGGGGAATTGGCTTTTGGCTTGACTGAACTCTGACTCTCGAAGCCTTACCCCTGTAAGGCAGACTGAACATGTGCACCCAGCGAGTCATTCGTCACGATGTGAGAAAGTTAATTATACAACAATGTGATTATGAGCTTCAATCTGTATTTGATTTCAATGCTGAGAAAACGACTGCATCACCACTCGATCGGCCATTTGACTATCCCACCGCGCATCAATGGATGTGGAAAAGATGTTGCTGATCGACTGAATGGTTGAAGCTATTATATGGATACAATATCTCGGACTTTGTAAGCGGCGCGCTTGGCTCGACTTGCCACGTTGTTTATCCCCAGGCCGACCCACTTCGTTGTTGACATTATCAGCGGATACAAGAGTCTTCTTCTAGCAGGGGCCACATCATATTGATTTGCTACACGGTTTGTCCGGCTTGTTGAGATGAACGGGCTCACGACCTTGCTTCATTGAGTCCCTGACTCGGCGGCAAAAGGCTTGTTCTTTCCCGCGCGCGCTAGGACTGTGAATGGGAGCACTAGTCGCCTCGAGCGGTGACCGAAATTTGACGAGAGTAGGTGCGTTGCGAATTGTCGACTTGCGAGCTGTTCCAAATTCAAACCGGCTCAAATTACAGCCGGTTCGGTTCTCATAGAGCAAGGCTTAGTAGTCTTCAACTTCATGTCACTGTCCGCGCGGCGCGCGGTGCGGGTCCCGGTCAATATTATTCGGCGCTAGCTCCGATTTTGCCTGAAGAATCGGTGAGTTTGTTGCTCCTGATAGTGGAGAGGAAGACGAGGCAAGCTTGGGGCACGACTTTGAGTTTCTGCCCTGGGCATCTGACCGGCAGAAAGACGGCTTCTTTCTCTTCCAGCCTAAAGGCACAAAGTTGGACGGCAACGCCGACGTCGCGCAACTGCTCATGCGTTCCGAGATGAGAAGGGGATTAGCAGAGCGACTGGACAAGAAAACGAATGGTGCAAAGCTGGCAACTCTCTACGGTGACAATCATTGCCCGGGTCTGGCAGACGATGGCGCTTAGAGGATGTTTTTCGGACTCCAGTTGCCTTATATAACCACCTTCTATGAGCAAGAACTGTCAGATTCAGACCACACGCCTTGGCTATAGCGACCTTCTGCGGCGCGAGGTCAGAGAAATGTCGAGTAGGAAATGCGGTGAAATTTTCAGGAGTTGACCCGGTAATTTCAAGACGGAAAGTTTCGAGCCGGAGTATTATATCTATTGGTATCCGGGGCTCTCCTAACAAAACTTGGCTACAACACCGACTTGACTGGAGAGCAGTCTTGTGTGCACGAGAAGACTCTTGATGGCCTAAGAAATCAACCGTGATGTTATCGAATGCAGCTTACATGCACCATATCCTTATGAGGCTGAAAGGTCGCAACAGCCCAAGCCCTACACATAGTTGCTGTATGGTTGTATTGAAGTCTTGGGGTCAGAGTCTGGGGTAGTGTCAACATACTCAGCTCTTGGCAACCGCCAAGCTAGTGCCATCAGTGTTACCCTGTGATTAAAAGTAATCTTCATCGACACGGCACTCGAAATTCGACCATTGACCTCCTCCATTGATGAGCAGGTTCCTCTTGGTGACATAGACGAATCGTCTTCCAGGTGCGAAGGTCTTTGCTGGGGTGGCTGATGCTATTTTAGAAAAAGATCTTCGCTTCGGGCTCTCTGTATTATTCTAAAGTCTACGATATCGTGCCTTTCATCATCACGCAATCTCCGTGATATGCTAGAAGACATCTGCACGATCCCATACATTTCTAAGCCACCCCGTTCGATACTGCAAAAGAGACCTCTTTAGAAGCTGAACGCGATCTCGATCCCAGTATAAAAAGCCAAGCTGCCTCCATGCTTCAACGGTCGCTTTCACCCGGTCCAACCGCGTGCTGTCTATGCCCACGTGGTCTGGTGAATTTTGCAGCAACTCTGAGCCCCATCGGCGGCAATCTAAACCAGCGTGCGCGTCGACCCAAGCAAAAGGAGGATCTGTTTTCAAGTCGCCAGTGGTGATTGCCGGTAGCCTTCTTTCGTAACCGTATATCACATCTCGCAGCCGTCTAATCTCATACTCATGGGACAAGAGCGTGTGAAGGGTCAGATCAAGCTGTGAGGATACCACTGGGAAGTACTCCAAAATGTAGTTGCTTGGCACTTGGTGACCTCCTCTGAGAATCTGATGATCCGAAAGGCACTTTAACTCTGTCGAAGAAGCCGCAAAGATCTTGATTGTTTCTTGGCCCATGGTGAGTGCACGGCTTAGTATATGTCGGAATGCCGTAATATCGTAGAAAACATGTGTATTTTGCATGTCCAACTCATCTGAGGCATCAAGCGAGACGAAGAATTGGTGTAGTTTGCCTGCAAAGTCGTGAATTCCAACGATTTGCTCTATCTGGCAAGGCGTGAAGCATTGATTCAGAATTGCCCGTACTTCCATCGTCGTCTCTTCACTAATGCGGTCGCGAGAATTTTGTGTCAGCAATTGATACCGCAAGCATGCGAGCACGAGCCGGTCTTCTTCGTCTTTCGTGAGTGGCTTGGCTGCCTCTGAGTCCACTGTCCATAACTGCTGTCGCTGAACTTCCGTATACAGAGTGACAAAGTCCCGAGCCATAAAGTCGCATCGCGTAGCCTCGATCAAGTGATCGGCTGATATGGATGATATGTCTGCTGTGCCTGCGTCGAGGTCTTCCCGAAATATCGCATATAGCTTGGTGGCGCTCACCACCCCCCATGCATGATTGTTGCTAGACTGACCGGCTCTTGGGATAAGTGCAAGTGCTACAGCATCTTTGAGGACAGCAGCAGCATCGCGGTGAACAATATGTCGGATGACGCGCCGCCGTTCCGCTATGAAGAATCTCCGCAGCGACGAAGACGCATTGACGAGCGCATTTAAATCGCTCAAGGAGTCGAGGAAAGAAATGATGCCGAGTAGTATATCTGCAGGCAGATTTTCAAGAGCACTTGGTGGTGGGTAGTTGAACATGTTGCCGAGATTGAGTTGAATACTTGCAGAGGCCAAGTCGCATGTAACTTTTCGCGGTCGGAAACTTACGGCTGTTCCTTTGTTCTGGCGCGGATTGGCAATTATCCGAAGAGCCGAAAACATGCTATCAATGCACGTGCTACAAATTCACGAGCTAGACAATCAAGCATCAATGCCGGGCTAACGCGTTTCACGTTGTTTGTAGTTCGCAAGATATCCACAAAAGTCAGTAGCGATAAGGAGCGCAAAAGCACTGGCATCACTTCGAATCAGGAGAGGTTTGCGAATTTTATTACGCTATTCCAGTATCCCATCGAAAATCAAGCGAGCACGAACATGCACGGATTGATTTCAACCTACTGCTTATTAGTTCCTCCATCACTACTGAGGGACTCAAGGCATTCTATATAGCTTGACAACTATAATATCTAGTAAGAAATATCTCGTATCTTGAGGAATATAGTCATATCATTATTACTATATGATCCTTCTACGCCGGCAAGTCTCGTAATAGCCACAGCGCGTTCGCGTTGTCACCTAGGTGTAGATACTTCTCTGAATAGAATTAAGAATCGCTCAGGATGAACCTTCAGAAACATAGCATGACCGCTGGATAATTCTGGTAATTCTAAGGATGGTGTTCCACGAAATTTAGTCCTTGACCCATGAAGTCTGACATGAAGCAATACAATGCGATTGGATGTATTTCATGTGAGCCAAGGAGTTGCATGATCAAGATAAGTAAAGCAGAGGTTGTGTACTCATTGATGTCACTTGCTCGACATCTATGAAACAGTGGTTTACTTGCTGGAATATTCCCTACGGACTCACTATGGAGTCGAACAGTCTTGGCAGTCAACAATCATGATTGAAGCACCGCCCGTGATTCATATCATGTCATGGGCTGTGTGGCAAACCCTGCTGATTCGCATCAGACTCACCCTGCAATATAACACAAGTGCCGCTTGCATTCAAAACTGAGTTTGCTGAATCATGAGTGAAAGGTCACGTATCGACGACGTTTGACTGATGAGTCTACATGATGGCCAACTCTACACATTCACTGGAGCAAGCCTGGCCCTGGCCGCTTCCAATCTGCAGCTAAGAGTGTATAAGTAACCTCATACTTGCAAATTCAACTCGGCCTTATCGACACTCTCAAGCTTCAGATTCTCCGAAGCTGCATATGTGATCGCAAGGACAAAGAATCAGTCAGGAATGCCCAAGATCGATAAACTTTGATATCAAACAACACGTCCAACAAATTCATCGAGGTCAGACACAAGAGTTACATCAAGCATTCGTACTCAGAATAAACCATGTGTCACAAATACTACTTCACTGGCGAGTCCGAATGCATGCACTTGGGCGTTTGCTTTCGAGATGAACAATGTCAACGTGTCAGAGATGGAGCGAGACCTTGCCCTCGAAATACCTGGGTTCACCAGTGGGTCAACGGCGTCCTCCCGGTCGAGGGCCTTTGTCGCGATTGCCGCGGAGAAGGACTGGGAGGAAATGATGTTGTTGAGAGACCAGAGCAAGGTCATAGGCAGCGTCAAAGACGACGAGAACATCGGCAGGAAGAGCCTGAGCTGTCTGATGAAATGGAGGGAGTTTGAGGAAGTGGAAATACACTAGCGATGGTAGCTGTAATGCTGATGCTGTCGAAACTCAAATGTACTTTCAGTGTTGCTCAAAAAGGCAGGTACGGCGAGCTGAATGTCCAAGACAGACTAATATTGTCTCGTCATAACTTTCGGAGATGGCGAGCGGTCCCTTTTGGGCTATTTACCTGCGTGAGAGGGTGAAGTTTAGGAAGGCGGTTGTTAGGCATCATACGTCGGCTGCACGCCGAGACATTGGAGTGCCATTGGCGCCTTGCCCGCTCGCCTTATAGAGCAGGTGGCGAGGCTTCAGCTGGGCGGAACGCCGTCGGCGTAGCTACCTTGCGGCGTGACACGCTGGGGCTGGAAGTGCGGCGTAGGGGTCTCGATTGGGTGTAACGGCGAACTCGGCCGGATCTTACTCCGGATCCTCAATGTTGCATTGTTCCTCAAGTCGGGGATCTTGAGCTTGGAAGTATATGGATACTCTGGGTAAGGCCAGGTCTTGGCGGCATCCGAGGCATATCGTAATCGTTCATATCTCCGAAGTCTCAGGCCATCGGGCTTGATGCCACCGGCGCATAGGATTGTGCGACGATGTCGTGACCATCATCGTAATGAGATAGGACGTCCTGGATTCGATAGAGCCCGATAGTATGTGATGTGATCCGGGACCCGAGTCACGGGTGTCCTAAGGCTACTCGCGGTTCATGACGGCGTTTTCAAGTGATCGTCGTGAAAGGAAGGTGAGGAAACCACACCACCAGCTGTTTGTCTTGGCAAAAGTGATCTTGCAGCAGTAAAGCGGTAGTGCTGAAGAATCCTGGCAGAGATGGGAGCCAAGCATTTGTAGGTTCTTGGAATGCCGGTGGTTCCTGGCTGGGGTTGTCGAGTGTGGCAGGTCGGTAGAAGCGGGGAGGCTAGAACAGGTTCTGCAGAGGATGCCACCATTCTTTTGCAAGAAATCGTGACTGCGGTTCCCAGGAGATGCCTAAACTGCCTTCCAGAAGGCCACTAGCTTTGAACCTTCCCAGCCTGTCCGGTTCAGAGCCGCACCTTGATGGTCACCTCCCCCTTTCAGCAAGCGATGCCATCGTGGGAATTTTGGTGGCGGAGTTTGGGCGGTAGGCTAACGCATGGCCCAACGGCGAGCACACTGGCAGTGTGTTGTGTGACATGACTATTTCGGTCAAGGCTGCTGTTGTAGCCCTCAAGCTATTGAATGACTGCAGCAGTGGTCAGTGCTGCGCAGCCTGTGGGTGTGTCGGAGTGCCTATGTTGTTAATAGCTGTAGAGCACTTGAGGTCCATCTATTGCTGGGTATGACGAAAGTCAATGTCGGTGCTCCGTAGACAAGCATCAGAGGGAACGGCTTTGATCCATCACCCCACATCAGACAAGATCTCGGCAGCAGCCCCGAGCCTAGGTAGGATACTGCTGTTCTGCCGCCGCGAAACTCGGGGGCGACAGGGGTGGTGGAAATGAAAGGCTTGAGACTCCGTTGTAGTACAGGAATTACTTGCCTGATACTCTCGTGATTTGTGCTGTTGCCTTTGATCCCGTCTTGGCTAGTCTGCAGGACAGGACGAGTCTGGAAGGACGTTGGAAAAGCGTAATGCTAGCTGAAATCCAGGGTCAAGAAGGTTTACGCGGATGGTGATTCCGTAGCATGGAACGGCAAAACAACCAACTTGGGCACGCCGGAGAAGGCTGTGATGGTAGGGTGACGGTTGTGTAAGTTAAGCTTGATCACGAATGGAGATCATGGGGCTGGAGCCTGGAATACCCAAGAGCTTGCTCCCCGCTTCTTACTTGATGAATCGTGCGAAGCTTCTGAGTCCTGGCTGACAGGAAAGAGAAGCAAAGGCCAGAGGTGACATTCGGGGAGTTGCCATCCCACCATCTCCGCTCCGAGAGGGCAGGGGAATTGGATCATGTCAGCATCGCTAAAGCAGAAGAACCCACTACCTTATCACGTTATCGGTGCCATAGAAAGACGCTCGGACCATATGCTGCACCTTCTACGGCCCAAGCCCCCACTTGCCGGCGGGAATTTCGGAGAGGCCCGCCCTGAGGTGGAAAGGCGGGTACCCTCCAGAGTACGTACTCCGATACGTATACTGCAGCATGTGATTCACGAGGCTCCTACCGCTTCGAAGTACCAAGGTATCTTATCTTTTGCCGCCCGGGATTCCTCTCTCTTCTTCCACTTCACAATGTCGCCGATCGACGGATACACTTATTCAATTTTGGTAGCAATTATTCAATGTTTGAGATATCTTGCCGAGCCACAAAATCATGTGGCGTTTCCCGCTACCAAGGATGCGGGGTACCACGACTTGTGAAGGCTTGGACTTACAGATGTCTCGGCCAACCCTATTCTGAGCTCTTCTTCGAACGAAGGTGCGGGTGGCTGCTGACGGCGTACAGGTGTTCGTCCTTTCAGGGATCTTGATCAGGAACCAGGGGTCTCCAACGAGCAACTGTCCAGTCAGAAGCCTAGAACAACCGCAGCGAGCACTTCACTTGCTCGCCCAAGTTTGGACGCGCTGATATGCGCTAATAATTGCGTGAAGGTCCAAAATCCCTGGCATGGACCTTTGGGAAGCCCAGCACAGGCTAGCCTTTGCCGAGATGTGCTATAGACCAACCAGCTTATCTAAACATCCCGAAAGACCCTCCTCCAACCTAAAGAGGACCAGAGCTCTCAAGGGCAAGACAGCTTTGCTTGCGTGAGAAAGCTGCTGGCCTTCGTTACGTGCTCAATCAAGTTCGGGGGCTCTAGATCTGGAGTGAGGGGCTACGATGAGTTGCTTCAGGGATCTTCTGTTGCGGGTTGTCTTTCCCTCCTATCCAGATTCTCCACAGGAGCTCTAATCCTTGACATCAACGTCTGTCTGCCTTGGCTCCCTGGCTCTGTTGGCATTTTGCATGCAGGTAAACAAGAATATGCATCCAAGACAACTCACCACAATCAGAATAGGGCACAACAGAGTGCTCCATGTCCATGCAACAGACAACGGCGCGTACATTGCTGGCTTTTTGCAGCTGGCCTTTGGGACCCATGGCAGGAGACGCGGAGGTCTACACACATTCCGCCTCGGAAATGCTCTCCGACAGGCCACAGACAACCAGCTGCGGGCTGCTTGGTCTGAGCCTGGCGCTAACATACCCGCCCGCCACATGCGATCCACCGTCGTGCAACGAACACTTCGCTCTAGAATCAACGATGGAAATGCAGCAATTCACTCATCGGTGGCACTTATCACGACTAATTCGCCATTTACTACCTATCCTCCATCATCCTCTCCTGGGGTGCATTTTGGCAGCCCCCAATTCCCCCAGAACTTATCATCCCACCCCGATCGCCGACTGTCACGCTCCACGGCCAACTGCCGGATTAGGAAGGCGAGATATCTCACCTGGGGTAACATCGCCTTGACGCACGAGGATCAACCCTCCTCCGACGAACCAGAGCTTCGCCATGGCCTGTGATATCGCCTGCCACCCCGGACCCCCGATGCATCCATTTGAAGCTCAAGCCCTGTTTAGAGATGGAGATGGGGAGCAACAATGAAGGTGGCCCAAGTCTCCAAGATCTCATAGGTCGGAACTTTTGGATTTGAGTGGGCGCTGAGGCCATCAACATCACCAACACCGACATTCACAACCTGCAAAGCGACCTCATACGCATCAGCTGCCATTAATTCGGGTCCATAGACTTTTGGTCTAGCAGGACAGAAAAGCCGTCGTTTCTCGACCATCCTACAGGGGTCAGGCGCGAGAGTTCGGGAATCCACCGCATCCTGAATTTATGCATAAAAAAGCCTTGGCACTGCCGTTCCGAGGACCGTACCGGTCTTAGGACTGGACGTTGAGGTATTGCTAATGGCGATTAGTATTCGACAACTCGATATCATTGGCGGCATTTGGCTCGGACAACTCTCACCTTGTACTGCTCGAAGAATGGGGTTGGAAGACCACTCCAATGGGCCGTTCAAATGCCGATGTTGTCACCGCTGCATTTCCGTTTAACAGCGGCGCCCACAACAGCTGTTTATCGAGGCTCTATCCGCTTCTCTCCCGTGCCCGCGGGACGCGTATCTCCACCACGCGATATTGATCCTCGGAATGTTGGCTTCTTGTCTTGTAAGTCCTGGTATCATTCAAAGCTTACTGGTTGTATCTAACCAGGTGACGACAGAGGGCTTGACATGCCTGCAAAAACTGTCTACCGCCCAATCTCAAAGTCACTTGCGACCATCTGATAGCTTTGTTGCATTGCCAAGCCGGCCTAGCATGCCTCCTCTCTCACCCAGCTTGCTGCATCACCAATATCGCCGTCAATCAACTTCCTATTTTTGATTTTGTCGCACAAGCTTCTGAGATGGCTGCTTTATGTCGCCACATGGCGCCATTGGTACTCTCCTTCCCCTTTCCGCAGACCGTGTCGTCTTATCGACTTGGGTTCACTTGTTGTGCAACCGCCAGTGCAACTTTTGGCGACATATCCAAGTTTGACAGGTTCATCCCGACTTGGACCCTGCGGCGGTGGCTGTTTTCCGAGCAAGGGTCCGAATCATGTACGTACTGTTTCTCGAAGCGCGCCCCGGAACTCTGTCTGCAAGCAGTAATGCACCATCGAGGGCCTGGATGAGCCAGCCACTTACATGACATGCAACGGACGAACATCGAGCCTCACTCGGTTTCAATGACGAGGAGGAAATCTATATAACAGCTTTCAACGACCCACGATATTCGGTCTCTTTTCACTCCTCACCCCTCATCCTCTCCTACAATCCCAACTCCAACTCCTGCATCTCGGTCTATCGACAGTCAAAATGGTCGGTTTCAAGCAACTCGCGCTGCTCGCAGCTGCTACCTGCGGCTTCGCTGCTCCCACTCTCAAGGAGAGAGCTGCCGAGACCATGGTCCAGACCCGGGCTGAGAACAGCTACATCATCACCCTCAAGAGCTCCGTCGGCTCCCAGGGCCTCACCTCTCACTTGAGCTGGGTCAACGATGTTCACTCTCGCAGCCTCGACAAGCGCCAGTTCACCGGCGCCGAGCGCACCTACTCCTTCAACTCCTTCCAGGGATACTCTGGCAAGTTCGACGATGCCACCATTGAGGCTATCAAGGCCAGCCCTGAGGTAAGATTCCAAGCTCCGACGCGTTGTAAGAGCCCACTCTAACACTACAAATAGGTCGCTGCCGTTGAGCGTGACGAGATCTACACTCTGAGCGCCCTTGTCACCCAGACTGGTGCTCCCTGGGGTCTCGGAACCATTTCCCACAAGACCTCCGGCTCTACCTCGTACATCTACGACAGCGCCGGCGGCACTGGCACCTTCGCCTACGTCGTCGACTCGGGCATCAACACCGCCCACACCAACTTCGGCGGCCGCGCCTCGCTCGGCTACAACGCCGCCGGCGGTGCCCACACCGACACCCTCGGCCACGGCACCCACGTTGCTGGCACCATCGGCTCCACCACCTACGGTGTCGCCAAGCTTACCTCCCTGATCTCCGTCAAGGTCTTCGTCGGCAACTCCGCCTCCACCTCTGTCATTCTCGACGGATACAACTGGGCCGTCAACGACATCACCACCAAGGGCCGCGCCGGCAAGTCCGTCATCAACATGTCCCTCGGCGGCCCCGCTTCCACCGCCTGGACCACCGCCATCAACGCCGCCTACAACTCCGGCGTCACCACCGTCGTCGCCGCCGGTAACGAGGCCCAGAACGCCGCCAACGTCTCCCCTGCCAACGCTGCCAACGCCATCACCGTCGGTGCCATCACCAGCACCTGGGCCATTGCTTCCTACTCCAACTACGGAACTTCCCTGGACATCTTCGCCCCCGGCAGCTCCATCCTGTCCACCTGGTACACCTCCACCACCGCCACCAACACCATCTCCGGTACCTCCATGGCCTCCCCCCACGTCGCCGGCCTCGTCAACTACCTCCAGTCCGTCGAGGGCCTCAGCACCCCCGCCTCCATCGTTGCCCGCATCAAGGCTCTCGGTACCTCTGGCAAGATCACCGGTACCCTCAACAGCTCCCCCAACCTGGTTGCCTACAACGGCAACGGCGCGTAAGCGGTTTCTCGTCAAGAACCGGCAAATTTCGTCAGACCGACCGAAAGCCAGCCGCGGGGGGCGAGAAGACGTTCCGCCCTTTCCGTCGGCCAAGAGCGCTTCGCAGCTCGCTCACCTTTGTACACGGAGGAGTTGGGATTCCCTCATCAGAGATGAGCGGGGGAGCGCTGTTTCTTACGATGGAATGAGGATGTTTATAAGACTTCGCTGCCTTGGTATTGGACCTTGGCTCTCCCATTTTTGAGATTTGTAGGTGTCATATTGGGCATATATAGTTGATAGGACAATAAAGAAGATGCATCTGAAAGTAACTTTCCAAGTTGACATTGTGATCTGAGGCTGAAGGTACATGAATTGAGGTCATTACTGCAAGGGTGATCAGAGCGACAAGCTTCGTTGTCTAGACTCACACCTCTTGGCGAACGGGATCCTTACTCAATGGGGTATTAATATAAATCGCATCTGACCCGCCCGCCACAGCCTGAACTCTGGAGAACCGCGATCCCTGACCGGTATTTCTTCCCTGTAATCTCGTATTCTCAGTCTTGGCAGTTGTCGTCTCCTTCGCAGTGTACCTAACGCTCTATGGTCGGATGTCATGCGAATGAGTAGCTGGGTAAAGTGGTGGAGATGCAATGCGACGACTTTAATATCATCCGGAGAGGGCGCTGGGTAAGGGTTTTCGCGGGGAAATAAGGATCGTCTCCCCCAGGTCCCAGGACTCGGGGTACCCCGGGGGCTGGTATTGTGCCCTGACTCCCACTCTCCTACCATACTCCACGCCGATCAGCAGAGTATACATGAAAGGACCAGATATTTGGGTCCCTTTGATAGACGGAGTTATCCAGCAAATCATCAGACCTCATAGCTTGGCGTGGATTGAGTCGATTTGCTTGTTTAATTGAGGCTTTGCATGCGCACATAACTGCAGCTGGGGATGTGCCTCCTTGAACAATTGGTTTGACGTACTCTTATTGAAACTTATCATCTCAGAACGAGACTTATCATAAAACCATCTGGTTCCTCAGAAGTAAGGCGTTGTTGATTTTGTTATCCAGTGGAGATCGGATAACTCCGCCACATATGGGACCACGTCGACTCATGTGTAAGTGAGATAGCCCACAATAATAAGTTGTTGGGGATCACATATATCTTGAAGTAGGTACCTAAAGACGCACACTCGAATTCAAAGGCGGGCACCCTCCATATTCTCGGAGAATCATTCAGTTGACACCGGTCTCTTCACTCGTCGTGGACCACCAAGCCTTGATATCAGCAACTACCTAACCCCGGTGTGTCAGCCTTCAGTGCGAGAACATTTGGAACCGATTTTCATTCTCCCCCACTCCCCCAAACTCCCCGGCCGCCTTAACTCCGTCAAATGTCATCCGACATCAGCTTCAGACAGGATGAGCTATAACGAAACCTTCTTATATTGACAACGCCTGGGCAGGCTTGTGACGCTTTCTTTGTTGTGAAAGTGACCTTCCCTCCTAGATGCCGGATTGGAATAAGAGCCGAAACTGCAATGCGTCTGAGACTGTTAAACATGCGAGTGCGATTCTTCTTATCAATGTCTTTAGTGGTTCTGGTGATAAGTCAACACGGATGACCTCTATGATGCCGGGATTCGAATAGAATTTAGGTATATCAAGATGCGATGCTTACTGTCAGACTGTCAGACTTGCAAATCGTGATTGCAGCCTTTGTCTGACTGGCTTGAAGTAGAAATACGCGTAATGGAAGTAGGCATGTCGCTAAAGATTTCTGCCGCTCCGGTTCCCTGTCACACATACATTAGTTGACTGACTCAAGCAGGTCTTCTAACCCACTTTACAAAGGATATCTGCCGATCAAGCTATAATCATATTATCTTGCCAGGAATACCAACAGGCATGTCAGTATCGCGGAGTTGAACCCATTGAAACCGTGCTGTATTCACTGAACCCAGAAAGGGAGTTTGTTCCGGTCTCCACTGCAATTGCAGTTCCAACATGACGCTCCACGATCTGGCGCAAATTCTCTTCATACGGCCATTTGTTCAAAGGATTGCCAGCTGAATACGCAGGAGAGAAAGCAGACGGAGTCGGTTCTGGTTTCCTCGATGTACATACATGTACTAAGCCGTGTTCGTAATCTCTGGACGCTACCTCAAATATTAGCAGTCAAGCACGAATAGCACCCGTGGTCAGGTCCCTCGGTAGCACCTCTAATCTTGCACTCTCTATGAATCTGATAATGTAGGGCATTGTTTTTCTATGGCGTATAGCCCCGGTAGCCAAAAGTTTAAGTTTCGGACAACACGAGTCAATGTGAAAAGAAGACTCTGCCAAATCAGATCCGCAGATTCATATGCGCTGACGACTTTGGCTTCTCGTTATGGAGCGAATGCGAGATGAGTACTATTCGGCAAACCCGATCGATTGCCAAACGCTGCAATCATCAACAACAGAGCTACTGGCGAATATTAAATAGAGACGGGTCGCGCTGTTCCTGGACTTGAATCTCACTGCAGCCTCCCATCATTCTCACACACAAGAACCTCACTTCAAGTCACTCATTCAAATACTTGTCACCATGCTCTTCCAGCCTTCTCAATTCTTTGTTCTTGCCCTTGGGCTTCTGTCTGCTACCGCCACCGCTGCGCCTACTGAGGTGATGGAGCCCCGCGCTGAGGTCCTCGACATCGGTGCTTGCTACGGCTCCAAGTTCACTTGCGCCTTCCAGGGATGTCTTGCTGGGTACACTTGCTCTCAGCACACCGGTGGCACTGACTACTGCTGCGTCAAGTGGGGTTGTGAGGCTTGTGTCTCTATGTGTGATCAAATGAATATGCTGACAGGTAATAGAAACTACTCGCTCCACATATAGCTGTCACTCTCCATCTATCACCTAGTCTGTTCTGCGTTGGACGTTGTACGGCTTCGGTTTCAACGACATGATGCGCACAGTGGTCTATGATTGCTTTTTCTACTTGCCTTAGACTTGACAGAATAATTATACACTTCATCACCAAAGCATCGGCGTCATAAACCAATATCGCAATCACAAGTAAATTTAACCCGTTCACTGTTAACTTTGGTGTCGTTTTGTCATTCTGTGGTTCGATACACACACCTATGCGTAACTTCTCATCAGATTACCTAAGGTCTCGCAATATCTCTGCCTGCTAGCCAGATGAATAACCAGCTTATTGAGATCATGATCTTCCTCCTCCAGCTCCTCGTCCAGCCCAGACTTCCAGAACGCCAAGCCAACCACGCGCTCATTCCCGTCCACTCTTGCTTACCACCAATGATACCGTCGTGGCGGCCTAGATAGGCTAAGAGTGCTCTCTGCCTGTAGTTGAAAGGTACAGGATCGGCATTCGAGTTGAGAATGGTCGTGAGGTACTCGCCTTTTTGCAGAGCTACCTCAGCCAGAGTGGGTAGTGATTCGCCCTCAATATCGGCGGCGTCACCGAGCGCATAGACATCGCTCATTGGACTTCCATCTGGATGTAAGACGCGGAGGTACTTGTCTGTCAAGATGCGAGGCAGACCGCTCTCTGGCTTTTTGACAGGCAGCTTCTCAACCAAGGAGCTTGCCTTGTTGCCCGTAGCCCAAATCAGTAGTCCGTACGGCAAACGCCCGTCCTCCTTCGTGAAAATCGCATCGGCTTCAACGCTTTGGATGTGTGACCCGGTCTTAATCTTGACATGCTTCCCTTGCAACGAACTAGTAGCGTATTCGCTCAAGTTTGCGTCAAATGTCGACAAGATCTTGGCCGCGACGTCGTGAATGGTGATGGTCACCTTACCATCGAGGTGGGGAAACAGAAAACGCATATCTTCGAACCACAGATCCCATAGCTCGGCGGCAGCCTCAATACCAATAGCTCCGCCGCCGACAATTCGAATGTTGAGATAGTCTAGCTGATCCTGTTCGCTTGTCGTTGGAAGAGACGCCTTGTCGAGCATTTGGAGGATGCGCTGCTGGATCAAGCGAGCATCATTGGTCGTCTTCAGAAAAAGAGCGTGCTCCTTCGCGCCTGGCGTGCCGAAGTCTTGGGTATCGCATCCAGGCGCTATGCAAATCTTGTCGTACCTCACTTCAAAGGTTGTCGGGTCTTCGCCTGCGGTGGGTGCATCGGTCTTGCATCGGACTATCCGCTTTTCAAAGTCGATATCTTCCGCAAAAGCCTTGTAGTAGTCCATTTCCGTCCTGTGCTTCCGCCTGACCGGCTCTTCCGCAAGGCGGAAGTTGAATAGCCCGCATGCCGCGCTGGCCAGCAAGGGAGTGTACTGGATTGTTCGAATTGGCGAAATGACCTTGATATCGTATTTCGCTAGGTCGACTTTTTGAGTGAGGGTGAATCCACCCCAGCCGGTGCCAATGACAACGAGGACTGGTTTCGACATGTTTAACTGTGATGCTCTATCCCCCAGTTTGAACTGCGACACTAATTATTTCCTCATGCTATGTGATACTTGACCGACTTCTTATGGTTTTCTCAATCCTTGCTTCATCCGGAACGAAACTATCAACCTTACGTCACGGGCCTCAAATTGTCGGCGTGCGGCATGGCAGTTGCGGCTTCGTGGGCTCTTCGGAGAGGGAACGTCATCGATTTTCGGAGACTAGGGAATGGTAGCATCGCCTGGTTGGGGGGAAGCTCGGAGGTTTGACACCTTGGTTCGGCAAGATATTACTGGCTGGAGCTGGCTGCCGTAGCTTGGTCCGAACCTAGACAGATGCCGGGAGATCTCCGCGTTCCACCCGGGCCCACTTCTTCGGCTGGATTGGTCCGGTCGATGAAGGACGGGGTCTAGGGTTCGTCTAGAAGCCAACTTTCCCAGACATCTTGCTGCATGGGCAGCTTGAAAGTTTGTCGAGATTGCGGGGAAGCTTTCTTGTCAGCTTGGCAAAGTTTTTGGTTGGGCGTCTTCAATGGTGTTGATTTGATGATTGAGAAAAGTTGCGACAGTCAAGCCTAGGGTGTACAATGTCCGTGTTTGTAGATTTTCTCCCTGAGGACGGGATTGTCGGATGTATGTATCCAGCTTTCGTAAGCCATGCAATGCAGCACTCTACCACGCGGGAGTACAATAAGGTCACGGAAATATGTTAGTCTGCAGGAGAAAGCACAATTTGCTTGTTGGTAGTGGTGCGCTTGAGGTACAAATATCCGGGTCTTTAATGCTGCTTTCACAACAACATTGTTGAAGCCAAGCTAAGCGAAGTGAGGAAGCAACTCGCTGGCACTGAACACAGCCGACAGTTTCTCTATGTAAGTCGGCTTGAGAATATTGTCGGCATGCAGATCATCTTGTGTCCAAAGAGCGTGGAGTAATTTTTTGACAGAATGAAGTTCGCGATCAGGAAGAGTCTTTTCCGCGTTCGAAACCAGCTTCAAGATACGAAGCCTTTCCTCGTCGGTGCGCGCTTCACATCCGAATATGAGAAGCGGCAATGGTCTCTCACAGGTGCCCATCAAAGGAAGGAGCTGTAGTCCTCGTTCGACCAACGCAGCTACGCCAGAATCCTCTCGCTCGCCTTGATCGGTAGTGCGACTTAGGTACACCAGCGTTGAAAGTCGATATACTTCAGATTTCGCGGCGATCCTCTCCGACTTCAGATCCGCGAGGCTGTACGATGCTGTAACCCGCAAGCTCTCGATTTCTTCTTTGAGTGTTTTGATCTTGCATCGATATTGCTGTGTGTGGGTCTCGGGATTGTCGGATGGCAGGATTTCCGCAACCACCTCGGAGAGAAGGCCCAACGGCTGAAAGAATCGCTTACTTTCCAACGATGCTTGGCTCATGATCATCGAAAGCTCCACACGGGCTTTCTTCCTCATCTCTGGCGAAGTAAACGGTCTTGTGTCGCAAATTACCTGACTCGGTAGCAGCGCTTTGGGTTTCCTCCAATGGCGAAGGCTGAATCGAGCCAATATCTCATGATATGATACCCACTCCAGCAACAAGGGAGCGTCTGAGACCCTCCAGAATTTCTCCAGCGAGACACTTTCAATGAGTGTTCGTGAAGAACGTAGATAGCAAAGCCAATGGTTTGTTGAGTGCGAGCTCTTTTGGGTCTGCAAGAATAGTGAGTGAGAATGATCCAGAATTCCCTATGCAGCATAGAACAGTATATGATCTTCACAAAGCTTGTGTAAAGGTCTAGGATACAATAGAAAAATATCATACCTCAAACATGCAAAGAACCATCCCAGCTGCTACGTGCTGAACTGCCTTGTGGGCGGACATGCCTTCCGCAGCTGACAAAGACAGAGCACGCAAGGCCGATAGTTTCAGCTCTTCGGCACGAAATACCGGTCCATACCGATACTGTGCTGAAAAAGCAAGCAACGCATGCTGCAAGGCTTTACCAGCATGGGAGACTTCCGATAGGGCTATTCGAAGTAACGCTTCTCCCAGGGGTTGACTGCTGAAACTTGAAAGATTGGGTCTCAAAGTCTCTCGAACTGAAAAGAGTGAGCCACGGTCAGGCATGCCGCTCTCCGAGGGAGTTCTGAATTCTCGTACTTACAGAAACGGAAAAGGCTTTGATCGGTGGCGTTTGACCCAGACGAGGACCATGGCAGTGGATACTTCATGATGGGACGTATCATGCGCCTAGCAATGAGGAAGTTGTGTACTTCGATGTCCCATGAGGTTGCGTTGATCATATGTAATCGACCTGGAGTATTATTGGCCCGAGGGAATGTTGCGGCTCGGCTGATAAGTGACCTCTTGCCATCAGTAGCCCTTGGCCAGGACAATCGAAGTCCGTAGCCCTGGCATTTGCGGTTGGATTTGATGCAGCTCGTACAGCGTGGAAACCGGCGGTCACAACTGACTTTGCGATCTACCGGAACCGTCAATACTTAGGGTACCTGCTAATTAGAGCTCTCTGCATAATCCAAGCGGACAATGGAGGGAAATGCGTTCAGACGGTTCGTTTTGGTGTGCTTAGAGCCTATCGGGTTTAGCGTACCTATGCAAGTCCCACAGCGCTTCTTCGACGATGTTGCGGCAGCTGCATTCTTTGATTTCGTCATGTTCTCTGTATCATCGAGAGAAATGAGGTGATCCTGTATCGAAGAAGGGGATAATGATCACAATTCCATTCGCAAAAAGTTGCTTGCTGACTCTAGTTTAGATAGATCATTTAGAAAAGATGAAGCTGACCACTTTTCGCTTTGATTTCTAAGCGGTGAGACGGCGTTGTCTCAGGGGTCGAAGATGCACGCCATCTTAGTGCGATTCTCCAGGGTAGACGCTAGGAAACTTCCGACTGACGATTTCACTGGGCAACTTTTTGCGAAGGATGCTCACCCTAGCTTCTGGAGAGCCTGGCCAATCAAAATCTTATGGGGAACAAAAGCACCGAATAGTGCGGGCATCTTTTTGCGAGACGCAACGGTGGCCGTTCTGCCTAGCGTCACTGTGCATGCGATTGCTTACTCATGCGATATAGAATTCGATGATGATCAGAGAAATTCCCTCCACGTTTCGGGCGGGTGCGCACCTTTCATTACGAGATGTGCAATAACTGTGGAAACCTTCCTCTTCACGAGGGTCAGCAACTCCCAATGATGTGGCGCCGGGTTGGAGAAACCCTCTGATAGCGCCCAGGATAATGTGGAAAGCGTCCCTCCAACCTGCATAATCTCGTTGGAAGTTGCACTCGTTTGGGGCAAGGCCCAATTACATCACTCGTTCCATGCTCGAAATCGGGAGGGGCATGGAAACCGAACATACGAGATTGAAGAGGATACGTGTGTATATAAACTACCATGATGCCTCTATCCTTTCCATCATTTGGGCTCATCACATCAACTACACCAGCAGGTTCAGCATTCAACTTCGACAGATAGTAAATCCAATTTCACCACCACATCACGTTGGAAGTTTGCCATACACACTCAGAGATGCCTTCCTATCTCGTCACAGGAGTCAACCGCGGCATTGGCGTAAGTCAGCCCTTGAGCTTTTCCTTGACCTTTGTGTTTGAAAAGGTAGAACTGACTGGAATGCCAGTGGGGATTCCTCAAGAAATTATCCGAGGACGCAAATAATACTGTGATTGGCAGCGTTCGCGATAAGGCAGCTGTCGAGAAAAAGATTGCCGAGGAGCTCGGAGACCGTCCTAATGTCCACATTGTGGAATTTGAGCTAGCCGACTACGAAAGCATCAAGGTTTGCAAATTCTAATTAGCACAAAACGCTAAAGTCTTGGTCTCTGGAAGCTGACGTAGCTTGCATAGAAATCGGTTCCGGAAGTCTCCAAAATCACCGGAGGCAAACTTGACTACCTCATTGCCAACGCAGCATATGTCTCGCCTATCTCGACCTGGCTCCCTATTGGAAAGCAGTACGTCTTTTGAAGAGGCATAGCATATTTCCCAGTGATCAATCATGAACTGACACTGAACTTCTGTCAGAGCCGAAAAGCCGGAAGAGCTTGAAGAAGACCTGTTGAAGAGTTTCAAGATCAACGTCGTTGGCAATGTCCACCTATTTAGCCTCTTTTTGCCGTTGATACTCAAGGGAGATGTCAAGAAAGTCATTGCCATCAGCTCCGGTATGGCCGATCATGAGATGACCAACCAATACCGCCTCGAAGTCAGCGCCCCTTACTCCATCAGCAAGACAGGCGTGAACATGGCCGTGAGCAAGTTCCACGCCCAGTATGCCCAAGACGGAGTTCTTTTCATGAGCATCTGCCCCGGAATTGTGGACACTGGACACAACCAGAAGCGTAAGCCCCTCCGACTATGGTGGACCAGAACTCTTTTAGTCCCGAAACTAACCAGCATTTATGACAGTGAGCGAGGTGCACCAGGAGTACTTCATGAAGACTGGCGCCATTTTCAATGAGTATGCGCCCGGTGTTGCGCTCGCTACTCCGGAGGACTCTGTCAATGATGTTCTCAAGGTCATCTACGACTCCAGTCTTGAGAACGGCAGAGGTGGCGAGTTCATCTCTCACTTGGGCACCAAGAGATGGTTGGAGGCTGGCGCAGGAAGCGTTGCTCTTTGAATGACACATGCATTCATTACGCTGAATGGTTCAGAATTGAGACGTATGATTGTCGAATGTTTGCAGTCAGTCAGGTAGAGAGCCATTACTCATTGCTTCCTGATACCGAAAATCTCCGATATTCGAGCCTTTACCAGTTCAGGACCTTTAGAAAAATCCCAGAATGGCAATTAGAGAGGGTTTGAAAAAGTAAAGCCATGCCCCGTGATTCAAACTTGTGATTGTGGTGGAGGCAATTGATTACATGGCTACACTTTTGGGGCTCGTAAACAGCTCACTTACTAACTCATGGCCACTATTTGTGAGGTTGAGTATTGTTTTAGGCAAGAAACACATCAGCCAGATCTCGATTGCCAGGGTACAGCGCTGGGCATACAGGTCTTGTCATCATGAGAATTCATTACGGGTCCATGCAGGTTACCTAGGTAGCTTACTGAAACATCAGCTGACCTGCGTTACAGGTCAGCCTGGACTACATATTACGCACATATTCTTCTTGAGGCACCTTGCTGGGTGAGTCTGCTTACTCACGATGAGCTAATCAAGAAAGGCAACTTACTCCAACTGAGCGTGCAATCAGTCTGTTCCTCTTGTAATCGCTGGATATACCTAAGACTACCTAGGTACAGGGAAGACAAGCAACTCATATTACATTGTCACGAGGGGAACTGCCAATGCTTCTTGTTCTTAGCTTCTACGTGACACTGACACCTAGATATCTCAATGCGGCTGATAGACTGTGCTATCATGCGCAAGGGTTCTGTAGTGGTCATCATCACTGCATGTGATCTGGCGTTTCACGATGCTGACGACCTACAGTGTCTAAGTACACATCTGCCGTCATCAAGACTCAAGCGGTAATATCAAGTATGTGGCACTGCTTCCGACCCAATGCTAGCCTTACCAGATCATACACATCTTTCTTGAAGGTGAGATTGGTTGTCTGACATCAACGAACGAAGGTAATACCACTAGAATGATCCGTACTGTTGTGTTCTAGGTTACAACCCAGACATGGGCTGATCTGAATACGGCGTGGGGACTCATGCTGCCACAAATAAAGCCAACATGATAATTGAAATAGATAAGGCAATATCCTTTAACTCAGTTGCTCATGTTCACCACCAAACTCAGAACCTACTAGCATCACGTTGGATCCATTCCCAGTCTTCTTTATAAGCACCCAGCCACAAGCAAACTCACTAGCCCTCACTATGAAGCTTACGACCTTTGCCGTATCTTCTTTCACGGGTCAAGCTCTGTCAACCGCTCTGTTGAAGCGCGAATGCGGCGTACCGCCAGGCGCACATTGCGATATTGTCGGCCAGATCAGATGCGAATTTAACGGTGGACATATGGTACGTTTTGAAGAGTAAAGAGGGATTTCGCGGAGAATTCGATTTGAAGCCTATGTTAACTCTTTGCAAACTTGAAGATGCATTGCGCTGCTGATAATACTTGGTCGTACGGCTCAAACTGCGCTGCGGCTGGTAAGCCTTGCCTTTGCGAGACGGGCACTTGTGCTGTTTGAACATTCAATTCAGCCTGGACGAGAGAGAAAGAGGGAAGAGTGCTATGGCTTTGATTTGACACCAACATAATGTGCTCTGGACAGGCTATTTCTAGTGTTATTCTCGAATTGGGGTTGGCGTGTAACGCCTGAAAACGCGAATCACTCCTTGTCCACTCGCTTCGCATTTAGGTAGTGTGAGATTAAATCTATGCTTGTCCATCAACAATTCTTAACCAAGTGAATCTATCCCATTTGTAGTCCCACAAATCAGAATGTTGACGTTGGAAAATGATATCCATCATGCTGGGATTTCTTTTTGCAAATTCAGAATTGGAAGTCTCACGAAAGGGGTTTTCCATTCCTACAACGTTTTGTCCCTTCCGTTGTCCCTTACTCAAACAAGCATATTTACAGTTAAGTAACTGATTCAAATTGTTCGCACTTACCCAAAGAATCTTGGAAACAGATTCTCGAGATCCGCAAAAAGAAGTGATATTCTTCATTTGAATCTTTCAGAAGATAAGCATTCTCACCGTCGAGCATTTCGTGTTATCAAAGAGCTGAGACCCAAGCTCCAAGCCTCTGGACCCTGACTTCACAATGTGGGGCACATAGTGGACAAGTCCCCTGGTTTCCCCACAATGTTGTTTGGCTTAAGTGCTGCCGCCAGCCCGCGGTCTTGGGCAGATCACCCGCCGCTATGAGATCATCTGGGCCGAGTGACTAATGACCCACAAATGAGTAGAAAAGTCTGAATCCAAAGCGATGCCATTTTGGCAAGCCTCTAGACCACTGATAGAGACTGGTCTCGTCGAGAACCTGATCTCCAGGGCGTCAGTCGTGCTTGATGAACCTTTTTGAGTGGCCAAGTCATTGTCCTCTGTGATATTTGTAGTGGTGAGTCAAGCATCGTGCCAATAGATGTGGTGGTTAAGGGGAGATTTGGGGGTTTCCCCCCGGCTTGTCGTAATGACCTACTTTATCATGCATTGCATCAAACCGTATGTCATTCAGATTTCCGTCGGCAACGACAACACCCCTAACCATTCATAATTAAACTTAGATAAGACTCACTGAAGGCACATATCTTACTGACATTTCATTATGAGGCGAGACCAGCCAAAGTCGTACCGCTGAACATGCCGCTGGCGAGAACAAGGCGGATCTTGGCGTCCCCGTGCGGGCCAAAAGTGGATTGAAAGACGTAACAAGAACTGCTGAATTTTCGCCCGCCGTCCCATTCTCTAGGCGGAGGTTCCAGATCCAGTAATGCCTTTTCTTTTTGATCGTGTCAGAAAATCTTGAACCGAATGTCATTTACGCCTTGGTCGGCTCAGGTGGCGCGGAATGAGCCCGCGTGAGTCAATCCAAGGTTGCCGAATGTGAGAGGAACCGGAATGTCGCCTTCTTGAAAACATTCTTCCCTCAAACATATGCCGACGAGAACCGTTCCCGAACAACTCAGAATCCGGGGCCCCTCAAAGTTAACCGCTGCAGGAACAAGCCATTTCTCCACCGATCCAAGCTGCGTGTTCATGTTGGCCTGTTGATTTCGATCGACTTTATTCGAACGCTCCACCGAGCCTGACTGGTTCCACCTTCTCCGCGGTTCAGCAAGTCGAATTGTGAGGGAATCGCGATCGAGCCCAGGATTTCCCACCACTCGGTTCCTGCTTACCGAGTTCTACCCCAGATTGCGCAATCCAGAAATCATGGGGAACGAGGCTGAAGCAATGAGGGCGCCTGTCGATCCTGAGGGTCAGGATATGCCAAACCATCAAGGATCGAAAGGCCATGAGCAAGATCCCACTGCGCCACCTGCATTTTCGACAGGCTCGGGTGGTATCATCGAGAAAGAAGAAGGCGAATTGATCAACTTCAAGACACTACACTGGCTGTAGGCTTCTTCCACGGCAAGATTTACCGAGAGATGTGCTGACGTTGGTACAGGCAAGGAGGCATCGTTCTCGTCGCAGAGACAGTCTCTCTAGGAATTCTATCGCTTCCGTCCGTCCTTGCAACTGTTGGACTGGTCCCCGGAGTCATTCTCATCTGCGTAATCAGCGCTCTTGCGACCTACTCTGGCCTTCTCCTTGCCGATTTCCGGAAACAGTACCCCTTCGTCCAGCACTTCGGCGATGCGGTCGAGCTAATTGGAAGGCCCATTGGTATGGGTGGCATCTTCCGAGAGGTCTTCGGATGGGCCCAGACTATTCTGCAAGTTTTCCTCATGGGAGGTCACATTCTCATGTGGACTATTTGCATGAACACTCTCACGAATAGCACAACATGTACCGTCGTCTGGGCTGCTGTTGGAATGCTGGTTTTCTGGGTCTTCAACGTTCCTAGGACCTTGAAGTGGACGAGCTGGATGTCAGCAACTTGTGAGTCATTAGATGGGTATTGATTGCCATGGACGGTTGCTAACTTTCGCAAGCCTGCGTATCTATCGTTGTGGCTGTTTTAATCACGGTCATCGACGTTGCCATCGAGAAGCCCATTGGAAGTGGGTCAATCGACGTCTTCAAGTCTCTCGGCTTTTCTCCCGCTTTTCTGGCTGTCACCAACATTGCAGGTGCATTCTGTAAGTAAACCAACCAGTCAGAAGATTGGACATCCATGGAACTTTGACTTACAAAATGCCCTTCCAGCAAGCCATTCGATCTTTTTCAGCGTAATCGCCGAATTCAAGAACCCCGACGACTGGCCAAAGGCACTTGCCTTCCTTCAGATCACGGATACAACCCTGTACATCATTGCTGCCGTCATCATCTACGTTTACGTGGGTCCCGATGTTCCTTCGCCGGCTTTGTCTGCAGCGGGTAGCGCAACTATCAGGAAAGCGATTTGGGGTGTTGCTATTCCCACGATTGCCATCGCTGCCGTTATTTACGCCCACGTTGCTTCTCAGTACGTTTTCACACGTATCTTTGGCAACACCAAGCATGTTGTCAGAAGAACCCGAGTATCGACAATCTCTTGGCTTCTCATCACTCTGGGTATCTGGGGAATCGGCATGGTGATTTCCGAATCCATCCCCGTCTTCAACAATCTGTTAGGGCTGGTCTCTGCTGCCTTTGCCAGTTGGTTCTCCTTTGGACTGCCAGGTATCTTCTGGCTCTGGATGCACAAGGGCAACTGGTTCTCAACCTGGCAGCAGAAGTGCCGGTTCGCGGGGTCTTCGCTACTTTTGCTTGTGGGAGTCCTGCTATGTGTACTTGGATTGTGGGTCTCTATTGAGTCCATCGCGAAAGGTGGATCTTCCGCGAAACCTTGGACTTGCGCCAGCAACGCCGCAGAATGAGGTACCTACCATCTTAGTTGGGGACATTGGCACACGTCAAGTAGTCGAGACCTCTGTATTACCATAATGTGACATCTCTATCATTTAACTCCAGGGGCAAGGGTCTTCTAATGAACTACAACTGTGTTTATGGCTATATGTTCTCGAGCTAACGCCATGGCTGGCCCGTATGTTGGGTTGGTGACTGCACGGAAGTTGATTGTGCCCGACTGCCTCAAACGTGTTTTTTGGACCCAAGTTGTTACTTTGCTAGCACGAGCAAGGGGCAATACAGTCGTACACTATTACTTCGGCAGGAAGTCTGCGATACGCACGGTGAAGCGGGAATGGGCGGGGAATAAGTTCTCCAGCTCTCGGACCAGGTTGCCTGGCACCCACGCACCCCGGCACGCCTGGGTAATTCTATTGCAAGCATTGCAAGCCGTGTCTAGGTCATGACCGGTAATGGGCTTCCTTTTTTAAGCCCAGCTTATTGCTGAGTTGGCATTTCGCATGCAACGCAAACATCTATTCCAAACTTTTTGTCGCAGGCCTTGCAGCACCTCAGAGACAGTGATACGTTTGCTGCCAGCTAGGATGTGCCTGGTTGGTAAGCACCTCGACGTACCGAGACAATGTTCACAACCCTTGCAGCATGTCATCTCATCTCACTTAAATTCAGCACGAAGAAAGCGTGTTTGTGAATTAAATCGTCTGAAATTCTTGTTGGTATCTATGTGACAGACTACACATTATTTGCAAGAACAAGCCCCTCCTGTTAAAATATATCATGACTTCATCGAGGTGCGCGCGTGTATGGACAGCCCCGTATAAACAAGAAGTTCGGTCACATATGTGCAGAGTTCCACCCCCAGCGGCCCCCTAGCGGCTATTTTTGTTGTCCGTTCAAAATTGCACAAGGCAGATTTACAGAACGAGAGCGAAGATGGCGGCAGCCAAGCCGGCACCAGAGAAGGTCATCAGGGCAGGCAGATTTACAGAACGAGAGCGAAGATGGCGGCAGCCAAGCCGGCACCAGAGAAGGTCATCAGGGCAGCGCCAGCGGTAACAACGGTGGTGGCAGTGGGAGAAGCACCGCGGGTGCCGTTGGTGTGGGCGGTAACGGAGGCGGTGGCAGTAGCGGCGGTGACGGCCTTGGTGGCGGTTCCGACACCCTTGTTGTCGTTGCCGGCGCCGGAGGAGCTGCCGGAAGATCCGGAGGAACCGGAGGAGGAGCCCTTGCCGCCGGTAGCGCAGGTGCTGAGCTTGTCCTGCATCTCCTGGAAGATACCATCGAAGTGAGTGATCTCATCGCCACCCTTGCCACCGGCAGGGAACTTGGTGGAGATGGAAGTCATCAGAGTGTGGACGTTTCCGCCTGGAAGATGTTAGCGGCGTGGTCTTGGAACCCTGTGCCATCAAAGCGACTTACCAATCTGAGCAACCCAGGAAAGAGTGCTGTCGCAGATACCAGCCTGAGCGAATGAAGGAACCTTGTCGCTGAGGTCAACGAGAAGCTTGTCGCCAGCGGCGTTGAGCTCGTCAGAGAGGGGCTGGAAGGCGATGGCCTCATCCATGGTCAGAGCCAACATGGCAACCGCGTTGTAAGTGGCAGTGCGGATGGTGGTGAGCATGGTAGAAGAGGCATCCTCGAGATCCTTGCCATCACCGCCTGCGTAGGCACAAATGGAACCATCGAGGCTCTGGATGCCGTTGAGGACGGTGGTCATGATGGTGTTGACCTGGCTGAGCTCACGGGCGCAGAGCTCGGGAGTAGGGGTCGCAATGACGCCAGCGGCGAGGAAGACGATGGGAGTGGTGAACTTCATTTTGATGGTTGTTGGAATGAGAGTAATCAAAGAGTGACTGGTAACGAGTGATGTTGGAGCGGACGAAGAAGCAGGCTTTTGAAGGCGGGTGGCTGTTTTGATGCTGTTGACTGATAATCTAGACATGGGAGATCGACAGTCCATGTGCAGTGTTTATATATCCATGCCATGTTGGCCATTTCAGAGTTGTAGATCGCTCTGACTTTCTTCTCAACCCCCTGAGTTACCCCAGATAATCTTAGGCGCGAAGTACAATCTCACGTGTGTGGGATAACCGGCGATGGCGGCTAAGATTTCTCAAACAACACCGGCGCAGTTGCTATTTTTTCCGATTGCCTTCCTTTCCCTCCCTCTAGCCTTGTGCTCGGACAAGCATAGGATCTGACCACGATCGACTTTTGGTGCGCGGCAAATGATCAGCGGCGGGTGGTGAGGGCGCCACCACGCACGCTAGATCAAGCCGTTTCTTTTTATGCGGACATGGCGCGAACTTGGGGGGATTAATCAGGAACGCGCCACATCCTGTGCACCCCCAACCGAGTCATATTTCGAGAAATTGGAGGGGACGTTTCTTTCTAAGCACTAGTCTACATGCATGTCTAGTAGTAATAAGCTCTTCTGCGCAGGCTTCCAAGTCTAGTTGCTCGCGGGCGAACCCAGGCGTCGTGACTGACCGCGTGCGGCTTGGCAGCTGTCTCGCCGAACGGCTCAGAAGGATCACAATGGCTGATTCAGACAGGCTTTCAGCTGGCGCAAAGACTCGATGGATTGACCTTAATCAGCATGCCACTTATCAGAGTGCTTGGCTTCACGTTGTTCTAGACCTTGTCTCGAGGCTCGCTCAGACTGTTATGGTTGTCCTGGCTGCAATCATGGCAAACAACCTCAAACACACTCAGAATAAGCGCGTTGTAGTAGCTTCCATTTCAACTTCGGCCCATTCTGGAAACTTCATTGCGGAAGAGCTGTGCACATCTTCGTTGCCCTGCTCGTGACTCAATTAGTGCAATGGTGCACAGAACTTCAGCCGCTCCCGCAACTCAACCACCTCATTGTTTCCAAACAGAAGACCGTAGGGCCGGCATATGAGGGGTCGGTTGTGCAGAATAGTATCATGGCGCTGCCTTGCGGCTGAGGTTGGTTTCGGTGTTTCCCGCTGTGGCTAACCACCCGCTTTTGCAACGTGCAGATGGAGTTGATAACTTGGAGGCTTGAGAAGCTTTTGGCACGGACAAAATTTGAGGGCTGTTAGTATATTGACCGTCCGAAGAAGCCAATTCAGCCTCGTGAAACTGAACTCACAGATCATTCCTCCTGCATTCTGTCAGCTCCACTCGGACAAGCAGCTCGTCCGGCAGATGTGCCTGGTTCCAACAGCATAAGCTTTGCGCTCGAGCCCATCGTAGACCACGGCGAGACCCCCTCTGAACATGTAATCTCAGAAAGAAGAACAGTGTTAGGCCACGTAGAGGCTGTAGATCATTCTAACTGCAACATGGCCCTCATGTTTTCTTCTTTCCTCTGTTCCAGCCAGTCTGTTATCACCTCCCAAGACCATGCAGGTCTCGGTGTACTAACAATATAAGTCGAAGGAAGTGTCGTGGATCTTTGCAGACAGAGACTTTTACATTTCCGGAAGACCCCCCCGTCTTTCTTAGTTTTGCCCCGATTTGATGTTATCAACTTCTCAGTTGTTAAGATATTCAACAATCACGCACGCCCGATTCAAACGCTTCTTGTCATCTAGGAAAATACGAGTCATTTTTTACTTCCTCAGGTAGGACTTTGGTCAAAGGTGACGGATAAGGCCACTTAGCTCAGACTATGCTTTCGATTTCAGCAGAGTACTATACGTGCCGCACATCATTATTGGTAAGTGAAGCTCAGCAGTAGGTGAATTCTGCCCGAATGTTGACTCACACCAAATACAATAGCTGAGGTGTTCCTGCCAGGTCGGTCTCGGAGATCCGGGATAATAGCCATCATCTATTGCTGGTACTCAGAGAACTGAGGACATGATGACCATACACGCATCTTCCATACCGGACGTTTCTTTATCACACCTCGAATCAGCGACATAGAGGTCGGGCGTTCATTCGAGCACTTTTTGGATTCTTTAAAAACATGAAGATCACACAACCGTTCTGAAACTTCTAGATATGGAACGGCGAAAATGTCTAGTCATTCCTTGGTGATGCAGTGATGATACATCAGACCTCTGTGTGATTAACATAGTACATTTCCACGTACTTACCCCCACTAGAGCCAGAAAATTCCATTCTCAGCTTTAACTGAACTAAGGACATAGAATATTAATCCTGAATGGTACATCCGAGGGATACGTGGATTTGGGAAGGCTATTTGAGGAGCTAGCAATGAGTTGCGACGAATGGGACCCTAGTCATCTGATGTGTGGCCAAATCCACCGCATCACGGGGTATGGAGTAAGAAGACGGCCGAGGATACCCTTGGTCGTGTTTAGTAATCCGTCTCGGCTGGCACTTTACTCACAGTTTCGACTCTTCAATGTATCCATGTGAGAAAGTAATAGGTGTGGAACTACAAAAGAAATCCAACCGGTCTGGTCTGAATACCTGAGGTGTGTATAAAACCATGGCTCAAAGACAGCTCCAGCTTCCTACGTCCAAAGTCTCACATCTTCCAACTTGTACAAACATCTTCACAAGGCCCCAAACATATCGACGACCAAGATCTACAGAGTCGTCGAAGAAGACTCTCCAAACATGTCTCAACCAGTCTATCAGGTAATAGTAACCGCTGACGAGGACAAAGCCACAGCCTCGAAGCGACGTGCTATCTACCTCCGTCCATTTCTCCTCTTCTGGCTCAATTCCCTTGTCTTCGAAGTTGCAATGCTCATAGTCAGCATTGCTGTCTTTTCAGGATGGCGCAGCATGTTCCCTAAGCTCATGTGGACCATTGTATTCTGCCCTCTGGGCATGGGAGGCGCCATGGGAGGCCTCATCAACGCCTTCATTGTCGATCGCATCTACGGGAGGCGAGCAGTCCATTTCGTCTCAATCCTGAGCGTCCTGGTTCTAGGGGGGTGCAACAACCTATGTTATAACTTGGATCTCGTGTTCGGATGGTTCGGTGCCCAGGACCATTTCTGGTGGTGGCACTGGCGGTATCTGGGAGTTTGGTTTGTTGGGTACTTCAATGGTAGGATGA